CTCAGGGGTAGAAATTCTGATGTACCCACATTGGTGTCCTGTCACTCACGGCTGGGAATGCTCCTCTTCCTTCTTCTCCATGCCTTCACTCAGCCCATCCCGCGGTTCTCCCACGAGGGAAGAACTCTAGAGCCCGTTTGGTTCCGTTATGACCTGGCTCCGGCATTTACTAGCCAAGTGAATCTCTGCAAATCGCCATCTTTTCACGTCTACCATACACCTCACCGTGGTCCTTAAATTACCAAGTTGTTGCATCCAATCAATGAGACAGAAACCATTCCGTACAGTCCTGACCACGCTTCCTACGTGTGAGCTGACAGCACGGTCATCTTCCTCTTCGTAACTTCCTCCTCGGACTTGCAATTGTCTTGAGGAAGACTTCTTGCATCTTGGCCCGGTCTCTGGAAACATCGAACAGAGTGAGGAGATAATCAGAGGCAAATACGGTGTCCTTCCTGGGCCTTGCCACTGCCCGCGTTATTCTCAGGGACCCAGCAATGGCCACAGACCAGGCTTCTCTCCTACGGCCCCAGCTACTCAGCCTGGTGTTCACTTTGCATCCCAGCTTCTGCCCACAGTGACTGACAAGTGGGCAAGGCTTACTTGGGCACCTTGAGACCCCTCAAAGGCAGCTTGATTGGGTGGCAGCAGCTTCAGACTCCCTAGGAGCCCCTGGGAGGTGCAGAGCCAGGCAGCTGAAAGAGATCCTGCTTTCTGTGTGCTTTTTCAACTGGAGCCAGCATCGCTCCTGGGTGGGGCACGTCTGCCACCTCCTGGCCGTGGACAGCACCGCATCTGGCTGCCCGCTAGAACCAGGCTTCAGGTGGCAGGTCCCAGAGGCCCTTTGGATGCCTGAGCCTAAGGAAGGATCTTCCCAGCTTCTTCCAGTTCTGCACAATTCTCAGGGCTAAAGGTGACCAGACACGGTCCCAACCCGTGAGCGCCAATAGAAAGCATCCCCTCCTCCCCTCTGCTGGGTGCCCTCCAGACAGGAGGCAGGACCAAGGCAGGGGTGACAGGCTGTGTGTGATGAGGGTGATATTCAAGGAGCGGTCACGTTTGTCATTAGGGTCACCTCGTGCACTTTACGTGGTCGTGCCCAGAGTGCCGGGACTTCAGGTGGCCCTGCTCAAAAACCCTGGGTCCAGGATCACCCCTCAGAAGGGAACCTGCCATTTTCCTCTCGGCCCTCCCACCATCACTTCCCCACCCGGAAGAGCAAACAGACTGCACAGTGGACTGCTCTCAGGTCCCGCAGAAACGGCGGTGACCTCGAGGTAATGACACGGGCACAGCCCCAGGTGACAAACACCTGCTCTTCCCTTGTCTACAATCCTCCCCCCTCCCTATTTCATTTTTCAAATATGCGGACATGTGAAAAGACTAACAACGACTTCCCTTCACAGGGTAGGTGCACCAATTCTTAGCATCGATCCTATTTCTTCTCTCTGTCTCTCTGTCTCTCTCACAGACACACAGACACCTGCTTGTTTTCTCCTGTTTGCCAAATCACTTCCAAGTAAACAGCAGACATGGCCCCTAAAAACTTAAGCAGTAGCATCTCCTGAAAACAAGGACTCTTGGCTGGAGAGTCACAAGCTGTGCTCACGCCCAAGGAATTCAATGCTGATAAAATATGAGGGGTACACCCCTCCCCCAATTAAAAAAACCAAACAAACTGAAAAATCTCTGCTTGGCAGAGCTTTCTTAGTACACATTTTTCCCCGCTAGGCAAGTATGGAGCAACTTGCTCAGAGTTAGTGCACCCAGTGGCATCACCTGGGAAGGTTCTCTCTGGTGATAGTGAATTTTTTCATGAAAGCTGTTTTGCTCGAACCTCGTTTTCTGTGATGGCTGATTTAAGAAAATGATGTGCAGCTGTGAAATTTGTTTCCTGCTTGGGAAAAATGTCACAGAAACTGTTGTGATGTTGAATGACAGCTTAGCAGGACAGCGCTTTGGGAAAAACTCAATTGTATGAGTGGTTTTTTTGTTTCAAAAAAGATGAGATGTTGATTGATGACAAACCTCGTTCTGAATGTCCCTTAACTTCCCAAACAGATAAAAATGTCGACTCAGTACATTTGGAGTTTGTTCTGCCAGGTCAGACTGTTAATCAAGCATTCTATTTAGAGGTTCTGAAAAGATAGCGTAGCAGTGTGTGACCAAAAGGGCTGATTTGTGGCAGACGATGCACCTGCTCACGCAGCCATATCAGTGGGTCAGTTTGGGCAAAACCCAGCATGCCTCTCTTGCCCCACACACCTAACTCACCTGACCTTGCGCCGTGCAACATCTTTTTGTTTCCTCAAATGCAGAGGGACATGAAAGGACAGAAGAGGTGAAGAAGAAAAAAATGAGGGATGAGTTTGAAAAATGTTTCCAAGAATAGAATCACAGATTTGACAAATTTATTAAGTGTAATGGAGAGTACTTTGAACGTGATAAGGTTGTTTTGTAAAAAAAAAAAAAAATTAACGTTAGCTTTGCAGGGGAAATCCATTTTGCTGGAGTCCCCCCTTGTATTACCTAATCTAAGCCCATATTCAAATATCTGGAGGGTCCTGGTAGTGGTCCTTATGGTTCCAGAGCAACTTCGTGGGGGAGTTGTTACCTCTTCCACTTCATGCACTAAACAACAGCCTGCCTGCCCTTTTGGACCCCTGGGAAGCTGACATGGAAGTAGAGTCAAGGAAGTTGCTTGGTAGGGTGCCCCTCCCCACGCCACATGGATCCTGTCCGTCATGATTAGACCAGGATGTGTATTTTTGTCCTTAGTGCCATTTGGCGATGCCTCAATGCCTTCCCCTCTTTCCTTCCTACGTTACCTCTGCCTGTGTGCCAGAGCAGCTACGCGCTGGGCTGCATGGTTTGCAAGGCCAGCAGTTTGAAATCACCAGCGGCTCCCCTGGAGAAAGGTGGAGCTTTCTCCTCCTGTGAGCAGGTAAACAATGGCTGCAACAGAGGCAGTTCTACCCTGTCCAAAGGAGTTGCTATGCGTCAGTATTCAGTCAGGGGCAGCGAGTTGAGCCTATTTTCCAAAATGCCCTAAGAAGGCCCGCGGGAAACAGCTTGTGTTAAAGGAATTTAGCTGCCATGGAGTCAAGTCCGACTGGAGGACGGCTCCACATGTGTCAGGCGTTCGACCACCCTCCCGGGGTTTCCATGGCTGTGCTGTCTTGGGGGCAGCTGGCCATCTAGCTTCAGAGGTGCCTCTAGGGGATTCAAACTCCCAGCCTTTTGGTTAGCAGTTGAGTGCTTCCCATTTGCACCAGCCAAGGCTAAAGGAGGCCAGTCCACCAAACGGCCTCCATCGACTGGGCACCAGCAAATCACACTGTGCTGATGTCAGCTCTCTGATAGCCACGGCCCCAAGGGACACCCTAGAATGGTCCAACTCTCTCTTTGGAACCCAGAGGCTGGCCAACTTTTGACAAACCTCTGAGAGAACATCTTTGGGGCCATGCCGCTGGGTCAGTCCCTGCTGCTCTGCCATTGTCACATGAAACCAGCCATAGTCAGGATGTAAATAAATGGACAGGGCTGTGATCCCAGGAGACTTTACTTACCAAAACCACCTGCTGAGTTTGGCCCAGGGGTCTTGGGTCTAAATGACCCCTGATCTAAACAGAAGTAAAGGCACCAGTTATTAAAAGAGTGAGGCTCTCTCTTTCTGTGAGTGCTGCATTCTGAAAGAAACTGAGCAGGTCATCTTTACATATTCCACCAGCCAGTCTCAAAGGAGGCCCTGGGCCACACACCACACTGGGCATGAGATCTTAGAGATAAACCAGGTACCTGGAACACAGCCTGGTGTGAGAGACAACAGGCAACTCAACCAATAGTAAGCTGTGCTGGGACGAGGACCAGGAAGCACGTGAGCTAGGTGCAGTGACAGAATGATGGGGCAGAGGGTCTTTCTACCAATCCAGTGGTCGGGGAAGGCTTCCTGGAGGAGGTGGCACATGGCACGAGACCCGGGGAAATGCATAGGGACAGGGAAAGGCAAGTGCAGAGACTCTGAGGCAGGGGGAGCGTGATGAGGGCTTTGGGCAGCTCTGAGAGGTGGTGCGTGTGGCTGAACTTTGTATGAAGCAGTGGGGACAAGGGGCACGAGAACCAGTTAGGGGAGGTCGTGAGAGTTTCTTTAGAGCATGAGCAGAGTTTTCCTTTTCTTCCATGATCAATTGGACGTCATTGGGGATGTCACTGGACCCTTCCCAGGTCTTGTCTCTCCCCAGAGACCTGGTGGCACACAGCTTAAGCATTCAGCTAACCCCAAAGCGTGCCATCCGAGCCTACGTGCTGCACCATCTTCAGGAAGAAAATGAGGCTGGGAGTTTCCATAAAGACTGCAGCCTTGGACAGCCGGCAGGGCAATTTGACTCTGTCTTTGCTGGAAACGCCTGAAAGAACTAGCTGTCAACCTCAAGGGACTACCTACACCTGAGTGTGAATTCTAATCCTTTCACAGCTGTGTGACCTCAGAGAGCTGTCCTAACTTCTCTGAGCCTCCACCTCCTTACAGTATTCATGAGGTGAGCAACAATCTCCATAAAAGCTTGTTAGAAACCCACCCCACGGTAACCCGGAAGATAACCAAGAAAGGCCGATGGAATAGGAGTCGTCCTACTCTGTACCACAAGGAGTGGCCATGCGTTGCCATCAGCCACCACCACGGCAAAGCTGCTATAAGGATGAAACGCAGCAGGGGAAGACCCCCACCTGGCCAGCGCTGAAACTGACTGTATTGCTAACCCCCATGCAGACGGCTGCAGCAGGAGAACAGAAACGTGCCAAGTCAGAAGGGGCCTCTCCAAATGGACCCACCGCTTCCTCCCAATACCCTGCTCACAGCTGCAAACCCCAGAAAGCTCCCAGTGCCCCCAGAGCTGATGTGAGGTCCTGGGAAATCTCCCCTCTGGCAAGGTGGAGCTCAAGAAGCACCCCGCTGGTACGGGAGCTAGGACTCACCTCACTCTCTTTGTGTTGTTTTCCAGTTCTCCGTGATGTCCTTCCTTGCATACCTAGACCCAGGTAAGTCTACCGACCACCCCCTGGGGGGAGCCTTCCATCACCCACTTCGACTGAGAAAGGGGACCCAAGCACAAGTGTGCCTGAGGAGCCTCAGAGTTCAGTTGGTTTAGGGCAGGGGGTCCTCAAACTTTTTAAAGAGGGAGCCAGTTCACTGTCCCTCAGACCCATTGGAGAGCTGGACTATAGTTAAAAAAAAAAAAAAACTATGAACAAATTCCTATGCACACTGCACATATCTTAATTTTGAAGTAAAAAGCAAAACGGGGCAAAAACACCCGGCGGGCAGGATAAATGTTCTCGGCAGGCTGCATGTGGCCCGCAGGCCATACTTTGAGGACCCCTGGTTTAGGATGTCACAGACCCCTCTGAAATTCACCCAGAAATGTGTGCACGCACAAAGCCCAGACTGAGGACCCCGAGGAATGAACTGCTGGTAGAATTGAACTGCTTCCTCTCACAAGGGGGCCATGGGGCCCAGGAAGGGGAGAAGGTGCCAATGTTACCCCACCCGCAAGTGGTTGCGTTTAGTGGAAGGGTCAAGACGAAGCCAGGCTCTGAGAGAGCTGCCCCTTTGTTGAGAAGCCAGCCCTTTCATCAGAGGGTGGGGTGAGTGCCCTGCAGGCAGCCGTGGGCTGAGTGCCCACATTGGTCCATTACTTTACTCTGTACCCCACATATCCACTGCCTACCAGCTCACAGCCACATCTGCAGTCATACACACAAACACATAAACACACCACATGCCATCCACAAACACACCACACATTTACATCCAACACTGACAAATACACAACACACAGTAAATATGCACACAATATGCAACACATACACTAAGTATGTATGCAATACACACTTAAAAATACACAACACACACAGTAAATCTGTACACAATACACAACAGTGTATATGTGTATGTTTACGAGTATGAATAGTATGTGTATGAGTATGTGTGTATATGTTTATGTATACAAATATGTGTATGAGTATGTGTATGAGTGTGTGTATGTGTATCAGTGTGTGTGTGTGTATGAGTATGTGTGTATATGGGTGTATGTGAATATGAGTATGTGTGTGTAGGTATGTGTATGTGTATGTCTGAGTTTGTGTATGTGTAAATGTATGAGCATATATATGTATGAGTATATGTTGAGGTATATTTATATGACATATATATTTGTAAATATCTACAGTTCTTTGTATGTTTGACATTTATATAGATGATTGACATATATCATCATGGCATGTGGGTTTTGATAGCACCTGTATCTTTCCTAAAAGCAAAAGAGAGTGTTCAACTCAATACCCTGCTGCGGTTCCTAGGAAAAGCCTATTGCAGTGACCCCCGTACTGACGGCATGCCAGCCTGTCCGTGGAGCGTCCAGACAATGTCCAAAGTCAGAGGCTTCCTGAGCCGCCCCATGGCCAGTCTCCAGAACCAAAGGCTCAGGCGCCACTGGAGGAGGACGCTGTGGCCTGCGGTTGTGCTCCAGGCCCCAGAGGGACAGAGCTTGAGGCGCTGTGAATTCACACAGTGGGAGAAACAGGGGCACCAAGGACTCAAGGAGCCCCACTCTCTTCAAGCCTCTGAAAGCAACCACACCCCCCTAACCGATGGGGAACCTGATGGGGATTAAGAGGTTCTTTCATCCCAGTGTATGTTCCCAGAGAGTTGTAATCGACATCGTCGTGACTATGAGTTTACAACAGCCCTGGGTTGTGCAGTGAGCAACCTGAACAACTGTAAGAGATCACCAAAGAGAGATTAAATTCATTCCATGGCTTATTGCCTTGATTAAATAGACCAGAACGAACTTAGCCTTGAGAGTTATCCAAAGACCAATTGCACAATCTTGGGTGGCAGCGAGTCCCCCCATCGCTAGAAACTTTCAAGAAGGCTGAAAAAAATATTCTGTAGGGCCTGGAGAGGACTGGAGAGGACCAATTTAAGCATCCTGAAATTCTAGGCTCTAGAAAACGTCTGCCAGTAGCCACGGGTGGTTTGGCGAGAGGGGATGAAGGTCACCTGAAGTGGGCCACCCCACAATCCGGGGTTTCCCAGAGGCCTCCTTCTGTAGAGCAGGGTGACTTGTAGAGGCTGGGATTTTCTGCAAAGAGCCGGTTAGGTTTTGAAGACATCCCTGTGATGTGCCTGATTCATGTCACCTGGTTGTGCTTTGATGGCATTTGTCGGATCCCTGCTGGCTTTCGACAAGCGTGCAGCCAGAGAAATGCCGCGTCATGTCCACGGCCAGCCGCTTCTTGGGTTGGTCTTGCTGGAGATGGTGTCTGGTGAGTGTCTTTCTGGAGCAGGAGGTGCCCAGGCAATGGTCCCCAGTGGGTGATGGAGGAGGTGGCCATCAAACAGCTTAGCCTCAGCCCTACTCTCCAAAGCAGGTGATGCGGCCGCTGCCTGCCTGCAGAAATGCCTCTTCAAAGCTAGCGTGGCTCTGCCCAGCAACGCAGGCTGAGCCGTCCATCAGCTGCCCTGTCACCTGCCGTGGGTGTCTCCGCTGGGCTTGCCCGACAGCCGGATTGGAAGCGTCAAATACAGGCCGACAGGGCTGGGGTCTGCCGTGGGCCCTTGGGGGAGCTGTCTGTATGGCATGACGGACGACACCAACAGGGATGGCATTCCAGGGATGTCTGTTCCATTCAAACATCTGGCGAGCTCTTCAACGGGAGCAGCAGCAGAGTTTCCGTGGCAGGAACTCCGGAGCTTGCTCTGAGAGGCCCTGGGCACGGACGGTGGGCATCCCAGACCAGGGAGCAGGAGCCAGTGCTGAAAATCCCCCAGCGTGTGTTACAGCTGAACGCCCAAATCCACGGAGTTTCACAACACGCCAACTCACAAGAGGCCACTGGATCACAAAAGGGTCAACGGCTCCTGCAGTGACCTTCTGAGGGTGCTAACCTGGCTGATGGTGCTCTCTGCTTCTGCTCTTTCCTTTTCTGTGACGTGTAGGTAGTGACACTAACGCGGCAGGGTTTTTAAAAAGGTAAATAAGGCGGTGTGTGTACTGTGTTTATGTCGTAGTGTCTGAGACACAGAAAATCAAACCTCACTCACTGCCATCCAGTTGAAGGTAAAATCGCCCCTGAGAATTTCTAAGACTAGCCATCCCTGGGGACAGAAAGCCTTATCTTCCTCCCACGGAGCAGCGGGTGGTTCCGAGCATCTGACGTTGTGGCCAGCAGTCCAGCGCATCAGCCACTGTGCCACCAGTGAGAAGATGCTCAAGACAGATTGGCCCAACGCTACGGTGATTTGAGTGACCACTCCTCGTTCTTCCTGATGAAGTCTAGCAACAGACTCCGATAACTCACCAAATGCTTAAGAAGTGCTTTTTAGACCTAAGACACCGTTTCCCCCCGCTGGCCCATCCTCTCTTTTCTTGTTCCCCCTTTTCTGTAGACTGAGTAAAATTTCAAAACATCTGGTTTGAAACCCCGAGAGGTTCCCCACAGTCTGTGGACGGAGCCAGATCTCTTGTCCTGCTCTGATCCTTCTCCATCCAGGAAAACATTCCTCGACTCAGGAACCTCATCAGGGATCCTCCGTGAAACACTGTTGCTGACTGAAGGGGTGGATCATCCGTTCCTCATCACCGCCTAACACACTTCCCCCAAAACACCTGGACTTAAACCATTTGTCATTCATATAGACTGCTAGGCACACCAGCGGCTCCATGGGAGAAAAAAACAGGCCATCTGTCCCCATAAAGATGACGGCTTAGGACACCCCATGGGGTGGTTCCAGTCCAGCTGATGGAGTCACTGTGAGTCAGAAATCCCTAGCACACAACAGCAAACACATAGACCCGACCAGGCATTTTCTTCAAGTGCAGAGGACCCACATTTCTTATCTCTTCTTGCCTGAATTCTCCATTTACTCTGGCCCGAGGTCTTTGTGGTCAAGCAAGCAGCTGCTAACTCAAAGGTCAGCCCTCTGAACCCGCCTGTTGCCCATGGGAGAAAGACAGGGCAATCTGCTCCCATGAAGACGTACAGTCACTGAAGCCCAATGGGACAGGGCTGCTCTGTCCTGTCGGGTCGCTCTGAGCCAGACTGGACTTGGTGGCAGCGAGATGTGGGTGGGAGAACAAACCAGATGGGCCAAGCTCCTTATGAGTCCTGAGAGAGCGATGGAGCCATCCGACAGAAGATTCTACAGCCAGCTCATGGGTCTGAAACTCAACACCGTGGCAGCCCAGGAGAAATCATACCCTGTGTCTCAGTTCATTGTTACTGTAGAATGCACTACCCCAAAGCATGTGGACTCAAACCATTCATCACTTCTTAAACTGTAATTTTGGAGGTTGGCAGTTGAGGCTGAGCTCAGCTGAGCAGTTCCAGACTGGACCAGGCTCAGCTGATCTTGGCTGGCCATGCTCGGTGTCTGCCTGCTGCTGCTGGGTTGGCTGGTAACAGCTTTGCTGCTCTTGGATGGGTCTTGTCAAGGGTTTAAAGTCTCCCATGGGACCCCCAGGTGGTCTCTTTCTTCTTCTCCTGCAGAAAAGGTAAAACTTGTCCATGTGGAAGTCACAGGAGTCCAGGAGAGAGGAAAGATGTATGCACGGCTTTGTAAGGCCCAGGCTGAGCTCTGAAAGCTTGCCTTCCTACCACATACTGTTGGCTAAAGCAAGGTCAAGGTCAGCCCAGGTCTAAGGGGTCGGGAAATGGACTCCGTCTCTTGAAGAGGGGAGTTGCAAAGTCACGTTGTAAGGGGTGTAGACACAGGAAGGGGCGGAGACTCTAGGCCACCTTGTCATCAATCCTCCCCATTCTGGACTGTGGTTTCAATTTTCCCAAGCTGCACTGGAGCCCTGATGGGGACCTTGAGGCTTCCAGGCCTGCACTTGGTGACATTTTCTCCCTGCCCTTTCTGGGCTTCTTCCCCACTCAACCCTGCCTAGAGGAGGCCCTTTGAGGGCAGGCAACACTTGCAGTCTTATTTGTATAAATCACCACGTTCCCTAATGCCTTCCTGCCCGGGCCATAGTACTGGACCTCTCATAGGTCCACAAGACAGGGCAGTGGTTCTCAACCTGTGGGTCACAACCCCTTTGGGGGGTCAAACAACCCTTTCACAGAGGTCACCTAAGACCATTGGAAAACACACAAATATTTCACAATATATAATTACATATTGTTTTGTGATGAATCACGAGGCTTTCATTATGTTTAATTATGTTCAATTTGTAACAATGAAAATACATCCTGCATATCAGATATTTACATGATGATTCATAACAGTAGCAAACTGACAGTTATGAAGTAGCAACAAAAATAATTTTATGGTTTGGGGGCTCATCACAACATGAGGAACTGTATTCAAGGGTCGGGTCGTGACATGAGGAAGGTTGAGAACCACTGTCCCCTCAGGGCCTCTTCCTAATGATGGGAAGGGCTTATTTCACTCCTTAGCAGGAAAACGAGTTAATGTCTAAGTGTTATAGTCCTCCCTGTAACTTCCCTGCCAGATAGGCAGCCATCCTTAACAAGACTGGAGGCAAGCCACAATCCTCCTGCAGGCATCGTACTCATCCCCTGTCACCTGAAAAGTCGCAACCTCCCACGGACATAAGACTCCTTCCCATCTCCAGATGCCTGAAATCTTAAGGCTGAAGAGATTGTGCTTCGAAGTGGCTGAGGCATGGTAGGCCGGCTTGAGCCTCAACCGGGGAGAAATGATGGAGACAAAGTGTTGGTGCTTATCTAAAAACACCTGTTGGAAAAGCAAGCACCAGGCCTCTCATGAAGAAAGAAAGCAAGAGGAAATGGAAGCAATCACCCCATCAGCACCCCTTGCTATCGCCCTCAAATGCCAGTGTGCCATCTTTCATGTCAAACTCAGGAAAACCTTCTCTTTCTGTCTTGCTCCTCTCTCACTTTTCGCTTCATCGTGTGTGCGAGATGGCAGGAAACTTGATTTGCTCCCGGAAGACAATGGCCTTATCTTCAACCCAGATCCTCCTCCCTGGCAAGGTGGCCTCCTCTGGGAGCATTTCCCGAGTGGGGGAAGCGGCGGCTCGGAGCAATAATGAGCAAGCAAAGGGAGTCTTCTTGGGCTGACACTGTGATAAATGCGGTGACACTTTGGCAAGGAACCAGAGTTGGCGTATTCAAACAAGAAATGAAAAGAGAGTTCCATTTTAATGGGAAATATGAAACAGCCATTGTGCAAAAAGTCGACTTTTCAAAAGCCACCGAGATAAAGACTATAGCGGAATGACTGAGCGCTGAGGAAGATAATGTGGTTGATAATCAGACGGAGGTGCAGTGCCCTCCTCCAAGCCATCAGCCGCTCTGTGGGAGTCGCTTTTTCAAGTCCCCTATCTGCCTTTGCTCTGCTTCATTATCATATGCATCTCTGGCTAGCTTCCTTACGGCAGCCCCCTGCCACCCTCCTGCCAGACACCGGGAAAAGTCAACCCAACTTTCTTTCAATCCCCAACTTCTCTTTGTGAGCCACAGGGCTGCCAGTGTCTCCCAAAGCCCAGAGACCAAGGAGGCTGAGCCCTGCCTTTTCTCACATCTGTTTGTCCTGCCCAACAGACACGAGGTTGACAACCGCAGGCAGCACAAGATGATGTTGTCTCCATCACGGGATAAGAGCCAGGCCCTTTCAGAGGGTGTCCTTGAGCAGCTCCTAATTAGCAGGCTGGAGAGTCAGCGGAAGTGGCTGAACCCTTTCCAAAGGCTTCTGCATGGATGAATCCAAGGCAGTGAGAGATGTCAGCTGAGGCCGTTGAACTCATGTGGTTTCGTGATTATCTGGAGACAAACCACCTGAGTTCATATCCTGCCACTCATTAGCTGTGTGACCTTGGGCAAGTCATTTAACCTACTTGAGTCCCAGGTTTCTCAACTTAAAACAGAGATGATCATATACCTTCCAAATTGTCCTGTGGCTTACCACAGGGCCTGGCCCACAGGAAAGGTTGCATCTGTGTTCGGGGTTATGTCATGGGTCAATCTGTGATCACTCTTGGGCTACAACTTGGGACTCATTTGGTGCTGTGGCCAAGAAGGAAGCAGCCCGGTGTTAGGCCTTCATGAAGCCGAGACCTGAATGAGCAAAGCCCTGTTGATAAATACCATCTGTAGAATCAACCAAGAAGACATTCAAGTGCCACTTGATCTGACTCCGGGTAGATCACACATAAGACCTGGAAGCCTCCTAGACACTGTTCCATGTCTTCCTATTCACAGGTGAGACCGTTGAGGCAGCCCTCGGAGACTTTGGACAAGAAGACACAATATGGCTTGTCCAGAGTCACAGGTGGTGGAAAGCCACTTGACTTAGCCTTTCCATACCCAATAAGGGGCTCTTGAATCAGCCAAAGGCCACCACTGCCCTGCTGGCCTTCCCATCCCTCAGAGGAACATCCAGGATGCTTGACCTTGACTCCCCACCTTGCTATCCCACCCATGCCTGACCCTGCCCATCTGTCCACCATGCACAGGGCAGGGACAATAGGGGATTGCTCTTCCAGGACTTGGAACTCTTAGGAAAAGAAAAGTGTTCCATTAAGGAAAATGCTGGCTTCTTGGGGGTTTCTGGGGTGTTTTTTTTCTTACTGTTCCCTCTTTCTTTCCAGATTGGACCCCTGACAATTATGAGTATAGCGAGGAGTATTACGACCAGGAAGAGAATGCCAGCAGTACACTTACCTACTCAGAAAATCCTAATTGGTACTACACAGAGGACGGTTCGTATGAAATCTGATTCTAGAGGTACCTCCCGTGAGAGGTAGCACAGGGGGGAGGGAATTGATGTGGGGTCATACGCAAGGGCATCTCTGTTCCTGCCTGACCAACACTGCCTGGGAGGTCTCACAGAGACGGTTCCAAGCATCCCTTGAGTTAGAATCCTTCACTCTGCAGCCTGGGGAGGCTCTCCGAGACCAACTCTCAAATGACAGATGACGTGAATGAGACCCCTAGGGGAACGGACTCCGCCAACACCCCACGGTCCTCTCAATCCAGGTCTTTGTATGGGTTTCCAAGTCGGGTGTTCTTTCCACAGCCTGGCACTGTGAGTCCGGGTCGGGTCAAGTACAAAATCGTGCCAGGGCTTTGTTCGCAGCTAGAGACTGGAGTTGGCATCGGACATCAGACTGCACCATGAGATGCAGCATGGACTTGGTTACCTTTCTACCTCGGCTTGGCTCCGTTTCCCTTTATCCTTTCACGCAGCAGAAGCATGCCCAGTGATGATGCACTCATGCGTGCACGCTGTGTGTGTGGGGGGGTGGGGGAGGGTATGCGCACCATGTGCCTACCACACTCGTGTTTGTGGCTTTGCCACCCAAGCAAGAAAGACAGGGAGGAAAAGGGGAAGCAGGGCCCAAGCAGAGCCATGCTACTAAGCCAGGAGCGAGAAGGAAGGCGAAGCTCTCTGTTGCCGGCATCAAAGCTGCGTGAACTGTGCAAAGTGGCCCAGAAGGCAGGGCCAAGATATGGGGCATCGGGGGGAACATCAGACGGGACCATCAAAACAAGAGCCGGGCCCAGGGATCCTAGTCCCTGAACCAAAGAACAGCACGAACAGAAGGATAGAAATTCCCAAAGGGAAGCGCCATTCAGACAGCCATGAAAAGCCAAAGGCGCAGATGAAATATGACAAAAAAATCTAACTGAACAAGTAGTTGAAGAAAGATGAAGGGCCACTGGGTCACTTCCTCCTCGCCGCCGATCTCTCTGTCACCCTTTGGTCTTCTCTCCTGATGTTCAGAAAGCTGGCGTTTCATTGGGGGCGGGCGTGCTTTCCTCACTCTTGACCTCCACCCCCCGGGGCCCTGGGAGTAGAGGAGGTCTCCAGGCTTGTGAAATGCCTCCGGTATCAGAACAGACCCGCGGCACCCCCAGCGAGACAGGGCGGAGGCGTGCACTGCTGGTGGGAAGAGGAGTTTCTCAATGAGCAAGGCCCCATCCAAAACCAGGCCAAGGGGAGACAGCCCCGAGGCCTTCTCGGCAGTCCTCCCACGAGGTTGAACCGGGCTCTCTGCTCTCGGGATTGCAGTTTCCCTCGCTCCCTAAGCACCATGGATGCTCCTGCTTCTTCTCTCCACTCCCTGGCTGCAGAATATCTCTCCCACTTGAGGCCACAGATGGAAGCTGGGTGAGCAAGCGGGCCTTCTGCTCATCGCCAACACTGACTTCTGCCTGTGTGCCTTAGATCCGTGCCAGTCCGGCCCTTGTGAGCATGGCGGGGACTGCCTGGTCAGAGGGGACACCTTCCAATGCAGCTGCCCGCCCCTTTTCTCTGGAAAGCGGTGTCAGAATGGTGAGTGCCTTTTCCGCAGAGTCCCTCCTCCCTCCAAACTGGGCAGAAGGCAGCTCTTCCTCTGACCCATGGGGTTTAGGAAAGGAAGGCCCCGGGGTTCCACAGAACGAGTTGTGGCTGCACCTATCGGGTTGCATATAGTGGATTCTTCAACCCGGTCAATGGCAACCTCCCTGAATCCTCATCCCAGGTGTGCTATATGGGATCAGCAGGTCCATTCTATGGGTAAGACTGAGGCGAACAACACGTAAGGGCTGGACTTTGCCCAAGGTGGATTCCAAACCCAGGACATTTTTACAGAGTGTTTAGACCAAGAGCAACAAAGAAATCAGACCCTCCGATGAGATAGCAAGAAAGGTCTTGGGGCACAGAGAGGCCAACGCAGTGAGAGAACGGAAGACGAGAGGACCCGGGCAGGGGGTTTGCTCATGGTCACTCGGCTAGTTAGGACAGTAGGGATTAGTGCCTGGGGCCCTCTCCACTTTTCCCTGTCAACCTTCCTTGCGGGAACCCTGATCAAAGCTGTGTCTGCCTCGGGAACTTTTGTGGGCATAGCAGGAATCCAGAAGGATAAAGCACAACACTAGAGCCCTTGTGCACTAATTACACCCCTAGAGAGAACCTGAATTCTGTTCAACTGAACAGCCCTCTCACTGGGGTGAGGGGGTTGTTGTTGATAGGTGCTTTTGCATCGACTCAGGCACATGAATCATAAAGACCCCCAGTGTGCAGAGAAGAGCCTATCCACAGACTGCAGCATTTATGGGGGCAGCCCCATGGGAGAGACAGGAGGGATGGTGAGGGTCCAATGGATATACAAGGTCTTCTGGTTGGCTTCTTTTCCCTGGACACTCTTCATTGGTTATTCCAACGGCCACCCCTTTAGTTCCTCCAATAAATGCTTCAGCGATAAATGTGTCAGTGGGGGCTATCAGGGTGAACAAAAGACCAGGGGGGAAAGGATGAAGGTTCACCCTTCCAATCCTCAGAAGAAGAATCTATCTGTAAAAGAAACACACAATCCACGAGATTCAAAAATCCGGTCATCGTTTTACTTGTTTATTTAAAGTGTAAAGGTTTTATGTTATAATGATGGAACAGAAAAACACAAGACGCATGGGAAGAGACGGGGGTGAAATCACCAACGACCTCAAGAACGGAGCAAAGCCTGGCCTGATGGAAAGGAATATTTCAGGACCACGGACAGGGGTCTCCTGTCATCCACCCACTCTCACCCTCAAGCATCGTCCTGGTGCTAAGCCTATGAGGGAGTCCCTGGATGGTATCCATGGTTAACCTGGGCTCAGCTGTTTGTCAAAAGGTTGTAGGTTCAAGTCCACTCAGAGACACCTTGGAAGAAAAATGTGATGACCCACTTCTGACAAAAATAGTCCTGGAGGCCTGTGGGGCACAGTTCTCTTCTGGCACCTGCGAGGGCTTCATGAGTTGGCGTTGCCGCCGTGGTTTCATGACTATGATCTATAGTATCCCTCTAAGTAAGATGTACCTTCAAATAATGCCCTCCTACTTTGCCCCGTTTCTCTATGCATGTTCTATAGTGAAAAACATGTGCAAGAGCAGCCCCTGCGGCCGCGGTGAGTGCCTCATTACCCGGAGCTCTCCCTACCACAGCTGCGCTTGCAAGCACCCTTACACAGGCTCCAGCTGCACCTCCGGTAAGTCCTCCCTTTCATGCCAACTCTTCGCTTCCCTAGTCTGTATTGGCCATGCTGGGCTGCTAAGAATAAGGTCAGTAGTTCGAAGCCACCAGCCTGTCCCATGGGAGGAGCAGGAGGCTTTCTGTTCCCATTAAGATCTACAATCTCAGAAGCCCAGAGGGGCAGTTCTACTTGGTCCTCTAGGCAGTTACACCCTGCTCCATGGTTGCTGTGAATCAGAGTAGACAGTGGAAATGAGTTTGGTGTGGCAGTTTGTCTGTGTCTGTCTTGGGGCTTCTGCCTCCTCCTGGGTGGAACTTTGGATGCACCTGGCGTTGTCATGGGAGCCAAGATGCCCCTTTTAACCAGGACTTGTTAAGATTAGTCATTACTGAAGCGCTTAGTGGCAAATGACTGACAGGTGTCCATTCCCATCCCAAAAGAGTCATCTTGAAACTCAACTTCTTGTGGGAGACGGACTCTGATAGATTCTTGGGGTGGGCCATGTCCAGGAATCAGCAATTATTAAGCCACTGCGATGAAACAGGCACAATCACAAGAGACTTATATTCCTCTCGTATTTTCCCACCAACACCACAAAGGAGGGTTTCACAGACAGAGAAACTGATCTTCTGAGAGGTTAGTTAACTAGCCCGTGGCTATTAACCAGCTAGTTAAATCATTCATGCATGGTCCTGGAACTATCACGGGGCAGAGCCACATTTCAACCTAACTCAAGAGTGTCTTCAAAAGTCTTGTTCAGCCCGTAACTCTTGTTAATCCTTGTGGAGGGATCTATCTACTCTTTATGGGTGACTGTCACCCATGTTGCTTCATGCGTGTTTGTTCATGTTCTGAAAGTTCATGTGTACATTTCCTCTATGTCAGTGGCTCAGGGTGCCCCTTTGGAGATTCGTCTTTTAAGTATGGATTGTGATAAGAGTTGTATGAGCCCCTAATAAAACGATTAAAAAAGAAAAGAAAGGACGGGGGCCAGGAGAGTCATCATCTCCTGGTCATCCCAAATGTAGCTCCTACTCTTGCTGAAGAGCCTGCCTGCCCCTGCTTGTTATGTCTACAGTCATTCCTGTGTGCAGGCCAAATCCCTGCCTAAACGGTGGTACCTGCTCCCGGCACAGGCGGAGATCCAAATTCACCTGCACCTGCCCTGACGAGTTCAAGGGGAGATTCTGTGAAATAGGTATGAGTCTGTGACACCCCCCACCCCCACCCCACTGCATCAGAAACCCAGGCTTCAAGGGGCCCCTCTGGAATTTGTTTCATTGGGGTTTGGTTGTCAGAATATGGTTCAAATCAAGTTTCCCAAACTTGGCTACTTCCCACCTGAGGGAAGCCGCTGTGTCTGGCTGCGTGGGGAGAAAGGAGTAAACTGGGACGAAGCGCAGGGCAAACGGAACACACCAGCTCCGTCACGGGGCTTCAACCTGCCACTAATCCTTGTGTGAGACAAACGTAAGGAACCCCCCACCCGCCTCCTCATCATTTCAAGTTAGATTTATGGGGAACCCATCAAGATGCCTTCTTTCCGCGACTTTGCCGCGAAAGATCAGAGGGCTCAAAAGACGCACGCGTCTCAGCACTTGACACGCGCTCTGGGGAGCTGTGTGCCAGTTGTGGCGTGTTCTCCCAGCCCTGCCTGCTCTCTCCAAGGTCCTGACGACTGCTATGTTGGTGATGGCCACGCTTACCGGGGGAAAGTGAGTAAGACAGTCAACCAGCACTCGTGCCTTCACTGGAACTCCCACCTCCTCTTGCAAGAGAACTACAACGTGTTTATGAAGGATGCTGAGGAGCATGGAATCGGGGAACACAACTTCTGCAGGTAAAAGAACTTCCTGCTCAACTTTGGATCCTGATATTACCTTGCTCTGCTCCCGGTAGTTGTGGACCAGCTTAGAAATGTGAGACCAGATTCACATACTCGTCTGTTTTCCATCTAGGAAGATGATCCCTCTCAAGAGAGTAGAAGTTACCCTGCTCTAACAAACAACCCGACCAAAACCAGTAGCTCAAAGACACCCAAGTTCATTTCTTGTCAATGTGAACATGTGTTGTATAGGGTGACAGGAACCTGGGGCAGGGGGCGGGGGGCGGTGCCCTGCAAAGTCACTCAAAGCTGTAGGGGTGGCAAAGAGAGGACGGAGAATGGAGCGGGGATGGGCACTGTGTTGCCATAAGCTAGAAGCGACCCATCATCTCCTCGCACACATTTCATTGGTCAGTAGTCACATGGCCTCACACAAGTTCTGGGGAGAAATATCTAGAATCCATTAGAACATTTGATGGACATCGCAGTCTGACCCAAGGATGTCCAGGTTTCCCCCCCAGAAGGAGAGTGTCTTCCCTCTCCCTGGTGATGACTTTAGTTGCTTCTTCCACTTCAGCGGCCTCAAACGTTTCAGATGCCCCTCCCACTACACTTGGGCTAACTGTGGGCCACTACATGTGGGCCAAGGCCTACATGCTTTTCTAGGAGGGGCCAAGGTTCTGTGCATAGCTTTCAGCAGAAGCGGGAGTTCCCTTGAATGAAGCAGAAGTTACCTTCCACGTCACCGACACCCCCCCCCCCAAGCTGTTGGCTTCACGAAGCTGTCTTCGGAGCTGCCTCCTATGATGTTGTTCTCAGAGATGCTCATGCATGGAATTATAGGTTCAGGCCAAAGAGCCCCACTTTCAGCATGCCTCTGTGGATAATTCACTTTCCTGACAAATAAGGGGCTTCAATGGAGGTCTCCTTTGTTTTCAACACACTCTATGATCTGCTCTGTAGACTTGTGAAAGGCCAAGGCACTACTTCTTATTCATTAGACTTCACCTCTGGAAGTTGAAGGGCTTGCCCACAAAACTAAGAGCCCCCTATATCCCCAGCCCAGGCTTGCTGGCCCTTTGGGGGGCTCAATGGACTATGGTCCCCAGAAGCCGTCTACCATCCTGGTGTGTGCCAATGAGGTCCCAGGTGTGTGCCAAGCCTTGGCACAGATTTTGGTTTTATTTCCATTTCTTCAGGAATCCGGATGGAGATAAAAAGCCCTGGTGTTTCATCAAAGTGAACAGCAAGAAGGTGAAATGGGAGTACTGTGACGTGCTGGCCTGCCCAGCCCTAGGTGAGGCCATGACAGCCTGAAGACCCAGGCTATAGGGATATTGACACTCCATAGATGGCTGCTTCTGGCACCTCATCCCCCTCTTCCCTACCTCCCAACCACACCCGCTTTACCAATCCCCCACCCAGGGGTAACCCAACTGCCTGACTCCCCTGATCCCCTCTTGGGATGCTGAACATGGCCTGGATAGATGTGTAAACTCAGGCCAAGTGGTCCTACGGTAAAGACATCTTTTCTAACTCCAAGTCAGGGCCCTCGGCAGATCACTATTGATCATTTGCTATTTGCTGGGCATCCTGCCAGGCCGTGGGCAGACAATGGTGGACAAATGTTGGCTGGGCCCCCATGACCAGTGAAGGGGCAACATGATCTGAATTCCAGGCTCACAGCAGGCTGCCTAGGACCACCTCTTTACCCAGACCTGTGTGGAAGCACCCCCTCAACCGAGTCACGGAGATGACCACCCTGGAGAATTCCTCTGCAGGCTTTTGCCTCTCTGGCCCCCTCTGTCTAGAACACCCCGCCCCAGGTGGTTTCTTGTCCAGGGCCAACAAGTTTCTGAGACCCAACTAAAATGTCCCCTCCCCCCAGAAAGAAGTACTTCCTCTTCCCCCAAACAAGTGTTATCTCTTCTGCCTTATACCTCCCAGGGAAGAGTCACCACCCAGCCAGCACTCCCTCCGTTGTGTCACATTTATCAGGGAAGATAGCTTTAGCTCCCTGATTGCACTTCATGTAGATACTCTGACCACTCTACACCTACACACACACACACACACACACACACACGCACACAGAAGCTCTGGGGCTACAGTAATTACAAGCACTCTGCTGCTAACCAGGTGGCCAATGCAAACCCACCAGACACTCCATGGCAAGGTCACGTGCCTATTGTTTCCATAAAGACATATATCCTTGGAAACCCCATTAGGCAATTCTACGCTGTCCTGTGTAGGTCCTTTGCACAAGAATTGACTCCAGGGCCATTGGGCTTCATTTTGAGTGGCACAATATGTAAGCACTTGGCTGCTAACAAAAAGGATAAGGGTGCAAGCCCACCAGCAGTGCCATGGGAGAAAGATGTGGCAGTCTGCTTCTGTAAAGATTTTTATCTTTAGAACCTCTGTGGGGGCAGTTCTGCCCTATAAAGTTGCTGTCAGTTAGAATCAACTTGATAGCAGTGGACACCTACCTAAAGCCCCCAGAATACTGTGGGCGTGTACGCAAGTACCCATCTCAAATGACCAGACCCCCTGCCACTGAGGCGATGAGCCCCATCGGGGCACAGTACGGCAGAGGGGGACTAGTCCCTGGGATTTCTGAGACTGTGCATTTTCTGGGGACAGCCTCATTATCCTCCTGTGGAGCAGCAGATGGGTTCAAACTTGTGACCCTGCACCTAGCAGCCCCAAACTTAACCCACCAGGCCACCAGAGCTCCAAATTAATGAATAGTTAAGCACATATACGCCCGTGTTCTAGGAGTGATCTGTCCTGGAATAAGGAAAAAGCAACGTGATTAATGCTATAGAGCAGCCGTTCTCAATCTGTGGGTCATGACCCCTTTGGGGGTGGAATGACCCTTTCACAGGGGTCACCCGATTCATAACAGTAGCAAAATAACAGTTATGAAGTAGCAACAAAAATAATTTTATGGTTGGCAGGGCCGCCACACCATGAACTGTATGAAAGGGTTGCAGTGTTCGGAAGGTTGAGAACCGCTGCTATAGACTCAGAGTAATCAACTTATTTAATGAATACTAGTTGAGCACCTACTGCATGCGCCCCTGTGTGCACAGGCCCGGCTCTTGGCTCTGGACACTTGGTAAGCTGCTGAACTCAGTCATACGCCGCTATAGGTCTTTGGGGGGTGGGGGAGGGCTGGAGAGAGTGAGTAGCTGTGATTGGTCTTGAATGTTGTCCCGCAGACATTGTCGATGCAGAGGGGAGCCCCACGGAGCCCATTGGCCAGCTTCCAGGGTTTGGCTCCTGCGGGAGGACTGAGAGGCAGCTGAAGAGGATCTACGGAGGCTTCAAGAGCGCGGCGGGCAAGCATCCATGGCAGGCGTCCCTACAGACCTCACTGCCGCTGACCCACACCATGCCCCAGGGCCACATGTGTGGGGGCGCGCTGATCCACCCCTGCTGGGTGCTCACTGCCGCCCACTGCACTGAGTATGTCGATGGGAAGCAGAGGCCGGGGCGACTCGGATGGATGGGGTGCTCTCCTTCCCCCCTGAGCAGCACCTTGGTAGCTCAGGCAGGACCAAGGGACCCGATTTTAACCCCTTGGACCAACAAATGACTCCTTCAAACCAGAGAGAAAATAGCTCCCATGCTTGCCCTGTGGCAGGGATTCTGACTTCTGCACCTCAGGACAACCTGCTGGCAGATGGTCCCGACATTTCTTTGAGTTGCTAATTCCAGTCTCCCCAGTGCCTGCACTAGGAAGTTCCCTGAGCCCCCAAAGTGCTCGTTGGGTTCAAGAGGTTATTGTATTGTTATTCCCATTTCATAATGAGGATCCTGTGCCTTGGAAAAGGTATTCACCTTGCCTAAAACCATGCGCAAAGCAGGTGGGAGAGTAAATGGTGCTCCTAGATCAGCCTGCTTCCAAAACCCATGCCCTTAACCTCTTAGACAAAGGAAATAACGTGTTCCCCACAATCTGAGGTCATCACTGACGAGCCTGCTGGGTCTGGCACCTTCTAGTCAGCCTGCCGGGCACGTCAGAAGCAAGCACCCTCTGGGGCGCATGAAGACTTGCTAAGTTCACGGTCCAAGTTGGTCCCTCAAAACCCGCATTTCATAGGCAATCTTGAAAGTCTTCTAAGACAGTGGTTCTCCACCTTCTTCATGCCACGACCCTTTCATACAGGTCCTCAGGTTGGCGTGATCCCAACCATAAAATTCTTTTCGTTGCTACTTCATCACTGTCATTTTGCTACTGTTATGAATCGGGCAACCCCTGTGAAAGGGTTGTTCGACCCCCTAAAGGGGTCGCAACCCACAGGTTGGGAACTGCTGTTCTAATGCATTAAGCAATTTCTCCTGGGAGTCTAGACACTCCCTGAGAGAGGTCAACCATGTAATCATTAGCACCTCCCCACAGATTGTAGAAGAGTTGTTTGAGGTGGCAGCTGGGTTTTCTCTAGCAAGGCCCAGGCGGAATGGTAGGGGACGAGGAACAGGGGAATGCATGTTAGGTTTACAGACGGATTCTATTAACCAAGCAAGAAAGCCGTTGACTTACACAATGAGGCTCTTCCAGAGAGATGTCAATGCAGGTGAGGACGCAGGTTTGGTGATTGGCTAAAGTCACAGAACTCCCTTAGCAAAAGCAGCGCTGGGCTTTGGATGCAGTCTCTTGCATCCCTGGGCTATTTCCTGAGCATGGCATCTTCCCTTGCAGCATAAAAACCAAACATCTGAGAGTGGTACTAGGGGACCAGGACCTGCTGAAGACAGAATTCCATGAGCAGAGATTTGGAGTGGAGAAGATCTTTAAGCACAGCCTATATCATGAGAGAGACGAGATTCCGCACAACGATATTGGCAAGTATCTTCTATGAAAGACCTCCCAGGGGGTCTCGTTCTAGGTTTGCTTTCAGGCGGGTGGTACCCTTGCTATTTGGGGGTCTCGTGTAGACTCTGAAATGGAGAATTTATTCTGGAGCGTTTTCATTCTTAAAGGTGGGTGTTACTTGTAAATAAATGTGCACACGACTAAAATCGAGAGGAAGAGATGCTAAAAATGTTGTGAAAAAACCTTGGTCTTGAACCCCGACTCTGTCACTTACTAGCCAAGTTCCCCTCCTAGAGCCTCAGTTCCCCACTCTATAAAATGGGGAGGCTGATGATGATTAACACCCAAGTGCAGAAACCATTGCTATCCTTGAGTAATTGGCTGCTTCATTCTGCACCCTACTTCCCCATTCTTCTGGCCTCTCAAGCTCTCTACTTGACCACCTTCTCACCCTTCAGAGACTATTTTAAAAGATTGATTAGAAATTATTTCAAGCTCAGTGATTATTGCTTGATGTGATTCTAGATGGGTTTCAGGCATTCAGGGTGGAGCTTTGCAACAACCTGCTTCCAATCAGGAAGTTGGTGCTTCTTTGACCAAACAGGGACTCCAGCCCCTTTCTCTCCGTCCTCACAGCTTTGCTCAAATTAAAGCCAGTGGATGGACACTGTGCTCTGGAATCCAAGTATGTGAAGACAGTGTGTTTGCCTGATGGTCCCTTCTCCTCAGGGACTGAGTGCTACATCGCTGGCTGGGGTGTTACAGAAACAGGTAAGTCTGGCTGTGGATGTCTCCTGAGACTCAGGTGTGCTGTATCAAACAGAGAAGAAACCCAACTGAGTTTGCACTCGAAATATATTTTCAAGAGAAAGAGTCTACCTACATGTTTGCATTCTGGTTTAAATCTTGCCACCTCCAGGATATCTTCCTTCATACGTAAATTGAACCATTCAATACTCTTGGATTTTTTATCATAATTGGGCATTGTTCCCATATCCATCGAGATCTATGTCCTTCCACAGCTTTGAAAAGAACGTGGACTTGGGAGTCAGATAAACGAGTTGGATTCCTCACATTGTAACTTAGACAACAGAGTTCTAGTGCTCCAATAATCATAGTTACCTCCCAGGTGTGGAAACCATGACTACCGGAAATAGCAAAATTCGATAGGGACATTAATTAATCATCAATTAAATAATCAGCCCTCATAGGGGAGGGGCCAGGTCTCACTTATCTTTTTCTCTCCCACAGTACTTCATACAGAGCTCTACATGTAGAATGTTTTTTAAATTTTGTGAAATCAAACTGTTGATTTCATTTTTCTGATTTGGCACTAGCTCAAAATAACACCACTCTTCTCATAGTTCTGAAGTTACTGTGTCGTCTTCTCCAGTTGGAAGCCTGGTGGCATAGTGGGTTGTGTATTGGATTGCTAACCACAAGGTCAGCAGTTTGAACCCACCATCCTCTCCACAGGAGAAAGATGAGGTTTTCTGTTCCCATTAAGACTTACAGTCTCAGAAACCCACAGTGGCGGCTCTCCTCTGCCCCAGAGGGCCATTGAGCTGGGACTGACTCCATGGCAGTGAGTTTGTTGTTGTTGTTGTTGTTTTGGGGGTTGTTTGTGGGGTTTTTTTTTGTGGTGGTGGCCTTTTTTTTTGGTTTTTTCCTTTTATTTTTGTGGTCTAATCCAATTGAGTTCAGGAGGATAGTTCAAGCATTTTCCAAATGTTCAAAATGCATGTCTCCTCAAATCTTGTCCTTCACAATGGCAGGTAAGAATCACTGTAAGTAGATCTATATTCATGAAGTAACTGGGATGTAATATACAGGTTTGACAGAAGGATTTTGAGAAAGGTGATTTTTGGGTCATTGGCTTTAAGGTCAGTCAGAATCCCTGTTTATAATTCCCTTCGGGAAGCCCTGGTGGAGTAGTGGTTATGCATTGGGCTGCTGACGGCAAGGTCAGCCACTCAGTGGGAGAAAGATGCGGCTCTCTGTTTCCAGAAAAAGTTACCATCTTGGAAACTCACAGGGGAAGTTCTACTCTGTCGTGTAGGGATGCTATGGGTTGTAATCAACTCAATGTCAGGGGTTTGAGGGGTTTTTCCACTATCAACGACCTAAATCTTTTGACCTCTATTTTGCTCAAGTCTTGGAGGAAAATCTTATGGCGTGCCAGGTCAGAATGATTCTCTTTCATCAATAGACCTCCAAGACTTCCATGTTCAAAGTCAATGACATGTTTTGGCTGAGTTCATTATCTTAAATGGGGGGAGGGGTATTATGCATGAAGAGGTCAGTGGTCAGTTGAATTCTGACCTCCATTTTGGAGACGTGACTTCAGTCCCAGCCACCGAAGTTCATGAACAGGCACCACCATCTGTCAGTGAAGCAAGGTGTGTTGCTAGGACACCTATGATGCTAAGCAGGTCTCAGTGGACCTTCTGAGAAAGGCTCAAAATTTCACTTCAGAAAATGAGCCAGTGAAAATCGTATGGCTCATATAGGCTCTAAGCTGTTAGGGGTCATGGGGATGACTCAGGACCAGAAAGCATTTTGTTCTCTTCTGCATGGGGCCCATGGGAGCTGAGGTTGGCCTGATGGTAGAACGGAGAAAATACCTGCCCTGGGAAGCAGATGCTCAATAAGGAACCTAGGACACTTCATCCATCCATCCACCTAGAATCCATTGTGTCAGCCCTTCTGCTAGGCACAGGAGATTTAGAATTGCTAAGACGCCATCCCTGGTCACCAAGACCTCATGGTCTAGCTGGGAGATAGAAATGGTTCTGTATTCTGGTAAGTGTGGAAATGCAGGTTTGGTCAAGGGTGTAAAAAAAGGTTTGCTGTGGTGCTTGGTTACTGATTACACGTTAGCTCCAGCTTTGGGAGATGACACTTCCTGCACATTTCCCAGAAAACAGCTCTTCCTTCCTGCCTGGCTTTCTCCTTCCCACTACTGCCTCTCTCTGTCTCTTTGATTTGGCCAGTATTTTGGTACATTTTTCTGAGTAATACCTGTTTATATCAGAATCTGTTTGGAAAGCACTCTTTGATTTCGTGTTATTTTGTACCACATAGATGCTCTCCTCATTTGAATAGTTTTATTTATTTCGTGTGTGTGTGTGTCTGTCCTTGGTGAAAGATTACACAGTAAATAAAGCTCCCATCTGGCAAATTCTCTACAAACTGTTCATGGTATGAGTTAAATTCTTTGCAAGTGTGTCCACATTCTCTTTGGCTATGTCCCGGTTGCTCAGTTTTTAGGACTCTCATTTCTCTGCTTCTCTATCTTTGCTTGACAGTCATTGCTGATCTTTCGGTCTCATTGGGATGCTTTCTGTGGAACGCTACGTAGGGAGTGCCACCCACTGCTGACTCCTGATCAGGCGAGGAGCGTGCTGCCTCCCACACTGACACCTTCTCTTCTCCACCTCGCAGGGGATGGGTCCCGCCAGCTCCTGGACGCCAAAGTCAAGCTGATCACCAACACTTTGTGCAACTCCCGCCGCCTCTACGATCACATGATTGACGATAACATGATCTGTGCGGGAAACCTGCAGAAACCCGGGCAGGACAGCTGCCAGGTCAGTGACTCCATGTGCAGAAGAGGCTGACAGGGCTTTACACAGGGCACAGGGGCCCCGTAGAGCTCGGGTGGCAGGCAGAGTCCAAGGGCCAGAAAACAAAGGCACAGCTGGGGCATCTGTCCTCTGGTCAGTCTGAATCCACACAGGCCAGGTGGCCCCATGAAATAAGAGGGGCACTTTGTCTGCATGGTCTCATTCAATTCTCACTGCACAGTGGTGAGGTAGATGTCTTTCATATCATGTTAAGAATGCTTAGAGGTCGTTATCTTGGGTGCTGAGTAGAAGAGCTAAAATTTGAACCAGGTCTGCTGGGCACCAAAGTCTTAGCTACTTTGCTCAACTGTCCTTAAGTGGGAAGATGGAGTTTCTGGTCTCAGGACTTGTCCGTAAGTCTGAAAAGTTCCAATTGTCTGGGTCCAAAAGGGTGTGTACATGTGTACGTCCAGGTGAATGTGTGTGTGAGTGAAAGAGAAAGATTGACTGGACTTAAAAAATAAGTACTCACATCACTCTGTGCTTTGCCTAACAGCCCCCCTACTCCCAGACTTTGGGGAATTCTGAGCTGTTGAGGCCAGTGGTGGACAGGGCTCCATCAGATAAAGTGGTCCCAGGCACCCCACCCAAGTAGAAACCCATTCCCTCTATCAGAAGAGGTCACATCACACAACAAACATCCTTCCCAGCTTCCAAGGACCTCGGCAATTCAGACTGCATCCCTGGTCCTCATGAACCATACAACTGCGGTGGAAACCCCTCACAGGGCACATTCCAAGTCTAGCTCATGGATGGACCCTGCCTGCAAAAGGGCCCAGCACTGATTTTCTGGGCTCCTGCTCCACTCTGGGATAGAATCACAGTCATTCTCTGCAGGGTCTGTGGCTCCACTGGGATCCTCTGCCTCTTCCCAAGGAGTCACGGATACCTACGTCCTAAGCCCCTGGACAATGAGTAAGGCAAGAGATGGCAGGCTTTCCAAACAAATTGCCATAGGTTTGAAACCTTTACTAAATCACTGAAGTTGTTCTCTACTCCCAGGTGCCCAATCTGTGAAAGTGTAATGTATGCATAAGATCATCAGGTGGTGGCTTAGCTTAAAAAGAGATAGCTCATTACACTAAACTCTCAGCTGCCATGCTCAAATAGCAAGTGCTCCCTACTTTGCACCCATGTCCTCACCATCCTCTTTCTTGCCACTGTGAGGGACTGCCATGTGTTAGGACCTATTGTATTCAATGTACAGCCGATCATCTTCATAGGAACCTGTGGAGAGGTGAGAGGCTATTGCCATCCAGTGAACAGTGTGTCCATCTGAGCCCCCAGAGCACATGGCTAACAGGTGGTAGAGCCTGATCTGGAATTCAGACAATCTAAACCCATGAACCATACTCGAATATAGAAATCAGGCTGCCTCTAGGCCAATTGTCCCACCCTCCTCTCCTTGTGTGTCCCGCTGGTTCTGGAAGTGCTCTGTCCGTACATTAAACCATGACACAGGTCAGCAGCCAGAACAGGAAAGTCAAAGGCCCTGAGGATGCACAATAGTAATATTTGTAATAGTGGCAATATTAGACTCAAACATGTCGGCAGTCATAAAGATGACAGAGGACTAGAAAACACGCATTCTGTGGTGCATAAAGCTGTACATGAGTTAGAACTGACATCATGAGAGCTATCATCTATCTACCTACCTAACTAGCTAGATGCCTATCATCTATTTATCTACACACCTACCTAGCTGCCTATGATCAATCATCCTATTGTCTATCTAATACACTTATCTAGCTAGCTAGCTGTCTATCATCATCTATCTATCTATCCTCAGGAGCTAGGAGGGTAGGAACTTCCCAAACCCTCACTCATTCAGGATGCAAAATCGTACTCCTGTCCCCGCTTGAGAGCCCTGGGTCAGGGGACACAAGGGAAGAGCCCTGTCATTCAGCATCCCCTTGTGGCCCGGGGTAGCCTCGTTGAATCGGCACTGCCATACACAACCGAACACACACCTCTTTTTCCCTAGGGAGACTCGGGAGGTCCTCTGACCTGTGAGAAGAACGGCACCAACTACGTCTACGGGATCGTGAGCTGGGGCCTGGAATGCGGACAGAAGCCAGGGGTCTACACTCAAGTCTCCAAGTTCCTGAGCTGGATTCAAGCCACCATCCAGAAAGAGACTAGCTTCTAAGGTAGTGTCTTCCAACTTCAGAGCCTTCCCTCCTTAGCACCCACACAAGGCTAGACTCTATGGGCAGTGTTAGACCCTTAGAGCTCCTGAGGGCTGCGCAGTGGAGTGTCCCGGGGCCGTGTCCCTAGATCTAAGCAGAGACACTGCTGCCAAGCCCAGGCTCCTGGGACCAGGATTTCTCCACTTCGCAAGACCCCTCTGCCCTGGAGAGACAGAGGCAGGAATGATGAATTCTACCTGAAAGGTGTCACACTTGCTCTCAACAATTGTTCTTATGGAACATCAGTGTTCGAGGAGACTGGCTCACCGTGAATATTGGCAGACGTGGAATTACAGACAGAATGTCCAGCCCCAATGGGAGCTGTCTGTACATCTTTATGCCTCTATCTCAGACACACAAAGCTCCCCAGTAGAAACATGATCCATTCATTTTCATGCTTTTTTTTTTTTTGACAGAGTGGGTGGGAGGTAGCATCTGGGGGTCCATGTTCACAGCTCGCCCAAGCTGAAACCAGGGAAGCTGGTCTCTCCAACTCCTCTCCCCACTCTCAGGGGTGGGGAGGGGCTCTCAGTATAGAGCCTTCCTCCTTTTGACATGCAGAATCTCAGTGGCGTCAGGGTTGACATCATCCCGCCGGTGGTCACTAGAGTCCACAGCCTCTGGCCCGCCCTGCAGAAACCAAATAGAACGCCCTGAGTTCAAACTGCGCCCTCTCCACTACTGTCCCGGCACGAATGGTCTAAGCTGCCTCCTCTTTGCTAGCGGCTGTCAAGTCATTTCCGACCAGAGTGACCCCACACAGGCAGAGCAGAACTGCTTCATAGGGGTCTCCACTCTGACCTTTCAGAAGCTGTTTGCCAAGCTCTCTGGGGGCAGGTTCGAACCAGCAACGTTACAGCTGAGAATCCAGGGCTGAACCAAGTCTAAGACCCAAGGTCCCCAGGAATGCTGAAATCCTCCTCCTGCCTGCCCCTACCCCAAGAAGAAAGGACTTTCAAGACCAGCATGAAGAGGCAGCAAAGCCAGTCTCTCATTTAGACGGGGTGTCTTTTTCCTGAACAAAGCCGGGGTCACCGCCCTGACTGTTGGGGCCCACTAGTCTCCGACCCTTGCTGTGCCTGTAACGAACACACAGTCATCACAGCCAGGCTGCCCGGGCCCCAAAGTGATGCCGCCCTGAAAGGTTTGCCTCTGCGGAACTGAGGGCTGCCACTTCAGAGAAAAGCCTGCAGGACGCTTAACCTGACAGTCATCCCGCCTGGGCATCTCAGACCCGAGAAATCAAGCACCTTGCTCCAACTGCATTTCACGCTTCTTTAGAGCCAGCTGACCTTTGGCCAAAAATAAACTTTGAAAAGAAACAATGGGTTTGCCTTTCCCCAAGGCCTGGCCAACTGGGCTCGGGTTTGTGGCTTGCTACTCACGTAAGTGCCCCGGAGAGCCAGACACCTGGCGTTGGCCAGCTCTGCCGCCCGCCGGGCCATCTCCACCCTGTAGGAGCCAGGAGGGGTCCAGCCGACACCTCTGGTCAGGTTCAAGTCCGATTTGTACTTAACCTTGGGGGAAGGAGGGAAGCAGGAGGAAGAGGTCAGAAGGGTTGGGGGTAGTTTGTCCAAAGAGTGGATACCATTTTTAAAAGGCAGCCTTGAGATGGGGGCCTTCCAAAGGTTCAAAAGGAAAAAGGAAATGAAAAGAAATTGAACTTTTGACATAAACGTTCTGAAGCACCATCACATGGTGCTGTCGCTGAAGGCAGGGCACGGGTCAAATTCATCCTGAGCAGGAGGTCCCTGCCATAGAAGACCCAAGGGGCTTAGAGCCGGGCCATCGTGCTGTTGTCTGTTGCATCTGGCCCTTCAGCTCATGTGGGCTACAATGGGCTGAAAGGGCCGTGAGGCAGGGGTGGGGGTAGGAAGGATGCTGGGAAGGGAACTGGCTATGGAGTCCGAAGATCTGGTTCAAGTCCAGGGTGCTATCGATCCTAACTCGCCAGTGGCCTTGGGGGGAGTCCCTTCCTTCCTCTGGGCGTCATATTCCTCCCAGGAAAGGCACAAAGGCTGCGGCAGTTCGCTATGGGATGCCTCGAAGTAGCACAGCACAGTGACCAGGTCACATGGGGGTTCCCATCCCAGACCGGCCGCTCACTAGCTGTGTGAGCTGCAGCCTGCGCCCTCAGGTGTAACGCGAGTGCATCACGGCTCGTGGTCGGGAGGAAGACATGGCACCAGGCTTATGAAACATTTGGTCTGGAGCCTGGCCGACAACAGAGCCCTGGCTGACGGTGTTGCTGTGAGCCACAGACTCCATTCTGACTCACAGAGACCGTATTTCATAGAGTAGTAGAGTAGAATGGGCCCTTCGGCTTCCTCGCGGACTTCTTTGCAGCATCAGAACCCCGGGTCTTTTCTCCCATGAAGGGGCATTGGGGTTCAAACTTCTAAGCTTTTGCTTAACGACTGGGCACTCCGCCACTGTTCCATCAGGGCTCCTATGGCAGATGGCAGCCCTGGCAATCTTGACCCTGGCAGGGGACGTGCTTACACACCGGGATGTTAACCGCCAGGTCAGCAGTTCAAAATCACCAGCTGCTCCTCGGGAGGAAGAGGGGCCATTCTACTCTTGTCAAATGTCACGGTCTCAGACACCCACAGGTGCAGTTCTGCCCCATCCTCTAGGGTCCCTGTGAGCCGGCATTAGCATGGCGGTGAGCTTGGGTTTTCTTTGCCTTGGCAGTGAAGCGGTAGGTGTCTGGGATTCTATCTCAGACCGAGACTGGAGTGGGGGGGCAGGGGGGACCATGGTCCCCTCCTGAAGAGGAAGGTGGGCAGGGTCTGGGTGGGGGGGCAGGGGGCGGGGGGACAGGCACTCACATCACTCTGTAGCCGGTGAGCCTTCTGCACATGCTTCAGGCTCAGCTGCTCTGGGTCGCAGGTGGGCTGGGGCAAGGGCTGCCTATACTGCACATCGCTGGCCAGCTGCTGGCTCCGCTTGGCTTGGAGGAGGCCAGGCTGGTCTGTGCAGCTGTGGAACTGGGACAGGGTCTTGGCGAAGTCCTTCTTGTACACATTGTCGCTCTGGAGTTTGCCGACGCGGAGGAAATGTCTCATCTTCGGATCCTCGTAGATGCTGCGGTATCCAGTCTGCAGGCCCCGGGCCCGCAGGAAGGCCTCCTTATACCGGAACTGTAGGGCAAGGGAGGGGATTGTCCATGGGGGTCCCTCCCTCCTGACCACCCAAGGGCTTCTCAGCAAGATGTCCAAGCACAGGGTAAGGGGACAGGCTTCGGAATCTAGTTAACCTGGGTCTGCCCTGGTTCTGCCCCCTTCTAGGCGAGTGGCTTTGAGCCAGTGATGGAATCTCCCTGACTCTCCTTTCCCTCATCTGTTCAAATGGGAGAATTCCTCTCCACCTCATAGGGAGTGTTAAGAAGATCCAACAAGATGGAGCGTGAGCATCATGTCTGGTATGGGTCTGTGCTGCTGAGTGGCCGGGCCGTTGCTTGATCGCTAGGTGCCAGGGAGTTAGTTTCCCTGCAGAGTGACCCGATGGCGAGGGAAGGAAGTCCTCTCTGCTCTGCCCCATCCTCACGACCATTGTTGGAGCCCACGGACGCGGCCACTGCTCCATCCATCTCAGTGAGAGCCGGTCTCTTTTACGCTGGACCTCCACTCTACCAAGCAGATCTCCTCCAGGACCCTCCTGAGAACAGGTCCAAAGGACATGAGACGCCTGGTAGCTACTCATATTGTTGCTTTCAGGAACCCAGCCCAGTGGGCTCCACTATCTAACCGAAGGACCCTAGTTCCATGTTGCTTTTCCTTTTTAAATTTTCATTTCATCAAAGACCACACAAGGTCTTAGAACACCAACACATCTGATAACAGTCAACGGACCTTGACCCTGGTCCACAGGTGAATCCACCTATCAGCAGCAAGGATGTTACAATGTCAAGTTTCTTTTAAGGAGAAGTTTCTAAATCAGCAGTTCTCAACCTTCCTAATGGCGTGACCCTTCCATATAGTTCCTCATGTTGTGGTGACCCCCCGCAACCATAAAATTATTTTCGTTGCTACTTTGTCACTGTAATTTTGCTACAGTTATGAATCAACCCCCAAAGGAGTCACAAACCACAGGTTGAGAACTGCTGTTCTAAATGATTGCTCTGGATCTATGTACTTAGCACAGCATGGATGGGCAGCAGAGTCCCTAGATAAGAACAGATGCAGTGCTGAAGGGACATCTTTTTCTGAGATAATAATAGCTGCATTGTTGGAACAGGTGTCAGATGCTACATAGTATTCTGTTTTCATGCCACATCTCTGGAGACAAGTATTAGATTCCCTATTTCACAGATAAAGAAACTTGAACTCAGAGAATTTAATTAACTCATCAAAGATCACACAACCATTTCCTAAGAACCTGAGCCAGGATCGAGCCAAACATCTTGCTATCCTGTCACCCTGCACTTCTGCTAAAAGAGATCCCTTTATTGCAAATAAAACAACATTATCATTGATTTCTAGGTATACACACATCAACTTCCAAGAGTGACTTTGAATACAACTTCCCTTAATCCAAAATTTCTGGCTAAAATCTTAGCTAATAAGGCCAACCTCTCTTCTTTTCACTGGACAGATAGGTTCAATGTTTAAGGAACCTGGTGGTGTAGGTTAAGTGCGGGGCTGCTCACCAAAGGTTCGGGCCTACCAACCATTCCCGGGGAGTCTTCTCCCATAAAGATTTACAGCCTCGGAAATCCCAGGGAGCTGTCCTACTATGCTCTAATGGCCAGTGTGAGTCGGAATCAAATGGACGGGTTCCTTTTTGGTGCAGAAAGAATGTTGATGGTGTTTCCATCAGTCTGAGTTTCCACAGGACTAGGAAAACCAGGACCACACTTGTCAGCAACCCAGGGGGAGATGTGGGTCTTACGTCACTGGCAATCTCTCTAGATGCACGAGCTGTCTGGAATGGAATGGCATCCAGTCTGAAGTCGTAGCCGCCGGCCCGGGTCTGCTCCCATGAGTGTCTGTAGACTTTCTAGGTTGGGAGAGACAAAGGCAAGAGTAAGCAGGGAGGCCATCGCTTCACCGCTTTTCATGTGGTTGGTGCTCAGAAGAGGTGGCAAAACAGGAGCCCTTTGCCTTGTTGATCCTCAAAGTGGCATGGGCTCACCCTGGGGAGTCCCCTAGCTCCAGAATTGGTGAAGCTGGCCAACGAGGCATCCACAGGCAATCTCTGAGCCCCCAGCATGTGCATGAGTCCCTGGTCTTGCGGTCTGTGGGGAAAGTTCATTGGCTACACCCTGTGGCTCTCAGAAGGACCCTTGTAGACGTCTCTGTCTTTCAGGGCCCCAAGCCTGCAGCTGCTAATGCCAGAGCTCAACATTCAAGAACCTTGTTTCTCTGCACACGCTGGTAGCCCTGCTGTGGAACGTGGAACACGTGTCTTTGGTTGCTCCACAGCCTTCCTGGAAAGCCGCCCAGCAGGGCTGCGAGGCCACCACAAGGCACGCCTCTTCTCATAGACGCCCCCGGAGGCAGCATGAAGGGAAGAACCTTCACCTGAATTGAAAATGTTGTCAAAATCCTGGCTGAGCACCTGACCCATGTTTCATATCTTCCTCTTTCATTTGTCCCCCTTTCAAGTTGTCCCCACACCGGCTCTGGGCGCCTGTAATCATTTCCTCTGAGTCATCGGGAAGAACCACAGCCCCAATACGAGGCATCAGAAACTTTCATGCCTTCGTGTAGCTAATATATATATATTTTCTTTGCCTCCAAGATAAGGGAACGGTTCCATGAAAGGCACCATCTGGAGCGCCCAGTGGAGGATGGTCCTTTATTCTGCCACAGAGCAGGGGGACAGCGGGAGGGAACAGCCAGATCATATTAACTGCAGACGACAAAGGGATAGCTCCAGACCGCACGGCTGCTCACTCCTTCCCACGGGCTGCAACAAGTCACCTAGCCCTTCACATCCTACCTGATGGTGCCCTTGGAATGGAGGTCAAGACTGGGGCTTCTGTCCTCCAGGGGAGCTAGGGCCGTAAGCAGAGGAGAGCTGGCAGACCAGAGGGAAAGCAACGGGTCTCCCCTTACCCATTTCTCAGCCTGGAGAGACCAGGAAGAGCCCAAGCCAAACGTGGTCACCCTCAGCCTCCTACATCATCACCTTGACCTCCCTCACCCTCTCTGAATCCAACATCCCACACCACAGACCACAAGCCCAACATCGACTAGATTCCAGGTCCCTGAGGATCCAGAACCCACGATCTGTGATCATCCGATCAGTGGATCGCAAACAGGGCCAATGGGGTTAGATTTTCCTGGTCATCGCCAGTAGCCAGTAGCTGGGAAGGCAGGACTGAAAGGCCTCTGGGAGGGGAGTAGCATTAGGGTACCAACACAACCGCCATCCCCTTACGTGTCACACTTCCTATTTTCATGAGTCCACATGTTTGGGAGAAGCAAATAGAGCCATCACATCCTGGAGAGGGGACACGATGGCTTTGGAATAGTACCTTCCATGCCATCCCCGACTAGATAAATGCATCCGATCTTGCCTCCTCCCACTGTGGTCTCCAGTATCTCCCAGCTCCCATGTCTATTGGGGTCCACCAGAGACCGGTGCCAGACGAGGGTTCGCCCCAGTGTCTGGGCTCCCTTTGGCCGGGTCACTTCTCCCTGTCTATTTGCTGGCTTGTGTTCACTTCCGCCCTAAGTTCTTTTTTTTTTTTTTTTTTTAATTCTATTGAGGTTTCTGCCTTGCCACCGGGAGTCTTTCAATTCCAAGGGCTCTTTGATTTGGAACCCCGAGCATTCTTCTTCTTGATCACAGTGGGCACAGTTTTGTCCTCAGCCTCACACATTAGAGTCATTTGATTTTTTAGTTATTTCAGCTGCCTTGCACATCTCAATAGCTTTCTTTGCCCAGGAAGGTCAGTTTCCCTCCACACCTTCCACACAGACCACTTGATCCAATTGTGCGGATCCTCCACGCCCCCCGAAGACGTGCTCTTTCAAAGGAGGTTCAGGAGTGCTCCAGATCCTGTTCTGGGACTCAGTGGAGTGGCATTCGTTCTCACAGGAGAGCTGCTTCTGTCACCAACCTGGGGTGGCTGGGCTCCTCACGCCAGACCCCTGTGTCCATGGCCATGGGCTTCGTAGAGTTCCTCCAGTGGAGGCCTCCTTTCTCCCCCATCTTGGGAGCAATAATGAGACCCAGGTTTTTTCCAGGCTCTGCTGAGGGGAGGCCCAGCTTCCCCACATGGAGGTCAGCCCACTAGGGCTGCTGTTCTAAAATTATCCTTCTCGCCTCCCTCAAACACATCAAATGGTCATAATAACTCATATTTACAAAGCCCCGTTGCATTCATTGCGTGGGATCCCACAGGGCTTTACAAACGCAACAAACTAATACACACACTAACTAGAAGGTGCCTCTGGCCGACCCCTGTGTGGCAGCCAGCTCTGGGGTGAACAGTAGCAGCTGTTGATCTGCACGGAGCCGCAGGACACAATGGCCAGGCCAGGGCGGGAAGAATGGCCAGACTCTGGGAGGCCCTGCGCTGCCCCAGGCAGACACTCTCAGCCTGTGTTATTTGGATCTGACGGCAGCTTTTGATTTCTCCGCGTGCTACCTGTTATCCCAGGATCACAGCTTTCCTGGCCGAGCGTCCGCCTATTCTACTACAACCAGGGGCCTCCAACCCCTGCTAACAACAAGCCCGGGTTTAGGAAACAGCTTCTCGGTTATGCACGCAAAGGGCACACATCTAAGGGGAATAAAAGGGCTGGAGGCCACAGCTCCCTGCACAAAGGCTGCATGCGGGCCCGGGCAGCTTCACCGGACGCGGCATCTTTCCAAATGGCAGCCCAGCCCTAGAGCCTCACTCCTCTGAATGGCTAAGAGGGGCTCAGGAACCCAACAGAGCAGGTTCTATACCTGTGGGGGGCCAAGGGTACCCCCACGGAGCTCCTGGAGGAGTACCCTGAGTCAGAGTCTCATAGCTAGAGGGGACCCCTCGTCACCTAGCCCGGCCTTACAGCCATTTCACAGTTGAGGAAACTGAGGCTCAGAGAAGAAAGCAGCTCTGGGCATACAGACAGTCTGTTCTACCATTAGCCCAGTGTATTTTCTCCACCCCAAGACCTCCTTCCCAGCACTTCAAAACTAAGCCAAATCAACCCAAACACCCAATTTGAACTAAGCAATAGATATGGTTGTTGGTTGACCACCACCATGGATGCCATCGGTTTCGTGGGATTGCACAAGCGACTAAAGTGGAATTCAGCAAGGGTTGTGTGATCCAGATTTTTTTTAAACAGAACTAAAAATACAACAGTAATGAAAAGAGCCCAGGGTGGGGACAGGTAACTGGACACACAGGGATGCATGCCCACACATACCACGAGTTCACTTACGTCACTCAGGTGAAGCGCGTTCAGGCGAGCCCGGGTGAAGTCGGGGTGGTCGGGGATCAGGGTGTACCTGTGCAGGGACTCGGCATCCCCTGACCTGTACAGACGCTGCAGGTAAGAAAAGCACCCGGTAAATGAAGAACTGCGTTTGTAGAACTCAGAGGGGGAAAGCAAGCTGGTGTGCCCTCCGCCAAGGGCCCGCAGGAGGGGATGGAGCCTGGCCCTGCATGGATGGAGGGTGTCCTTGGGGCAGGGCCCAGGTGAGGTGGCTGGAGTTAAATCTCACTCCCTGACATCAAGGCGATTTTAACTGATAGAAGCGACCTTACAGGACAGAGTAGATGTGCTCTTTGGGGTTCCTAAGGGTATAAATATTTATGGGAGCAGAAAACCTCATCTTTGCTCCAAGGAGCAGCTGGTGGGTTCCAACGGGTGACCTTTCGGTTAGCAGCCCAAAGAGCTCTGTTGTAATATTCACCAAGGTCTACTCCCCGTGTGTTTCTGTTCAGGGCAATGGCAATTGGGCGCCCATCATGCAGGATGGTGGCATCATAGGGTTTGGGTGTTGCTGGTAGTTGCCCTTGAATCCATTCCGGCTCAATATGACCTCATGTGTTTGAAGTCAACTGCTCCGGAGAGTTACCAAGGCCATGACCTTCTGGAAGCAGACCACGGACTTTGGGTGTCTTCCTACATGCCTTTGGGGGGATTTGAACTGTCAACCTTTAGGTTAATAGTTGAGCCCTTTTGTTGTTCATGCCACCCAGGGGCTCTGTAACATGATGAATGCAAAGGATGGCACCCAACTGCCCACCTGGAAAATGCTGCTCCAGCAAATGTTGTGCCATGTATTTTTTTTCTACAACAAGAACAAAAAGGGTGTTTTTCTGTTTGTTTGTTTTTCAATGCTTCTAAGGCACCACAAGCCAACATCCTGGCTCGCCCTACTTAGGTGTCTTGCAAACCATATAAAAAGCTACGGGTATTTCAGACAATCCGGGCAATTGACCTGAAGACATGCCTTTTACCAGTGATGAGGCCGGGGGGAGTTGTGGCTGAGTTGGGCTTCTAACTGCAAAGTCAACAGTCCAAAGCCATCAGTCTCCCTGGAGGAGAAAGATCAGGCTTTCTCTTCCTGCAAATAATTACACTCTTGGAAACCCACAAGGGCATTTCTACCCTGTCCTAAGTGGTCACTGCGGGTCACAATCAACTCAATGATGGTAAATGAAAGCCGCAATGCCTTTGTTTAACATTAATAGTCATAAGACACAGCTAATGACTCCTTCGGATGATAAAATGCCTTAGCATGTGCTCAGAAAATTCAGCTTTTCATCCCAGGAAGACCCAATTGTCCGTGTCAAACTATCTTCTGTGCTCTATTTAGAGTTGTGATTTAAGGGTGCCATGAGGGTCCTCTGTTCACTTTAAAAATTATTTCTCGCGAGTTAGGGGCGGTCCACATCGCAGATCCTCCTTTTTGTGTTCGGCGATTTAAGCGACTTATCAAACTCAATTAACTTATCGCTTTGATTTTGTGTCCCTCGTGTGGAAGTCTATTCTCCCCTCCACCCAAGTTAATACCTGTCACCCTCCGGCCTACTGCTTCCTCTCCCCTCCCCTAACCTTAGAAAAGAAAAATGTAATGTCGAAAATTCTCATTCACGACCAGACTCACTCTGAGCTCTGTGCGTCTGCACTGGGCAGCACACGTTCCGGCTCTGTGAGGGTGCCAAGCCGCGGTCGCTGTGGGCTCAAAGTTGAATTGCAGGGCAATTTCGGGGGAGGGGGATAATGCAAGGCTTTATTCCTCAGAATAAATGCAGAAGAGAAGAAACCAGGCTCAACAGCGCAGAGAGTAAAAGCAGAGAGAAGCTTTCAGTACAGCAGTTTTTTCCCCCTGCTAACTCCATCACGTTACGCTTTGCATCTCACTGCTGTTGGTCAGCAGCTAAAGGTATCTGAGCTTGTGTTCGGTAAGGTGCCATCAATAATAGTGAGTACCATGGTTGCAATGATTGCTTACAAACTCATAGTAACGGACAGCCCTTGACTGAGGAACCTTTATTGATTGGTCCGGGCACTTGCCAGAAGCTTTTACCTGTTTTCATTTACTGGACCCATTTCAGCAGCCCTGGTGGTCTGGTGTTTAAGCACTTGGGCTGCTGGTCAAAAGGTTGGTGGTTTGAAACCAACAGCCGCTCTGTGGGAGAAAGACCTGGCAGTCTGTGCCCATAAAGGTACTAAAGACTAGGGTACTGTCATGTAAGGGGCAGCCACCAAAGAGGACAGCCCTCCACGGATGGAGCGGCACAGGGGCTGCAGCAATGGGCTCGAACATAAGAGCACTTGTGAGGATGATGCAGGACTGGGCGGTGCTTTGCTCTGCTGTCCACAGGGTCACTATGAGTCCGGACAGACCCTATGGCACCTAACAGCAACAGGGCAGCATCAAGATAGAATGGACCGGATAGCAGTGTTTGAGGGGGTCTGTGATTGTTTGAATTCCTCCAATCGTATGGGAATTGTCATTACTCTTCCATTTGACATGATGAAATTGGGGTGAGAAAAGATTAAGTCACCAAACTAAGGCCATCCCGGTAGCAGATGGTCATAGTCAGGTTTGGGACCACATCTACCCAGAGCAGGTGGTCTCCGGCCGTGACCACTGACCAGCACCACCCCCTAATGCACCTTGCAGACGAGTGAGGAGAAGGAGCCCACCTCATTGCAGTGCCTATAGCTGCTCTTGGCGTGCACCAGGTCTGGGGAGTCGACCACCGCAGTGAACTTGATGCTGTCTGGCTTCTTACGGTACGTGGTCTGGAAGCAACAGGGGCAGCTGTCATACATTTGTCTGCATGGTGCTCCATCCCACCTCCTCGGGACCAAATGTGCCAATGGCATCTCCTTCTCGGTGGGCACATACAGTCAAGGGCATAGGAACCTTGCAAGCTGCCTCTCTGAGGGGCATCTTCTACAGGTGCTGGCTCTCGTGAGGGCAGAGATTATAAAGTATCACGGCTCGCCACAGAGAGTTCAAAGGGCAACCGCAGTCAGCACCCAGTGGCCCTGCTTGAGCATGGTAAGCATGGTCATTAAGAAATGGAAGACAGCAGGGTCACCCGCCCCCAGGGGATTCCAGAGCAAAGGTCCAAAGGCCATCAAGGCAGTAGGGAGTTCGGGACATGCACCTATCCCTGTGTAACTTCTAACATGATCTGAAACTACAGAGGGGCCCTGGGAGGTACAAATGGCCAATGCGTTTAGCTGCTCACCCAAAGGCTGCAGGTTCAAAGGCTGCAGAGACACTTTGGAAGAAAAACCTGTGAGAAATCAGCTGTTGAACCCCCCCATGGGGAGTAGCTCTCCTCTGTCCCACCCCAGGGGCCCTGTGAGTTGGGATCCACTCAACAGCAACTGATGGAGAAATCATGTAATCTCCAGACAATGGGCCCTGCGCGTCCATTCAGCAGGTGGGAGGTAAGTTCGCTCCCCCATCCATGAAAGCAATGGGTCCTTTTAGAGCCTAATTGTACTCAGTGCATCTTTGGGGGGCCTTCTAATCCATCGTTCACCTCTCGTTGCCCAGTTTCCACCGTGTCTTTAGTTCCCCCGCAAGGAATTAACTCGGAGGGAAATCTATTATAGGATGTGCTTGCCAATGGTCCCAGGAAAACACTGGCCATCTGGGAGGCCAGGGGATCCTCTTGGAAACCCGCCCCGTGAGCAAGCTCCCCCTTCAAAAGGAAACCCCGCTTGGCTGCTCTTGCCAGTGCCACGGTAAGAGGCGGGTGACGGTACCTCGCTGATGAGTTCTCCGGCCTTCTTTGCGCTCTCCATCTGCGGGGAATTCAGTGCTAACCAGCCTGCCCCCTTCATGCCCATCAGGTCGGATTTGTAGCGAAACTGCATGAAGAAAACCATTGGCGTTTTATCAAGAAAGGCCCGATGCCTCTCCAGAAGCCCCTGGCTTCCAAAAGCATTTGTAATAACGCTTCGTCCCAACTGCTCCGTGCCAAGCGCATCTCAAGTGACCACCTCGGGAATTTAATTGTGGACCACATCCAACATGCCAGAAGGACCCGAGCTGCAGGGGATGAACAAGGTCCTCAGCAGAAGGTGTGCATGGCCGTGTGACAGAAGAGCCTAGGGACACTCTCATCTGAGCATTTGTCGCTCCCATTCATTTGCTTCTTTCTGGCCACAAGGTGACTGGTGGTCCACCTGCCGAGATGCAGAAACCCTCCACACCCGGCTCAGCAAGAAGCAGGGGGTGTGAGCTCTGGATGGAATGTTCTATGACTTGGCGACTGCCGCCTCACTGAAATATGACCCCGTTTCTCTGATGCCCCTGTGAGGTATCTCCCTCCACTCTCATGAAAACCTGTGAGCGCACCCACACTCTGCAATTGTGTGTCTGTATGTGTACACATGTATGTGTGTATATGTGTGTATATGTTGTGTAAATGTACATATATGTGTGTGTATGTGTTGGTATATGTATATATGTGCGTATGTGTGTGCGCCTCTTTGCATGTGTGTGTATGCTTGTATACATGCGTGTGTATATGTGCATGCGTATGTGTGGATATGTGTGTATGTATAGATCTGTATATGTATATGTATGTGTTATGAGTGATAGTGGGGGGTAAGGACTCTCAACAGTGGAAGAAACTCTGATAAAAACCCAAATCACACCCAGTGTGACTGATCCCACCTCCACTCAGTGTGGCCCGGCAGGACAGAGTAGAACTGCTCCTTAGATCTCCCAAGACTATCAGCCCTGATGGGAGCAGACAGCTTCACCTTTGGCCCCAGGGAACGATGATGGATTTCAGGTGTCAACCTTGCAGTTGACAGCCCACTGTTTAACAGCAGTGCTACCGGGGTGCCTTCAAACTTGGATACAGCTGGCTAATCGTGACCGTGCCCTTTCCATCTTCCCATGCCTCAGTTTATCTCCTCCTCCCACTGCCAACACTCGTATTAATAAACCTGGGCCCCGCCCTCTGATCTTTTGTTCCATCTTCCCTTTAAGCGGGAAACGTCTTGCTCCCCGGGTACGACAGGAAGCGATGCTGTAAGACAAATGGTCTGATTGGAAGTCCCCTAGCATGTGAAACCTTCCTGCTGCCTGATCTGCCCCCATCACCCAGCAAGGGCGCAGTGTACGAATGCTTTCCTTCTCCTCTTGATAGCCTGCTAAGTCTTTTGCAAGGTGGTGGGGGGGGTGGTGGATGGGGGAAGCTTTTGAAGGAAACCTTCCCTTTGGATCTAAATGAAGTTGATGGCATTTCTCTAATTTAGAGATCAGCCCCGCTGTCATGCAAAATATCACCCCAGAAGCCGGCCTCTCGGCCTTTCATTTCAGGATGCCCAGCAGCACCTCACCGCTGGCTTCAAAGAGGGCTGCCTTCTGATCTACTGTCTGCCGCTCAATGTCCCTGTGCCCATTCCTCTCTGCTCTCCAGCTGGGGGAGGGGGGCCAGCACTCAGGCTCAGGAGCAGGTTTCAAAACCCCATGTCAGGGGGATGGCTTTTTAGACAGCGATCTTTCAGCCTACAACCGGCTCTGCTTGTGCCTTGCCACTCGGGTAAAGAACAGAGAAAATTGGATAAATTTCTCAGTCACAGAGAATAATCCCTCACAGCCGGGCCTTGCTCCTTTCAGAAGCAAGATGAAGTGGGGAGCACTCTTTCAACTTGTCCTTTGTGGAGCAGAACAGTGAGACCCAGGTAAGTGAGAAAGCAAGAGGTGCTTCCTTCCCCAAAGAACCGGATGAGCCTCTGACGGACTCTTCCGCTAAATGGACCCCCCATTGATCCTGCATCACTCACCTGCCCAGCTTTGCCTGTTTACTCAGGCCTCCGGCACAACACGCAGGCCTCGGACTTCACCATAAAGGAGGGGCAGATGGGAGGGGCGCCCAGAAGCAGCAGCCCCCCAAAGATGGCTTCCAAGAAGCCTTCTGCATTAAAAGAATACACAGCTGCCCCGTGGGCTCAGCCTTCCCCCAAAGGCTGCCTCCCTGTTCTCAGGAACAAACAAAACCTTAGGGCCCGGGATCACCTTCAGCTTCAAGTGTTGAGGCTCCGTGCTTGGCAGTTGGCCAGTTTGAGCTCTAGCCACTGTAGAACAATACAGACACTTCCAGAAGAGGACTGGAATCACTGTCAGATGGATAAGACACTGGATAATCACGGCTCTTGGAGGGCGTGGTTTGTTTTAGACCCATTATCTCATCCACGTCTCCCACCACCCTGCCAAGGAAGGGCTCAGGACTCCTTACAGAGGTCCTCCGGTTCTCAGAACAGCCACCTAGGGGTATGCACAGCAAACCCTCACTTAGAGTGCTCTAGAGGAGACTAGCTTCAGAGCACCTGTGTTCCCATCCCAGCCACCTGGCAGAGCCAAAGAGCTCTGAACCAGGAGTCAAGAGATGGGAGCTACACTGGGTCCTTGGCCTGGTCACAGCCCTGCCCATTGGGTGGCCGTGGGCACATCAATTAGGTTGTTGGTGCCCAAGTTGCTACATCCCCATCCTACCTCCGTATTAATTGAGATAACCTGGGTACGTGAGTGAATATCTATAAATATATAATAGACATTGCTGTTGAGTCTATTCTAACTCCCAGCCTCGTTGTCGGAGGAGGACCACTGCCCCACTGGGCTTCCCAGGCTGCGAGTCTTGGAGAAAGAAGACATAAGAAGATTCGATGCATTCGGCTGCTGGTGCTGGTGAGAAATATTGAGAGTGTCATGCACTGCCAAGAGAGCAAGCAAATCTGTCTCGGAAGAAGTACATCCAGAGTGCTCCTGAGAGGCCAGGGTGGCGAGGCTTTGTCTCACCTACTTTGGACATGTTGTCAGGGGAAGATGAGTCCCTGGAGAAGGACGTCAGTGGAACAGAGGAAGGCCCTCAATGACATGCATGGACGCCGTGGCTGCAGCCATGGGCTCCGGCCTAGGAACGATGGTGGGGAGGGCACAGGACGGGGCAGTGTTTTCTTCTGTTGTGCATAGCGTTGCTGTGGGTCAGGCCCAACCAGAAGGCACCTAGCAGGAACCTAACAAGCCTGGATGAAAGCAGACTGCCACCTCTTTCTGCTGCAGAGCAGCTGATGCGTCCAAGCCATTAGGGTGGCCACCAAGTACTTGATCACTGTGCCGCCAAGGCTCAGCCCAGGGTAAGAACTCTAAAGAGGCCATTGTCCTTGCTATTGCCGATGGGGGGGCTACAATGGAAGCCACAAAGCACAGGTATCTGTGACTCTTGTGCTGACTGCTGTGTCCCCAGGGCCTGGAACAGAGCCTGGCACACAGTAGATGCCCGTAGGAATGTGTTGAATGATTCCCACTTACAGAGTGCCTTACCAAGCTAGCAGGTGTGGGGGGAGTCAAAGAAGCCAAGGGAGGGAGCAGAGATCTACAGCAGACTTGTAGGGGGAGGTAGGAGGTTGGGGACAGCGGCTTGCGTCCCACGAGGTCCCCGTACCTCACTCTGCAGGGCGTGGGCTTTCTTGGCGCAGGCCAGCTTCAGGTCTTCGGGCAGCGCCGTGAACTCGTGGCACCGCGTCCTGTAGTCATAGTCGCTGGCAAGGGCCTGAGCCTTCTGAGCATGGACCAGGTTCACCATGTCTTTGGGCAGGTGGCACTGGGCCTGCGTGCCAGCCGCCTCCCTCCGGTACTGGTGCTCACTCTGCAGCTGGCCCATCCGCCTGCAGTGCCGGAGCCGGGGGTCATCATTCACGCTGCGGGCCCCGATGAGCTGCCCTCGCTCCTTCACAAAGTCGTGTCTGTAGAGAAACTAGGGCCGCAGAGGAGCACCAGTCAGTGAAGGTGGGCGTGCATTGCACACCCTGCGGTCCCATCCGCCTCTTTGCCTCCGATCCCCCAGGAAAACCACTCTCGTGTTACGCCGCCCATTCCCAGCTGCCTCGGAGTTGATGTTCACTCCCGGAGAACCCCCTTGCCCATCAGAGTAGAACTGACCTCCCTGGGGTTTCAGAGCCAGGTCACCAGGCCTATCTCCTGAGGCATCTCTGGTTAGACGCCAACCTCCCACCTTGCAGTTAGTGACTGAGTGCCTAGCCACTGGTCCCGCCCAGGGACTCCTTAGCTGCACTCAGAGAGGGCAGTTATGAGAAAATGAACACGAGACTTGGCCTGTAAGCGTGCCTTCCTCTCCAGGGCAATGGAGACGGGCCTGTTCTTCCAATCATATCCCAGCCAGAGCCTCGGAGTCAAAGGAAGGACTCGGGGCCCTTTCTGTGTCCTGTGACCACGAGGGTAACAGAGGAATCTGTGCTGTCTCCAAGCACACCCAGCAAATCATGACACTCAAAAGACACCCCAGAAAAGCTCACTGCAACCCTACAGAAGAGGGTAGAAATGTCCTTGTGGGTTTCCGAGATGGTCACTATTTATAGGAGTAGAAAGCCCCATCTTTCTCCTTCGGGGCAGCTGGTGGTTTCAAACTGCTGACCTTTCGGCTCGCAGTCCAATGTGTAACCGCTATACCACCAGAGCTCCTCACCCCAAAGATAGGATCGATTTGTCTGAAGCCCACATTTCCTACAATCTCTTTATGGGAGACAGACAGCCACCTTCATGACCCACAGAGTGGTGGGTGGGACCAAGGCTGGTAAGCTCTCCCACCAGTGAGTGGAACTGCCAAGCACAGAGAGCTGGGGACAGCTGCCACCACAAACTCTCCTTCTCATTGTGGGTGGAGTTGACCTTCCCAAGGGGATCGTTTCCTGGGTGTTGCAGTGAGAAGCAAAGTGTGGGCTCCTTGTGGTGCTGGGTTGCCATCGGGTCGATTCCGACTCCTAGCGACCCCAAGGTGCGGAACAGAACAGCAGCCCCGGGGTTTTAAGGTTGTGGACTTTCAGAAGCAGATCGCCCCGGGGGGTGGTAGGGGGCGTTGAACTGCCAACCTTTCCATCTGTAGTCGAGTGTTTTACCATTGACACCACCTAGGGGCTCTTTAGCTTCCGACGCGTCCAGTCTCTCTTTCCCTGCCTCCATCAAAGACCCTCATCCATAGCTCATGTATTCTGCAGGCAACATCCTGTCTCACATGGTTATAGATTTGCTTTAATTCCAGCAAACCAGCCATAGATGGTGTTTTACATGAAGTTAACAGAAATTAGGCAGGATGGAAGGTCATAGTGTTCCACTCACATCACTGGCGATCTCTCCAGAGGCCCGAGCTGCCTGGAAGGGGAGTGCTTCTGTTGTCAGCTTGTAGCCTTGAGCACAGAAATTATGCCAAGACTCCTTGTATTTCGCCTAAAGTAGGAACACATGTAGGTCTTTTAGGAAGGGTGGAAGGGAACGAAGGAAAGGAAATTGCACGAGTCGACAAAGGCTCCCTCCCCCTTTCATTTGCAGTGCGATATTCTTGAATCAACTTCTGACCAGCGAACGCTGTCAGAGGAAACTCTCATTAGCATACGTGGAACCTGACTGTGCGGAGTAAGGGTTCCGGGTCATCTGCAATGAGGCGTTGAACACAGTTGCTCTGGACCCCGGGAAGGACACTGCGGGCATGCCCTCACAGGCAGATGGACGCAGCTTTGGAGCACGCCCAAACTCCCAGCTTACATCGCTCAGATTGGCCGCGTTGGTCTTCGCTCGGTCAAACTCGGGAAGCCCCAAGGTCGTGGTGTACTGGTGTCTGGCATCTTCTCCGGCTGCTTTATAGAGGCGCTGAGGGGAGGAGAAGCAAGGGAGTGAGTGATGTGTGTTTCTGCAGGGCAGAGTCCCTGGTCTGAAACTGGGGGGAGTGCATTTGTAAAAGGCCATTTGAGGAAGGGAGGAACCATAAAGACAGTCTGTTCTGGGTCAAGCTGAGTGCTTCCTGGTTCAATCATGGCCGTGGAGACAAAACCAGAACAGATCCACATTTGTGAAACGAGTGTGATCCGTCCTGGGAGAAATGATGGGCTGCTGGGTTGCTGGGAACGTAATCTCTCACCTAGAGCACAAGGATTGTGTTGCACACGTGGCAACCAACTCTCTTGATCGGCATAGTTGGGGGCAACGTCCCACCCCTACCCCACCCCCAACCCGAAAGATGGAGGCCCCCTGCCTTGTTGTCCATGTGCTGCTCTCCATGGTGCTGGACATAATCCTATCTCCAGCACTGGCCTCCTGAAAGGCCTCTGGGTGCCTCTTCTGAGTCTCCCATTCCGGAGCTTCACCCGTCACTTTTCCTGTTCCAGGTATCATTCTAGTACTCCTATATTTTACAAGTTCTAGGGAATTCCAATTTTTCCTCATTTGGCCATGACCGAACTGGTTCACCAGGGTGCAAAGCCCTGGCTAAGCGACAGAAGTAAGGGAAAAAACAGATTTGCTTTACTCAATTATGGGCCAAGGAAAGAAAAATAAACTCGGCAAGACAACGGTTGGCTCTCAAAACTTTTCCTTGATGGTCCAACCGAAAGACAACAGGAGGGGCTGGGGAAGACACTCTGCTTGTCAGGATTATTTTTCCTCCTCACTTGCTACCTATTCAATTCCAACACATGGCAACCCCATGGGTGCTGGCCTAGAATCTGTGCTTCCCAAGGTTCCCCGTGGGTGCTCCTTAGGGATTAGATGGCCAGGCCTTCCTTCCAAGCTGCCTGTGTGTGGATTCAAACCTCTAACATTTCTAGTCAGCAGTCGAGCATTTTAATGGTTTGCACCATCCACGGGCTCCTGCTTGCTGCGAGGGAGCCTCCCAAGCCCCAGGCTGCATTTCTTAGGAGGGGTCACCCCAGATCCACTCCAGGAGTGAACTCACACCACTGCAACCCTAGATGTCCTGGTGCAGTGAAAAGCCACCCACTCTAGCGATTAGAAGTTGATCTGTGGGTGGTGAGCTCCCAAAGGCCAGAGACCATCATAAGAAGCACTGCTGCCCTCAGACTCCAGCTCACAGACTAAGAACAAAAGGCGGACTCTGAATTTAATTGATAGTCCCTGCGCAAGATCGTCTATCTCTTTGAATCTCTCATCCCGAGAGCCACGTCTTACTTTTCGAGATGGAGTGGGGAGGGGGGTGAGTATTAGTCTAGCTATCCAAATCACAACTGACTTCTAAAAGTTAGAGATGGAAGAAGGCTCTTAAATAAAAACTAAAGAGGATTCATAATTTAATTATCTGCCAACCTCACCTGCCATTTCAAACCTGTCAGAGAGCAAAGCAGGGCTGGAACCCACAGGACTGGACTGCTTTGATGAGCTTCTCTCGTGAGGAAGCGTGAGCTGGCTGGGGAAGGAGAAGCCTGACAAAGGCTCTCTGTGCTCACAGTCCCTCGACAACCAGGACTCCTCCCTATAATGCTCGGTCCCAATAACCACATGGCAACAGTGGCCTAAATGCATGACAGCCAGGGCTTTCATAAATCACCCGGAGTTCTTGCTAAGTGACCGTCTGGACTCATGAGATCTGGGATGGGGCCTGCGAATCGCATGCCTGAGAAGCTCCCCCTAGCTGACCCATGACCCCACTGTTCAGGAACTAGAGTAAACCTTCCTAAGATTTCAAACAGGCCCTTCTTTTCCTTCTGAAAAAGGTTTGCTGCTGTTGTGTACCATCAGGTTGATTCTGACTCACGGAGACCCCCACGTGACAGCAGCTCGTGGGTTTGAACTTCTGATCTGTTGGTTAGCAGCCCTGTGGCACACCAGGGCTCCTTTTGGAAAAGGCTTCGGCTCCACACAGTGGCATTATTTCCATCCAAGCATCCATGTCCTCTCTGTCCCCCTCTACCCCCACCCACCCTACAGATACACACAGTGCTTAACAACCTAGAAGGGTTTGTAAAGCCTGTCCCGAAGTCACCAGGAGACATTACCTCATTGGTAATCTGACTGCTGAACTTGGCATGAAGGAGGCTGGGCGTGTCCATCACGGCTGTGTACTGGAACAAGTGGGGCTGCTGACGGTATTTACTCTGCATTCACACACAAGAGGGGAACGAGAAGCTCTTTCAGTACGAGTTATAGAGCCGCGTTGGGCAAAGGCTAGTCTATCACTCCCGAATCCAGCCCGTGGCCTTGCCTTGTGACCTCAGAACGCAATGGGAAGCAGCCAAAGAAAGGACCAGATGCTTGCTGGGAAACGTTAACTAATCAACCTCACTGGCAGTGAGTCTACTGGGACTCATGGCAGCCCGATGGGTCCTACAGGACAGAGTTGAGCGTGCCTAGAGGGTTCCTCAGACAGACTTTACGGGATCAGACTGCCTTGTCTTTCTCCCAGAGTGGCTGGCGGGTGTGGACTGGCGGCCTGTCATGAGCAGCCCAGTGCCTCACCCCTTGTGTTACCAGGGCTCCTTTGAGATTTGAGGTTTACTCCTCACCTATGTTCACGGGTGATACGGAACTCCTCAGCCCTCATGGTGCAAGTTGAAGAGCTAAGCAACTTTAAAAACCTAAACTTTAAAAACACCCGTGCCTACCCTGAGGGACTCTCTACATCGCGAGTGGGGCCCAGAGACCTGCACTTGAACGCTCCAAAGGGAACCTGATCCATCATGAAGGTCAGAAACCACTTTGTTTGGAAAACCAAAACAGAAAGCGCACATTAAACTCCTACAATGTAGCCGATTCCACTGCCCAAGAACACCTCGTCACTTTGTCCGTGAATCCGTGCTGTTGCTGTGTGTCACCGAGGAGCTTCTGGCTGACAGGCCAGCACTGGCCCCTGGGGGCCCTAGAGTCTTGGCTTGTTGGCAGCACATCTCGAGCCTTTCCCACCACAGTGACAGTGATGGGCTCCACAGCAGTCCTCTCTCTCGGCCATTCGTCCGAGAATGCTTCACCCCCGGGCCACCCGGGCTCAAGAAGAAAGCCCAGTAGTTTGCTGTTGTTGCTATCAGGGGCTGTAGAGTCACTTCCAACCCATAGTGACCCATGGGCAGCCGGAGAACAGCCCTGTCCCGTACCATTCCCCCAGTCATCACTAGAGTGAGTCCACGGTTGCCACCGTGTCGATCCATCTTCTTGAGGGTCTTCCTCTTTTTCACGGACCCTCTACTTCACTCTGGATGCCGTCCTTCTGCAACAACTAGTGCCCCTGTAATTAGTCTATGACCAAAGTACGTGAGACGAAGTCTGGTCATCCCCGATTCTAAGGGGAAGTCCAGCTGGTCTTCTTCTGAAACAGATTTCTTCTGGCAGTCTGCGGTGTATTTAATATTCTTCACCGTAACTCGGAGACCCCCACCCTTCGATGGCCTTCCTGACAGATGCACGCTGACACTTCACATGCAGGGGAGGCCATTGAAAATGCCTGGTCTTGGATCAGGCGCCTCAAAGTGACGTCTTTGCTTTGGACAGTGCAGAGAGGTCTTTCGCTGCAGATCTGCCCGATGTGATGCATGCTTGGATTTCTCGACTGCTGCTCCCATGGGGTGGTGATGGTGGATCCAAGGACAGAGAAACCTCCGCCACTTCCATCTTTGCTGCATTTATCATGATGCTGCGTAATTGGTCCAAACGGGAGGGTTCTGTTTCCTCCAAGTTGCGGTGTATGTAATCTGTGCCGAAGGCTATGGACTTGGCTCTTCCTCTGTAAGTGCTTCAAGGATTCTTAGCTTTGGGCAAGCAAGGTGGTGTTGGCTGTGTATCACAAGTTGTTCGTGACCCTTCCTCCAATCCGGATGCCACATTTCTTCTACATCAGCTTGCCTCGCTCGTTTAGGCTGGCCACGCCCCACCCCTCCCCTCCTGGCCTTGGCTTGACCATAAGTGGAGTTCCCACTGTCCTCCCGGGGTGTGGGTGAGTAGGAGTTCAAAGAGTGCTTTTCTTTGAACCTAAAGGGGATCCTGAGCTTGGAATTCTAAAATAGTGTGTGTGTGTGTGTGTGTGTGTGCGTGTGTGTGTGTGTGTGTGTGTGTGTGTGTACACATAAACTCAGAAATAATCACCAAGCGTATAGCACCTATTTCATGCACAGCCAGAGAAGAGCAGCACTTAGATTCGAGCCAATGCTGATAAAAACAAGCCAGGGTGGTGTGCGTCTCCTCCCCATGTGCGTGGTTCAGAAGCTGAAGCTCAGAGAGGGTGTACAGCCACACGGCCCCTGAGTGCTGGCCTTCAGCTTTGTGCTCCGTCGGACGGTCTAAAGACTGCTGCAAAGAGGTTCATTGCACTGAGTCTGCCTTGTGTCTGCAGGTTTTCACTGCTGCCACCTTGAGGTCGAAGATACCCAGAACTATCTTCCGAGGCCCCATCTGAGTTTGAACCCTTAACCTTCCGGCTGGTATTTAAGTATGTAACTTCTTGCACCACCCAAGGCCTCCCTACCTAGTATGTGATTCTTCTATGTTAATAGAGAAATTGGGTCCCAGGCTGCAAAGCTGACTTAAACATCGCCCAGGCTGGAACAGGAAAACCAGAGGTCACCACTAAGACGGTGCAGACAACACTGATGGCCCCACTTCTCCGCGGCAGACATACATGGCACCCACCAGCCACCCCAGGGCTGCTGCTCACCTCACTGATGAGTTCAGACGCTTTCTTTTTCTCCTCGATCTCCAGCGTTCCTGGGACGACACAGCCCATGCCGCGCAGGAAGTTCAGGTCCGACCGGTACAGGTTCTATATGGAGCAAGGCAGGGACTCAGGAAAGTGAAGGCCCAGAGCAAGGAAGCAAACAGATGCCAAGGGAGTCCTGAGTTTCGCCGGTGAGCTGAAGGCCAAAGCCACCTCCACGTGATCACAGCCCACTAGCACATCAGCACGCCTCAGTCCATGCCCCCGAGGGAGGAGAAGACACAGGTTGGCCAGAAGGAAGCCACTCCATTGTCACTTGTTTCTGGTATTTTCATATTCCTATGGGAGTGTGTGTCCGAAGTCAGTAAAATGTGTAAACCATTTCCAACGGACCTTCTAAAGCAAAACCCAACAGCAAAAAAGTGGCACCCATTCCCCAGTGTCTAAGAGTGAGCTAAACCACGAATCTGGAATGATCTGACCAAAGCATTCCTCGGTCTGTATGTGGTGTACTGTGTGTGTGTGTAACCTAACAATTGGAGCTGACAGTTTAAGGGCCCCCCTAAATTCAGTCTGTTGCGGAGCGTCCTCCCCTGGGCCGGCTGCCTCCTAGTTGCTATCACAGTGTGAGACAGGGCAAGACAGGGCTCTGCTCCAGGACAAACAGGGACCCCCTGAGAAGAGCGTGGCAGCTCCCAAGTCAGGACTTCCTACAGCTGCTCACAGTTCCTGACAGCTGGTGTCACTGAGTAGACACCACGGTGCACAGGCTGGCACTCGGAGAAGATGACAGACACCGGATCTGAGCACCATGGGGCGTGCAGGCACTGCCGAACCAGCAGACAGGCTGATTTTCCCACTTGTGCCAGAGCAGGAGGCCCAGCACACGGTGGGGAGTAGGGGGAGAGAGTCCCACATCGCCTTAGAAGGGAGGGAACGCACAGGGCTTGTGGTCCTCTGGGCCAACCTGTTTCAGAAAAGCCATGTAAGGAGCTAGCAACCACATCAATGGAGTGACAGGCTGTGGGCTCCAGGAGGACCCAGGCAGGCTCATGCCCATGCTCTGCTTCCACGTGCAGTCCTCCCTGTGGTGGGTCAGGTCCACACAAGCCTGAACAGCCTCTCCAAGAGGACTTGGCAGCCCAGGAGTGCATGAAGAGGAGGCCCCACTTCCACCAGTGAACAAGCCTGAACCTGCAAGACCTCTAGCCCTAGGGGCACCTTTGTAAGGCACCAGAAAGCAAACCAAAACTGTGGACTTCCAGCTAGTTGTGTGTGTGTGTGTGTGTGTGTGTGTGTGTGTGTGTGTGTGTGTGTGTGTGTGTAAAGAACTGCCCACAGGGTTTTCACAGTTTGACTTCAGGAAACAGGTCACACGTCCTTCCTTCTGAAGCATCTCTGGGTGGGCTTGAACCACCAACTTCTGGGTTAGCATTTCATCATATAACCCATCCAAGGACTCCTGCCAGACGCCATCTGAGTTCAAAGCCCTGCACCCCCACCTCTCATTTACAGCCGAGTGAATACACTTTGAGACTTACTATCACTTATCTATAAAATCGAGATAAGGGTTATCTACGCAGGGTAACCTCGAAGGTGAAATGGGATGATGCTTAAAATGTCCCACACGACGGAATTTAGGGTAGTGGTTGTGGGGGTGGTTCAGTGTGGGGGTCCTTGTGACTAACCGCTGAGCAAGAAGACCTCAGTTCTACAGTTTTCACCTCGGAATCCCTGCCCCAGAGCCCACGGGAGGCCAATGAACTGTGGCCAAACGAGTGGAAAATGGTCCCACCAGAGAAGCCAGGTCTCCTTACTTCGCTCTGCAATTTGTGAGCTCTCTTGGCACAGCGCAGCCGCAGGTCTTCCGCCACGGATGTGTACTGGGGGAGGGGGTGTCTGTAGTCCTGGTCACTGGCCAGCGCCTGAGCCTTCTTGGCATGCGCCAGGGTTACCATGTCCAAAGGCAGATGGAACTGCGCCTTTGAGGGCTCAAAGCCTTTCTTGTAATTCACCTAGAGGGTCAGACAAACCAACAGCATCCATTTCAAAGGTGCTGTTTGCTTCTATAGTGCAATTGCCCCAGGCAAACCCAGGAGACATTCCTGGCAAGGCCAGCGTCCCCTGCTTGCAGGGACTGCACATTAAGCCTGGCTAGACTCCAGGTCCTGGAGGCCACTGATTTGGGAGAAGAAGGCTCGTGATCTTCACCCCCATCCCCACCCCCACCCCCACAAGACCCCCATGAGATTGCTGTAGAGTTGATTCTAACTCATGGCAACCCCACACAGCAGAGTAGAACAGGCCTATGGAGCTTCCAAAGCTGTCACCTGACCCGGGGCACACTGTCACCTCTTTCTCCAGTGGAGCTGTGGTTGGGATTGAACCACTGACCTTCTAGTTAGCAGCTGAGGACTGAATGACTGTGCCACCAGGGTTTCTGCAGTTCCCCCAAGTGAGGGGCAAGATAGACACTCAGGAGAGACACTTAAAGCATGACTCCCGTTCTCATCTCATTTTCCAGATGCAAGAAGATGCCGGCTCACCTGAGCTGGGCTTCCGTATTTCTCCCCTGCCCCTGACCTGAGTTGGGATCTTAGACACCTGAGATTCTGCTGCCGTGCTAGCAAACGAAGAGCTCATTCAAAGTATCCAGCGAGTTTCTATTAAATCTAGGATGGACGCTTGGAGAGCCAGTCCTGCGGGATGGGTAGTTCCCCGACATAATTCAAACCCCAGCTCCACCTCTAGCTCGTCCTTGGAGACGGGCTCTGTCAAGGCCGGTGACCCTCACTCAAAGCTTTCCTGGGAAGAAGCTGCCCAACCACTGCTTCTTCTCGTCCTTCTCCTCCGCCATCCCTCTCATTGCCTCTCCCAAGGTCCAGCACCCCCACCCCACCCCGTAGTTCCTCACCCTCAGCCACACCCACTCCTCGCTAACACCTGTCACAAGGCCAAGAAGAATTCAGGGGTCCAGGATGGACAGGGAAAAAGTGCTAGAAATGGGGAAGGGGAGGCAGAAAACAAAATGGTAGAGAGCACGCGGTGCTGTGGAAAGGACACAGCTGGAGAGGGGCCCCTGTGCTGGCGCTGCCTCTTTCTAGCTGACCTTGACCGGGCCTTGGATAAGGAATGGGCGGGGCCATGTAGAGTCTCCGGCTCCTTATCAGTAACCCTGAATAAATAACAGAATCAAGCTCGAGTTATTGCTCTGGTTATTGTCAAACGATCGAGTTTGACCCTCCAATGAGACGTGGCATAGAAACATGTTTAGTCCCTGGTTACCAGTTGGCCGCCGCCCACTCATCTGTGCCAGGAGGCAGCATCTACTTGTGGGCACCAGGAACTAGAGGGCTCCAATCCAAGGCCGCAAACAGGTGCCGATGGGACCAGGGAGGTGACAGAAATAACCACGTGATGTAAGAAACAGGGAGGCCGCCTGGGGAGGAGGATCCATCCCCTTGAACCGCCTGTCCCCACTTTGGCCCTGAACTCTAAGACATTTATGCATTGTTTCTGTTTTTACAGATCTGCCAGGAATTCTATTTCCCTCCCAAATGCTTTGCGGACCAAACGAGACAGATCTGGATGTCAGATCCCTCCTTTGTCATCCATTGCTCTGCGTCCTAGAATGAGCCACCTGGAAGGATTGAAGGGACCGATCATTTTCCAACTTCTCACTCCACAGAGGAGGAAGTTGCAGCCAGAGGGGTTAAGAGACAAGGGTTGATGCCACACCACTGGCAGTGGCTATGCCCACATGTGGGAGGACAGAGGTGATGAGGGCGCTGAGCCTGGTGTGGTGCCCCCTTCCCCGTCCCCGACTTACATCGCTCTGCAGCCAGGTGGCATGCACCGAGTGTGCCAGGCTGAGGTCATCTTCCAGACTCCGGGAGCCCAGCATCTGGCCTTTCATTTTCTCGAAGGCCTCTCTGTATTTGTACTGCAGGGAAAGAGCAGTTACCACCTGCCTCCTGCAGAGCGGCTGGTGGTTTCAAACTATTGACCTGATGGCGACCAGCCCCGCTCATTCCCAGCTATTCCACCAGGGCTCTTAGAGCTTGACAGAAGTGGTCGAAAACAGACTGGATGATCACTCAAGAGACAGAAAAGCCAATGTGTACGTCTGTTCACGTTCTGATAAATTGTGGGTGTCCGGTGCCATCGAGTGCGTTCAGACACATGGCCACCCCATGCACACCAGGATGAAACACTGTAACCCCCACCCACCCCACCCCCAGAGGGGACGAACAACAGAAACATGGGTGAAGGGAGACAGCAGTCGGTATGAGATAGAAGAAGAAGAATTTATAATTTACCAAAGGGTCACGAGGGGACGAGGGGGCGAGGAAGGGAAAAAGAGGATCTGATACCAAGGGCCCAAATAGCAAGTAAATGTTTAGGAAATGATGATGGCACACACACAGGCTTGATACAACTGGTGTGTGGATTGTTATCCACAGAGCTGTAAGAGCCCCATTAAGATGATCTGAAATAAATATATAAAATTTAAAAAATAAACAAATAAAGGGAAAGAGTGGGTGACAGCAACAGCTCAGCCATAGGAAATGGAAGAGGTGGGTCCTGGGCGCAAAGGTTTTCTTCTCTGGACGGTAACTGGGAGAGATGGAAGAAAATGCATGCGGGAGACCTCCAAAGGTGAGCGCGCTTGGGCGGTGGGCGGCAGTCAGGCGGGTTTGTGCCTGAGTTGTTAGCACATGGTGGGCCTTTGTGCAAACGTCTGGGGGCAGGGCCGTTTCATCTGTCCAGGTGTGGGGGCACCTGTGTTGACAGGGCAGTGTTTGGCTCTGTACCCCGAGCGAGGGGGTTTGTGGTTGTCTCGGACCTCATCTGATGTCCCTGACGTAGTTCATTCAGAAAGGATGGGATTTTAGCCACAGGCACAAGATCTGGGTTGGGGGCAAAGGAGCGTAAATGGGTTAGTGGGAAACACGCTGCTGCTCACATCACTGATGATGGCACCGGAAGCCTTTGCCGCCTGGAAGGGGATGGCGTCCAGCCTCAGTCGATACCCACCGTCGCGAAGTTTGCTCCAGGACTCCTTATACCGCGTCTGTTGGGAAGACGTGCAGCGGTGAAGACTTTGTGAGACCCACTGATGCTTAATCTCTGTTTCACCAGACGAGGCTTGTCTTTTTCTTCATGGTTTAGCAGGAACCGCCATAGAGCCGGGGACCGCTCAGGGCCACCCTTGGAGGTAGCGCCACCCAGCGGTGGGACAGCAAGGTCTTGAAAGTCAATGCCAGGTTTTTCTAAGCAGCAGTTTGATTGGAAAAAGGGAAGCTTGTGCGTGCATTTGCAGCGCTCTGTAGGTAAGGCCGGAGCCCTAGTGGTGGAGTGGGTTATGCTTCTGCACTGGGCAGCTAACCACAAGGTTGACAGTGCAAACCCAACGCCCTCAGAGGGGGAATGATGGGGTTTTCGGCTCCTGCAGAGATTTATAGCCTCAGAACCCTACAGGGACATTTCTACTCTGCCCATAGGGCCACTGGGAGTCAGCATTGACTTGATGGCAGTATTTTTTATTTTGTTTTAGTTTATGTACGATTAAGAAAAGTCAAATGTCTCTGTGAAGGAGGGATTATGAAGGGGGAGGCATGAAACCCCCAAACTGGACACTGGTCCAGATGCTGTATTATTGGGGGGGTGTGCATCTGGCAAGACCCTGACAGGGTGCAGTCACCATGTTCCCATCAATCCCTAGGAGTGGAGACTATCAGCATCTTCCTTCTCTGACAGGTTTGCACCTCAGCCAGGTTCCGGCTTTCAGGGGTTGTACTGTACACATTTGAAGATGGTGCAGGCAGAGTGCCAAGCCACATACCGGTATTTCCACACACCTGCATTTTTTTCCAGGTAGTTCCAGCCAGTACCCCCTCCACCAGCCTCACCTCACTGAGATTCATGGCATTGAATTTGGCCAGCAGGACTTCTGGGAGGTCTGCAGTCTGCGTGTAGTGGTGTTTTATATTTTCACCTTGCTCCTTGTACAATCTCTGCGGTAGGAGAGATTGGGATTAGAGGCAGACAGCCCCACCCTCAGCCATCAGCCCAGCTGCCACCAGCCCACAGCTCCCCGCCAGCGCGGTGACATGCACCACTCTCCCCCCAACTTCCTCCTGCTCAGAACATGACAGGCTGGAGTTTTCCCCGACAGTTACTGCTGCATTCGGAGGGGGGCCGGGGCTGAGACGGGTGTCAAATGAGTCTTCGGAGTATCTAGCAATCTTGTGATTAGCTCTACGCTGTGTGAAGCCCTCGATATTCAGAAGGCATGGGAGAAAGCGGCTTCCACAGGTGACAGCTTCCCTCCGTGGACTTTCACCGCACCCCCACCCCCATCTTCACAATGCCTACACTAATCAACGTCCCCTGGGTGGGTCTAGGGGTCTGGCTAGCCTAGCAGTTAACTTGTGACATTCTAATAGTTAACAATGACACCCGGAGTTCACATCAGCCAAATTCCCCTACCACCCAAGAAGGTTTCTAACCAGAGCTTTCCCATCCCAAATCTGATCCTAAGTGGCCAAATCCCTGCATATCACAGCAGTGCCCCCTAGAGTTGGCTAGGAGAGGAAGAAGCAAAAAAAAAGGGGGGGGGGTGTCACTGCCCTAGGGTTGATCCTGAGTCATGTAAGACAAGGTAGACCTGCCCCTGCAGGTTTCAGAGCCTAACTCTTCCCCAGAATAGAAAGCCTCATCTTTCTCCCAGGAAGAAGCACATGTTTTCTTCTTCCATTCAAAAGTTTCTGTCTGACCAGCTACATTTCTGTCTGACCCACCCCCCCCCAAAATTCCATCTGATTCTGTTGAAGCGATTTTTAAACATTAGAAGTTCCTAGATCGACTGTAGCCTTGTAGATCACTCCATCACAGGTTCTAACGGGCACTCGGGCCATTTCAGCAGGACTGCCGCAAAGGGGACAGCTGTGGTCATTTGCAAAACTGAGAAGCGGGAGCAAGAATTTTGACACCCTTCTTCTGAAAATTTTAAATCCTCAGCCCCCACCAAAAGAGCCCTGGTGGCGTTGTGGGTTAGGGGTTGGGATTCTACCTGTAAGGCCATGGGAGAGAGATGAAGCTTTCTACTCCCACAAAGAGTTACAGTCTTGGAAACCCACTGGGGACAGGTCTCCCCTGTTCTACAGGGTCACTATGAGTCAGCACTGCCTGGCGGGCAAGGAGTCACCTCATCGTGGCAAGCTGAATGGTTTGAAGACATTTTAAAGCCCTCCCACATGCTTCTGCACAAACAGCCATGGATTTCTCTCTGCAGAAAGAGCCAGGCAGGGCCAATTCCAGCCCTCAAGGTCACCACCATTCAATACCATGTCCAACAAAGCCTGACTTAGGGCAACAGAGGACTACCTTTCAGTTCCACACCATAGAGGGCATCTGGAAGTGGTGCCCATGCAAGGGGGATAAATCAGGCCCAGATCATGTTCAAGTCTTAGGAGAATTAGACCAACATCACTTCCAGCCCTTGGGTTTCCAAGAAGCCTAAGGCATGCCTTTGACAGTCCAATGACTCAGAATTGCACCTGAAGTGCCAGTTCTGGAGCCAAGACTTTAAAACCAAAGGCCCAGCCACGTATAAATCAATGAGACATGCAGATAGTAAGTCATGAGCCCCATCGTCAGGGCGGTGGGGTGGCAGGGCCCCACTTGGCACCCTAGGTGCACTCACACCCCATTTGCCTCCTAATGAAGAAGCATCCCCGCAAAGGTACACCTCCACCGGAGCCCGGAAGCCCCTTCATCCTGAGGACAACAGAAGGAACAAGCCCAAGAGCCCCTGGGCTTCAATCGCCGTATTGAAAGAAGAGCCCACCCTTGCAGTCCTAATGTATACACATTCACTCACATCCACGGCTTGGGCATAGCTAATTCGGGCCTGGACCATCTCCGGAGTGTCTTTAATACTGGTGAACTTCAAAGCATCGGGATGCTGACGGTACTTCCTCTGTTGAGCAGGGGGAGGAAAAAAATAGATCAAAGCAGTGAGTTTTGTGCTGTTCTTTTCATGCCATTTGAAAGAGGAAAAATCACAGGTTGCTGGAGATTAGAGCGAAATTGTGCGCGTAATTATCATTCTGCTTTCTCCATCTTTATCTCCTCAGCGCCTTCAGGTTACTATTTGTTTCCATTTAAGAATAACCTCGAGTCAATTAACGTTAATGTATTTCTACCTGGTGGAAAGAAAACACCCAGAAATTCGGTGGTTCCGGGTGCAAGACTCTGGGAAAGGTCCTCAGAACAGGGCTCTTTTCAGTAGGGTTTGGGTGCTCCCTCGCGTTTGTTTACATGCGTGGTGTGCAGGGCCTTCTAGACAGGAAAGACGATGCAGTGGGACCGTTATCAGTGGCCTGTTTTCTTTCCCAGAAAGGACATGGCTGGGATGATCACAGCCCCAACCCTTGATTTTCACAGGGAGTCAGCAAAGGTACCCTTCACTTCAGAGCCTTACCTGGTTCGCTTAAGCCATGTAAACCTTAAACCAAGCTGACTGCCCTCTAGTGGACTCCGACTCATAGTGGCCCTGTAGGGCAGGGTGGACAGGCCGCTGTGGGCTCCTGAGACCCGTAACTCTTTACGGGAACAGAAAACCTGGTCATTCTCCCACCAGGAGGCAAAGATAGCAGATAAGCAAATGTCTTTAGTGAGTTTGCAACATGTGTCCTGCAAACTGCTAACCAAAAGGCACCTCCATCTAGACTCTAGAGCAGCGGTTCTCAACCTGTGGGTCTCGACCCCTTCACAGGGGTTGCCCGATTCATCACAGTAGCAAAATGACAGTGATGAAGTAGCAACGAAGATCATTTTATGGTTGGGGGTCACCACCACATGAAGAACTATATTACAGGTTGGCGGCATTAGGAAGGTTGAGAACCACTGCTCTAGTGGCACCTTAAAGGGGCCCTGGTGGCATGGTGGGTTACACGTTTGATTGGTAAGGGCAAGGTCAGCAGTTCAAACCCACCATCCTTAGGAGAAAGATAAGGCTTTCTGCTCCCATGAAAACGTGCAGACCTCGAAAGCCATAGGGGCAGTTCTACTCTGTCCCCGAGGACCGGCATGAGGGCATGAGTCAGAATGGGCCCAGTGACAGTGGGTGAGAGGCACTTCTCCGGAGAAAGACAGAGCGAGCCACTTTCCAAAACGCTGCCCTTGAGAACCCAGCCGAGTCAGAACCGAGTTAACACATCTGCTTTCTTGTTTTAATGTAAATGATGGCTGTCAGTGAAGAATGCTGTATCGGCCTCAGATCATCGAGGTAACAGTTGCACCCTACGAATTCAAAGTGTTACCCATAGGAGACCTGGGGAGAGGGCGTGACTGGGGGAACTCATTGTACTTTCTGGGCCACTTTTTTGGATGCCGAACACGACTCTAAACACCAGTGTACTTTTTTGTAAAGGTCCAAGAACACACCACACAAGCCGAGCGCTGCCCAACAACACTGTCCTGAAATGGGAGGGAGGGGCACGATGCCCTAGGGTCCGGCCTACTGGTCACAAGAAGGTGGGGGGGAGGGGGGGGCATTTGTCAAGAGAAAGACCTTCCCAGGGGAGAACCTGTCATGTGACAGCCACCTTGTGACCAGCCACCACCTGTGGTAGGGAGAGCGAGGGACAACTGTGCAGAAAGCCACCCCGGAACTTTTCGGGGTGCGCTCAGTATATCTCTTCATGCCCTCTCCCGCGTGGCATATTAAAAGGTAAATTGGTGGGTAGCAATTGAGTGGCGTTTGATTGTCATTATTATTCATAATGTCATTTGTCACCACTTTGTTTTTGCCCGGGCGCGATGGGCCCCTACTGGGGTGTGTTTGGTGTGTGGTTTCCCCCTAATTACCGGCCCTAGCCTGGATTTGTAGGTCTTTCATGTGGCTTTGCCTTTGGAGTGGAAATTATTTTAATTTTATACAGGCACACAGCATGCCTCATGCAGCCGGACCCGGGACATGCTGTCAAGCATCTCACCTCGCTAATGAGTTCTCCTGCCTTCTTCGCCTGCTCCACGTTCAACGACCCGGTGGCCACCCAGCCAGCGCCTTTCATCCACTTGGCATCTGCCCTGTATTGGTTCTGACAAAGGGGATAGGGTGGGGGGTGGGGGAGAGACAGACCATTGTTAGTGTACAGACGGTTAAAGGGCTATTACCGGTGTCCCGCTTCACCGTGGTGCCCGCTGAGCCAAATTGGAGGCCGCTTTTGTCTTAGGGATTTGTGCACAGTCAAAGGTAAACGAATTTCCCCTTTAATTGGGTCCCCCTCCTCCTGGCCAGGGTGGCTTCCGGCCACACCCAACCCCATTGGGGTTTAGAAGAAGGGGGAGTCAAGCTTATCCCTCGTTAAGGATTCGTTTCCACATTGTCTGCTGGACCAGAGCCTCCTTGTTTCAAACCACACCACACGCAGGGGGAGACAAGAACTGAAGCTTCACAACAGAACACAGGAGGGGGGCTACTGGAGGGCCTGCCACAGGGCCTCCAAGACATCCCACTGTGACATCCCTCCCTAGGTACCCCTGGGGGACAGGGGGTGTGGGGGAGATGCGTTTCTCTTTGTTTCCGTGCCAGTGAGCAAGTTGTTTTCAGGGAAAGCCATTTAAGTGGACACTGTCATAAAGCCAGCACTGTACTGCTCTGTCCTGAAACAGCCCTACCAGGATGGAGAGCTACACCGTGCCCAGTAGGGAGCAGTCCGGCCACAGCTGACCTGCGTTGGTGTCAGCTCCCTTGCTTTCAGAGACAAGCCAATGGACTCCTAAGATCAAAACCATCACCCGTGAGTACTGGGCTCCTTTCAAGAACCATCCATCGAACAGCAAATGGCAAAGATGAGAAGGTAACTCACTGCCACCGAGTCGATGCCGACTCACAGCGACCCTAGAAGACGGCAGAACTGCCCCTGTGGGGTCCGGCACTGTCACTCCTTACAGGGGTAGAAAGCCCTGTTTTCTCCAGCGTGAGAAGATAAGGGGGCAGGAAAACCGGAATAGCGCAAATGGCACAACCAGAAAGAAATGAAAGGGAACGATGACTCATTTGGAAAAACATGCCACCAATTAATTCATCCGTGAGTCAGCTGTGGAGAGCCAGTCTGCTGCGCGAACCTTCACCTTCAACACTGGAAAACAGTGCTGTAAAGAAGGAATAGGTCACGAACCCCACCCCACCCGCACAGAGTGGCGGAAAGACATAAACACACAGAATCCGGTCGGGGGTCCACACAGGAGGGGGAGCGGGGAGCAGCACACAGCTCCCTCCAAACCAGGGGCTCCCGGTGCTGGATGGGCACCGGTGATGCGCGGAGCAGACACGTGCCAACATCTAGCACGCCAACACAGACACGCTGTCCTGTCCGTGCATTTGGGGACACGTGGCAACCCCACGGAGGTGAGGATTCCCTGAAGGGAGAAGGGGGCCCTGCGTTTCCATTTGTTGTAATATAATCTAGATGTCAACAGGGGGAGGGGAGCAATCAGACCCCCTCACAAGCTCAAACAGATGCATTTATGGATCCAGAAACAGGTTCTCCCTACATATAAACTAGTGTCTTGAAGGATTTGGGGAAATGTTTGCATCCAAACCAATGCCTACATGCAGGCACCTACACATGCGCACACACACACACACACTGGTACACATGGACACACGCAAGTACATATGTGTACACACAGGTACATGCATGTACGTCCACAGAGGGTACCTCACTCTGTAGTCCGTATGCCTTCTTGGCCCATTCCACCCGCATGTCTGTGGGCAACGTGGTGAAGTGGTGCGATGCCGTCTTGTAGCCCACTCCCGTGGCCAAGTGCTGGGCCTGGCGGGCGTGTGTGAGGTGGGCCATGTCCAGGGAGACGTGGCACTGGGACTTGGCCTCCTCGAAACCCTTCCTGTACTCCAGCTCGCTCTGCAGCTTGGACATCTGCAGGGAGTGGCTCATTCTCGAGTCCCCCTGGGCATCCTTCGCCCCGATGAGCTTCCCGCGGGACTTCTCATAATCTTCCTTGTACTTTACCTAAGTCGGGAGACAAGCGCCAGGGCTCCTTGGCACCTCTTCCAGGGATCACCCAGATTCCCACCCCGGAAGCTGAGACCAAAACAAATCCCAGCATCTGCTCGGAAGGAGGGTCAGTAGAAAAGGCTTCCTCTGCTGAACAGCGGAGAGAGTCCCTTTCCGCAACCAGGGCCATGGGATATGACTACCCACGACTGCCCGTGGTCTCACTGCCAGAATGCCCGGCTCTGTACTTCACGCTCTGCGGCAATAACCGTCTTCGCCCAGCACCCTCAGGAAAGCCTATGTCTCTCCATATCACTTGTGATCGCTCTTTCCCAGCTTATCTTTAGAGAGCCACCTTAGAGGCTTTTGGGGAGGCGGGAGGGTTGTAGCGTGAGTGTTAATCACCCAATGTAAATGACACCAACATGAAATTACAATTGTCTGGGGGGAAGGAGCTCCGGGGAGAGGACTGGGGCACACTTTAAATAGTCAGAAGCACCAGAAACCCAGCAACACAGACCCCCCCCCAGTGGTGGCTCCACCTCGGTGACCCCTGCCTGACAGGGGTGCGTGCAACTGCCTGATGGGATCTCCACGGCTGCCCATCGTGACGGAAGCTGACCACCACCTCTTTCTCCAGCAGGACCAGCAGTGTCCTGTTGTGTTGTACACAGGTGGGACCTAACCAGAGCAAAGGTATTGCTGATAGCAGCTGCCGGGCACTACTGACGCCAACCAGCGAGGGGCGAGCAGCGCGCTGAGCGTTTGCATGGTGCCCTCGCCAGAAGGGGAGCATTCCCATTGCCATGAACGGATAAGAACCTCGAGACTCAACAAGAAGAACCTGCCCAGACCGGAAACGACAGGGTTCCAGGCTCTTGTCCAAGTTGGGGACCGACTCACCTCACTGGCTAGATCCCGCTTGGCTTTGGCTGCCAGGAAAGTCAAGGAGTCCAGACGCAGCTCAAACCCTTTTGCCTTCTGGTTCTCCCAGCTGCTCCTGTACCGTTTCTAGGGGGGTTAGGAGGGCGCAGGTCAGTCTCAAGTGAGAAGGCTTTGCTAGACTCTGTAAGCAACCTGTCTAGGAGACCGATGAGTCATACGGCCTTCTTGTTCCTGCCTCGCGGCCTCTTGGCCCAGGGCACCCAGGAAAAGAAGCAGAAATGAAGGCCCAGGTGCCTTCTTCTTAGGGAGTCTTCCCCAAAGCCTCAAAGACACGTCAGAGGTGGAATAAGAAGGCTCAAGAGGGCAAGCTTTCTGGAAGAGCTACTCTCCCTCTCTCTCCACAGATGGGCAGCTGTTCCACCGGAGGTCCTTGTTCCATCCCAGCCGCTAGCCCATCTGGACCTTCCCCTTACTCCCCACATGCCCATTTCGGCCCTTGTTTCCACACTCCAAGATCACTTTTCTGGAAGGCCCCTCTCCTTTTCGCTGTGTGAATCCATCCCGTTACTGCTGCTCTTCCTGGTTCTGCCCTCCACCTATGATTCAGACCAGGACCCCAGAGACCGGATTGCTGAGCACAGAGAGAGGCAAGACCACCACACCTCCGTAGAAGATCCATGGGGGTGGGGGGAGTTGGGACTGTGATGCCTTTGTATCTCAGAGTAATGGCTACCATTGCACACACTCCTCCACATGCTTCGTATAGGCAAGGATTGTGGAGATGAGCTCAATGAAGTCTCCCACAACTGACGAGACTATGTTATAATGGGAATATATATATATATATATATATATAATATGTTATGATGGGAATGTAGATATGTACATCTGCCTGTGACTCAGTTGTTATTCCTGTGGCCAAAGCATTCTGTTGAGCTAGTGCTTGTCCACCCAAGGACGTAGAGACGAGGGCCACAGGCTCGCCCCCTCTGTACCTCACTGAGGTTTGCAGCATTGGCTCGGGCCAGCAGGAAGACAGGCTCCTCCCGGCTGATGGTGTACTGATGGACAGACTGTGCGTTTCCTGCCTTGTATGCCACCTGTTGGGAGAGAGGACCAAGTCACAAGCAAGGAGGGGAGGACGCAGGCGTGTCTTTAGGTTGGCTTGATGTGCCTCCAAATTGCATGCCAAGTCCACGATCAGTCAAGCAGGTCTGACCCTGGGTGGCAGAGTACAATCACTGTGAGGAGCTGGGAGAAGAATGTGGTCAGGGGACCCTTCCATGGTTTTTCCTTCCCAACTTCCCCAGAGATGGATGTGCCATCCCCAGGCTACTCCCACCGGACACTGTCCACCACCACAAACATCTCCTTATGGGAAGGTTGCCACTCTTGCCCTTTGCCGCCACCCACCCCTCCAACCTGAGTCTCGAAAGAGTGGTTTTTCTGCTAACTCTGAACGATGTCGAAGCACCGTTTCTGGCTGCCATCCAGGAAAGACTTCATCCCTCGTATCTGGGGCATGTCACTAGGAGGGACATCATACTTGGGAAAGGAGAGAGCCAGCCAAAAAGAGAAAGACCCTCAAGAAGATAGATCAGCACCGTGGCTGCAACAATGGGTGCATCGTGCGGATGGCACAAGACAGGCAGTGTTTCCTTCTGCGGCACACACGGTCGCTGTGAATCGGAACCAGCCCTGTGGTGCCGAACCACAACATCAACATCCTTTCTGGGAAGTGCACCTGGGCCTTGAGGAACGGAAGCCAGGCAGGCCCTGGCCAGCTCGGTAGCAACTGCGGCACCTGCTCGGTCCAGCAAGTGGCGACTGGACATTATGGTGAGCATAATGTACATGATGCCCTATTGTTCTGCCGCCCACCTCTGGGCTCACGTGGGCCTGACCTGCACACATTCCGCAGGCAAATGCTTTCTTCCTGCAAGATATTTCTCTGCTGGCGCCAGCATGATGACGTCTTTGATAAGAAACAGAAGACGGAGACAGAAGGCACCAGAGAAGTCGGGAAGCGGGAGAGGAATGGAGCCAGTCGTGCCTCCATTCCTGCTCACCCAGGAACATATGGGGGAGTGGGGGGGGGGGGGTTTCCAGTTCCCAGAGACCGCCTGGAAGTCTAGAGAAAGCTGTGTCCAGCCTGTTCAAAGAGAAAGGTCTCTGGTTCCTTCATCATGCTTGGGCTCCACCTGCTGTTTTCTGCCGTGATGCAGCAGCTGGGCGGAGAAAGGGCAGCACAGGACTCACCTCGCTCTGTAGCCCCTGGCTCTTCTTGGCATGCTCCAGGTGGGCGCTGTCGGCCACGCTGGTGAACTTCAGCTCATCAACTTTCTGCCTGTAGCCTTTCTGTTTTCAAAGAGAAGGGACCCTCCATATAAGGACGGGGCTGCCTTATTCCCCCAACCCCTAAGCACACAGGTCCCCTTACACACACGTTCTGCAGCCCAAGCATGCCCGTGTGGGGCTGTGCCAGCTCATTCTGCAGCCCAAACAGGACAGTGCAGCCCTGAGACCGCCTCCTCTGACCAGCCTGTTTCAGTCGCTTCTCCTCCATGGGGGCTTCAGTGTTCCCTCTCAGGAAATCCTATATTTCATCATATGCCCCCAGATGGGTCCTTTTTCTGACTCTAGATCTGACACGGAGTCTCAGGGAAGTGCTGCGAGGGAGAACCCACTTGGGCTGCACAATCAGGAAGACCTAGCGATCAAATGTCACCTCCACCTCTCTGCAGCTTCTCCTTGCCTAGGTCACTCACTGGACCCCACGTCTTGCTTCAGGTGCTCCCTGGGGGCCACACACCTCTGGGAGAGAGCAGAGCTTCCAATGCCGTGCTTTCCACTGGAGCCGGGCCCCGGTGATACACTAGTTAAGTGCTTCTCTGCTTACTGAGAGGTCTGCGGTTTGAACCCATCAGCCGTGCCACCAGAGGAAAGGTCGGGGCACCTGCTCCTGGAATGGTGACAGCCCAGGAAGACCTGGGGGCAGTTGGAGCCTGTCCTCTAGGGTGACTGCCGTACGTCAGCACACAGCCGCCACCCGGGCGCAGAGTAAGGACGTTCGTCGCACCATGACTGACAAAGCTGTGATGGTTGAGGAAAACACTCGGGGTTAGGGGTGGGGTTTAGGGTGGAAACTCAACCCCACAGATCCCTGAGCCCATGTCCTCACGGTGCCCCTATCTCACAGCTAGAGCCGGATGGGCAGAATTTCAGACAGGCTAATTCTGTCCCGGCAGGGACTTCGTGTCCTTTCTCGAGATGCGTTCTCCTGGTTTTTCCACTGGCGTTGTCAAAGTCTCTGGGGAAAGCCAGCAAGGAGGACGCTTGTTGAAGCAAAAGCTTCTCATGGGGGCGGGTCAGAGATGAGGTCACAACATGATTCTACAGCCATCGACTGCCCCGCTCCAGTGACTGAGCCAAACACAGCAACAGCCACAGAAACTCCAAAGGCCTTCCCTGTACATAAAAAAAAATTCTAGGGAAAATATTCCAAAGATGCTTCCAATTTCCCATCCTAGCTCTGCCATGTCCAATGGAAAACATCCTCAGCACATACTGGAAGACAGTCAGGCTGCCCTCCATGGTTGGCAATCCCCAGACATCTCAGACCCTGCGTCGTTCAAGTGAGAAATACCTGCTCAAAGCCCAGAATCCACCCTTTACTGGGCACCACAGATATTTTAAAAGGGGGGAGGGGCAAAGAATCCCCAAGGAACAAAGGAATTTGGCCTTTGTCTTGGTTCCTGAGACATAACCTCTAGAACAGTGGTTCTCAACCTTCCTGATGCCGCGACCTTTAACACAGCTCCTCATGTGGTGGTCACCCCCAACCATAACATTATTTTCATGGCTACTTCATCACTGTCATTTTGCTACTGTGATGAATCGGGCAACCCCTGTGAACGGGTTGTTCGACCCCACCCCCAAGGGGTCATGACCCACAGGTTGAGAACCCCTACTCTAGACCATTGACCACCCAACCAAGGTCTTGGAGAAGACCTTGGTTTCCCATTTCCAATGGGAAATGACTTTGCTTTGCAAACTTTGACAAAGAGCACGCCCAAATATTATTTCAAAAATAAAACTTCGACGTGTCCACAAAGGCTGAAGTATCGTTGAAGAGGACCCCAGATCACATGTAAGGGGTTTGACTCTTGTTGGGTGAGGGCCGACTGTGTTAGAAAGACCCACCGAGTACTGTCAGTTGGCTTTAGGAGAACAATGCAAGATGCAATCGATCCCGTCTATTTAAAGAGGCCCGAGCAAGGCCGTGGACAAGGATGCACCATGAGCTTCCTGGTGGTGGCAGACGTCAGGGCATGTGGCAGGGTAGCTCATTCTGTTTGGAACATGGACCCCTCTCCTGATGTGTCAGTTCATGTGTGTCCTTTTGCTGTAATAAAATGGGAGCCAGCACCCCAGGGCTTCCTATACATTCTATTTGTCTTTCAAGCGAATGATCCAACCCAAGGAAGTAGTAGGACCCAGGAGATCAGAAGTGCGGGCCTCTGAGATTATGGCTGGCAGGCCGCGGGGGTAGAGGAACTCGTAGCCGGCCACTCAGAAGTGTGAATGGTACGTGGACAGCAGAGCTTGCAGTTGGCAGCTAGGGTCTTGAACCTGAGTAGCCTGGAGGACTTGTGGGTGCTGGCCTGAGTCCCAGGGGTTGAAGTCAGGGGAGGGTGTGCTGCCTGTGCTGAGATCAGAGGTGGGAGAGTAGCAAGCAGAACCAAGGATACATTGTTCGGATTTGGGCTACATAGCAGAGAAGACGACAGAGCCTGACAGACGTGTGGCTGGCAGATCACTTGCTTGCGTTCCCTCTCACACCGACAGACTGAAGCGGCCCTACCGACCCCCAGAAAGCTGGGGTGCTGGTGGTTTCCATTGAACCACTCAGACTTCTGAGACCACTCAGACTTCAGTTGGTCTCAATGAATCTAGCTCATGGTCCACCAGGGCTATTCTCTTTTCTCTAACTCCCTTAACCATACACTCTAGCCCTAAGCATAGCTGACAGAAGCATGCCAGAAGTGTGGTGCAAAAATATGAATGAATTCTAGAATGTGCTTTGGGCATGCAGAAGGGCCCAATGGGCTCAAAGATGCTGGGTACAGATCCCAATTCTACTGCCTACCCGCTGGTCACCGGACACTGTCTCATCCTCCTCGTGTGTACAACGGGGGTCTGAGAGAAAAATAGCCTCAGCCACCAGACTGTTGGGAGGAGTCAAAGAGCAGGGCATGTGTGACATACACACACACACACACACACACACACACACACACACACGAGTCAACAGATGACAGCACTGATTATATGATCACTGCCCGTCACTAAAGGGCATGATGGTTATTACTATCCTTTGCAAGAGAGAGGCTGGCCCAGCCTTCCTGGCCTCAGGACAAGCATCCCCTCTGAAGACAGTAAGCAGAGTTCCTGAATGAAAACCACGTCTGAACAAAATGCCCTTCAACAGTTCTCCGCTGCCTCCCATGCAGTCCAGCTTTACAAAGCTCCAGTGTCGAGCTGGAGGGAATCTTAAAGATTCCTCCATCCAACCTTCTGTAGCTGGGGCGGGGGGAGGGGGGGACAGCACAGTTCAGTGACTTTGCCCCTAGTCAGCGGTGAGTTTGGGGCATGGCCACAAGGAGAATGCTGACTTCCAAATATTGAACTCTCTGATTCAAAGAAGCCATACCGTCCTCGCTCACGAGGCTAAGTCTCCCCAGGTGTGAGTTGACTAGACAGGAAACCAGTGGCTAACAATTCCAACTCATAGCAAACTCATGTGTGCCAAGGTAGAACTGGGCTCCAAGGGGTTTTCACTGGCTGATCTTGTTGTAAGGAGATCACCAGGCCTTTCTTCCAAGGCACCTCCGGGTGAACTCAACTCTCCAAACTTTGAGTTAGCAGCCAAAGGCACAAAGAGACACCTACTGAATATTGGTGTTGTGTGTCGCCAAGTGGATTCCAACTCCTATGGGCCTCATAGGAGACTAGAACTGCCCCCATGGGGTTCCTGAGGGTGTAATCTTTAGGGAAGCAAGTCACGAGGTCTTTTTCCCCTGGAGCAGCTGGGTGGCTCTGAACCACTAACCTTTCTGGTACCAACTGAGAGTTTAACCATTGTGCTGCTGAACTATGGATTACAAACCTTCAAGTTAAATTATTTGTTGGATGGAACTTGTTCCTAAAATAGTCTTACAGTGATCACCCCGGGTCACTGTGAGTTTGTCTGTGAAGCTAATGAACAAGGGGGTGAGCTAGAGGTATAAAATGAAGAAGGCCTCTTGTCTGAATCCTACTCTAAATAAGCCAGCATGGAGGGGGTCAGGGGGCCATAGGAAAAGATCGCACTGGTGACTCCGGAGCTGAGAAGACCCTGGGGCCAGGGGCTTAGGCTCAGGTTACCTCGCTGACCAGCTGACCAGCCTTCTTGGCTTGCTCCAAATTGAGACTCCCCTCAGTCAGCCACCCGACTCCCTTCATCCATGCCAGGTCGGCCTTGTACTGCAGCTGCAAGAGAAAGGGCCAGAAGCTCTAACCAGGCACCCAGATGCAGACAGAGCAGAGTTTAGGAAAACCCCTGCCCCACCCTCCCCTTGTCCTTCTAAGTGCCTCGCTTCCTGGTCTTTTATAGCCAGGTTGAAGTCTGTCTGGACCCACCTGGTAATAAGACAATCACATTCTATCTTAGTACTGAAAACTTCCTGAAAACAGAGCATTCCATACCTTCACAACCAAGGATCTTCTTGGATCACCTGATAATATCCCAAGATTACTTAATTTGGTCACATCTGTTTCCTCTGGCCCCCCTATTACCAACACATCATGATTTTCCCAACAGCTCTGAGCCCCGACTCCTCCCAATCCATCCTCCCTGGGCTGAGAATACCTCCAGCTATTCTTCCCAGACTTTCAAAGGAATGCCAATGGCTCCTAAAGTTAGTCTCCAGTCTCCTTGTGGGGAGCTATGTAATAGACTCCTACGTAAGCTCCATGCTTGTTGAACATATCACTACATGCAAGTGCATGAGATGTACAGCCTTGGCGGTGGGCCCACCTCACTCTGGAGCCCATAGGCTTTCTTGGCCCAACTGGTCTTCATGTCTTCAGGCAGCACCGTGAACTTGTGCAGTTTCTTCCTGTAGTCCAGGTCGCTGGCAAGAGCCTGAGCCTTCTTGGCATGCCTGATGTTCACCATGTCCAAGGGCAGGTGAAAGTGGGTCTTACTCTCCTCGAAGCCTTTCTTGTATTCAACCTTGAGGTTACAAAAACAAGGGGCTGGTTTGACAGCCTGCTCTTGCAGGGGTGGTGGGAAAAACATGGGAAAGAATTCCAGACTTTGGTGAAGAACTGGCAGTGTGGTTAAGACCGCCCAACGGTCGGAAAGGCGGGACCGATTCCTGCCTCCTTAAGACAGGTGCCCGCAGCTTCCCACCCCCTTGTCTCTAGAAGAAAGGCCTCTCCCTAACCCTACGGTGTGAACCGCAAGAACACTCTAGCCGCGCATGTTCCTGGAAAAGCATGGGAGGCATAGTAACAATCTTGGCCTCCAGAGCCAAACAATTCTGAGTTCAAACCTGGACCAGGGCTTTCCTAACGGGTGAATCCTGGGACGTTATGTCTTCCCTCTAAGTGCTTGCTTTCCTCAGAGAACTGTCATAATAAGTAAATGAAACAGCTGCAGAGCGTGGTTAATACAGAGGCTCATACAGAACAAGCACTTGATACACGTGAGCCAGGGAGATGATGTTGATAAAGATGATGGCGATGGTGGTGGTGGTAATTATGGTGGGGATGATGGTGATGGTGGTGACGATACTGGCAACGATGAGGGTGGCAGTAACTGTGGTGTGGTCCTAGGAAAAGGCTGTGTACTGTAGTAGAAGGAGTGTAGGGTCCTTAAAGCAGAGTCTGAGGTCTAATTCTCTATCCTTCCATCACTATGATTGACTACCATATGACCTTGGGCAAGGCACAATCTTTCTGACCTCAGTGGCTCCAAGTGCAAATCTGAAATACCTCTGTATCCTCTGTCTACACTTCAGCCAAACTCTCAATATCGCTTCATGCTTTAAGGCCATGCACACCTTAGGACCTGTTCTGTTGACACTTTCAATACGGTATCCCAGATGCAATTGTCTTATTCTAGTCAAGACCCGGCTGCTAATGACTCATCGGGCAATTATATTCAACAGCACCATCACAACATAGCATGCCATCACATACACACACACACACACACACACAACCCTCACCACCCCACTACCACCCTCCCACCCCACCACCACCTCCCTGCAGCCTAGGTAGAAACCCTACACTCGTGTGGTCATTTTACCTCTTCAACATTGGCTGGGGAAAGTTTGTTAGAAACTAGGTCTCTCCTTTCTAGCGGAGCTCTTTTCTCCAAAGGTGTGGGGGAAGCAACACGCATCCCATTGAACAAGGTTAACCTCCAACCATTACAGCTATTTGCAAGCAGCTTCGCGTGGATTGACTGGACCCTGGACTGTCCTACTTTTCATTGAGTAGTTTGAATACCTCTCAGATTTGTGACCACAGGATGCACTCAAGACACTGCCACAGTAATCACGGGATGATTGTCAACTCCCCTGTCGTGTACAGTCCAGCTAGGGACGAATCTGTAATGTGTTGTTTATTCTTCTAGCCCCACTCTCTTGCCCATAATCCTTGGCCAGTCAACATGTATGATGAAATGAGCCAATAGAGTCAGATACCTTTGTCTCTTGCTCACTAGATACTGGTCACCCTTAGGACCACGCGCCTCGTCTACTTTAATAGAAAGGCTAGGCTTTGGGCAGAGTAGACACTGGAAAAGCTGCTCATCTGAGCCAGGAAAGAGGGGCTTCCAGTGGATGAAAGTGCCCAGCGAGGTAGGCCGAGGGAAAACTCTTAAAGCAACACAACTTTCCATCAAGGGCGGGGAAGGAGAAACACGTTTACCTCGCTGCTCATCTTGGCAACCTGCAGGGAGTGCAGAAGCCTGGAGTCTGTGGTTCCCATGGCTCTGCCTTTTGTTTTCTCGTACTCTTCTTTGTATTTAATCTTGAGAGAAAGAAGAAAGTCTACTGTGAGTTGGAGAGAAACTGCACCGTCTACGGGGCTCTGGTTTGCACAAGTACAAAGGGAATGTTGGGAAAAGACACTTCCCCATCTTTCACGAATCCCAAAGAAGATTAAAGTGGCCTGATGTTTACAACGCTAACAGTCTTTTTTTTTTTCCTGCAGGACCACTGACATTGTATGGGCACCGTTGCTGACGCCTTTCCAAGTTAATGAGAGAAAACCTACATTGCTGGCAAGCTCCCCCGAGGCTTTGGCACCCAGCAGGGACATAGCATCCAGCTTCATCTCAAATCCTTTCCCCTTGGTCTTCTCCCAGCCTTCTTTGTACTTCACCTGACAAACAAAAGCACAGGTGAGCGGAGTCGGTATCCATTTGCCTGCCAAAAGTTGAAGAGGAGACACTTTTTTTTTTTTTTTTTAGAAAAAGCACAGTCTCTTCATCTGTTTGCAGAACAGAATCTTGGCTGTGGTTATCAAATAATAATAGTAATTATTAGCACAGCTAATTGATCGTTTGGTGGTGGGACCCAGCAGGGAGGTGGTGATGGGATCAGGCAGAGAGAGGAGTCACGTGCTCCTCTGAGCTCGGTGGCAAACACCTAATCACGGGATCGCGGACAAATCACTTCTCCTCTTTAGGCCTCAATTGACACCCCCGTCCCCATAAAGTGACTAGCATACCATCTGCCTAACGTGAGACTACATTGCGTCCAGAAGAGTAAAGCAGACTCTAAAGTGATACGTGTAACACAGTCCTAAGGCATGGCTCTCACTGTGGGAAACCATGGAAAGTCAAAGGCACAAACCAGTTGCTCTTGAGCCAATTCTGACTTCTGGTCATCCCAGAGGCTTCAGGTGGAGCTGTGCTCTGTAGCGTTTTCATGTCCAGGACCTTTTAGGAGCCTCTCTTCGACATCTCTTGGTAGAGATGAACTGCCAACCTTCTGGTTCGTAGCTGGCCACTTGACTCTCTGCACCACCCAGAGGCCCCTGGTAATAATGACGACCATTTATCGCTCCTTCCCAGGTGCCTTGTGCTCATTGGTCATAACTCTATGCATTAAGCCTGAGAGGCTAATAGACCTTAAAGGGCTCACCCAGGGCCCCAGAAGCAACAACTGACAGTGCTGACACGTAACCCAGGTCCATCTGAAACCAAAGCCCATGCTGTTAACGTGTCTTTACAAGACCACCTGAGAGGGGATGGTGCCCACTTGCGTACTATCTCGTTAGCACATATCTAGCATGTGTTGTTGTTAAGTGCCATTGCATCATTTCCAACTCATGGTGGCCCTATGTACAAACATGGCCATCTTCACAATTGTGCTGATGCATGAGCCCACTGGTGCAGCCACTGCGGCCATGCATTGCCGAGGGCCTTCCTGCTTTTCGCTGCTCCTCCACTTTAGGAGCAGGAATGCTATTCTCCAGAGACTGGTCTCCTCTGAAAACATACGTAAAGGACATGAGGTGAAGCCTCGTGATCCTTGTCTCCAATGAGCATTTTGGCTACACTCCTTCCAAGACAGATTTGTTTGTGCTTTTGACAGTCCTGGTATTTGCAATCTTCTTCGCCAGCACCATAATCCAAATGCATAGATTCTTCTTTGGTCTTCCTTATTCAATGTTCACCTTTCACAGGGGTAGGAGGCAATTGAGAAGACCTCGGTTTGGATCAGGCACATCTTTGTACACAAAGTAAAACCCTTGCTGTTCAACACTTTAAAGAGGTCTTGCGCAACAGATTTACCCGATGCAATGCGTCCTTTGATCTCTTGACTGCTGCTTCTATGAGCTCTGATTGTGGATCCAAGCAAGATAAAATCCTTGACAACTTCAATCTTTTCCCCATTTATCATGATGTGACCTACTGGTCCCGGAGTGACAATTTCGGCTTTCTTTCCATTGAGTTGGAATCCATACGGAAGGCTTCAATCCTTGATGGTCCTTAGCAAGGACTTCAAGACCTCCTCACTTTCAGCAAGCAAAGTTGTGTCATCTGCATATCGCAGGTGATCGGTAATCCTTCCTCCAGTCCCGATACCACATTCATGATCATAGAGTCCAGCTTCTCTACTAATTTGCTCAGCATACATATTGAATAACTAGCGTGAGAGGATACAACCCTGACACATAAGAGTTTGCAGTTCTGTAATGCTCCATTTAGTAGTTACGCAGCACCAGATGTGGCCTTTACGGCCTCTGTTTTGTAATCTGATGTGGTCACCCTCCATTTCTACGTGATACCAATTTTCGCATCATGACCTTGTCTTTGGAACCTAAGCATGTTGCTAAGTGAGGAGTAGGTGTAATTCAATATGTCCAGTGCCTCGCCCAACATCCAGCATATGAGTAGCACCCATAACTCATTGCCATCAAGTTGATTCTGACTCAGCACCTCCACCGTACGACTAAGTTATTTTTTCCCCAACACTATAATCTCTATGAGTGCAGGTCTCCAGGTCGCTTGTCCCCTGGAACCACTGATGGTTCAGACCATCAGCCTTCTGTTAGCAGTGGAACCACGATGCCACCCGAGCAAAGGACAGGAATTCAAAGATCTGGTTCCTTTTGTTCTTCTCCTTGGCCCACAAATCCCATGTAGAATACGAAGCCAACGCACACGCCTTTTGTGAGTCCAGGAAGAAGCTGGTAATTAAGGTCAATGTTTTACAGACTTACATGTTTTACCCACAGCCAAGCGCAGGTCATAAGGCACCAGGATAATGGTATGTGTGTGTGTGTGTTCATGCTCAACTATCAAGAGTTAACTGCTATAATCAATGTATCTCCACAGAAGTATTGAAGCGGTGGAATTCACATGTCCAGTCTGATGAGTGCCTTTGATGACCGTCACTCGTGGATGGACTACTTCTCACCTCTTAGGCGAGCCAAGGCACTTTTTTTTTCATCTATGTACAGAACCCTTCACCAGGTTCTCATCCGGGTAGTGTCCTCACCTCGCTAAATAGCTCAGCGTTGCTTTTGGCCTTTACCATCTGAGGCACATCCCGCGGGAGCGTGTAATTCAGCTTATTTCTCTCATAGTCGGCGCGGTAGTTCACCTGTTGGAGTAGAAATACGTCACGAGTGAATGTCGGGGTTGGGGGGTGGATGGGCAGGAGCGAATCTTGAAGAAAGGCCCCTCCTCCTTTCCTGAGATGGCATTTCTAGATTTCAGAATGACGCTTGGTGTTTCATCAATGTTCTAAATCAACCAATCGAATATGCCAAATGGAAAGCAAAACAGCCCAATGGCATTCCCAACACTGGGAGTTTGCAACAACAGCCAACACTTCTCCATGGAGCGCTCTCCAACTCTCCCGACTACCACTTGAGGGTAGGTCTGGGCAAACTGAAAATTTGCCACAAGATTAAACATCTCTTATATGCAGACTAGCTGCTCTCAGTAATTCTCTGATGACTGATTATCCTGGGGGGGGGAGCCATCTTAAATGATGCACATACACAGGACAGCCACACGAAGTTTCTGTTGCCAGTGGTGGAATACTACGGACATGGACAATGGTGCGGGCTTCACAGTGTGATGGATGAAACCTGTGTCAGTGAACTGTATGTATAAAAAATGTTGACTTGGTAAATTTTATTTATATACACAATGAAACAATTTTAAAACCCTTATCCATTCATTTTAAAGAGAAAGCCACCCAGACACCATGTGATTTCTGATGAAAGAATACAGCATCATTTGAGAATCAGTCTTGTCCAAAAATTATAGCCTAATCAGCTCTAAACACCCAATGACTATCTTATAGCAAAGCCAGAAGCCAGAGGGACACCGGAAAAGCACTCTGGGATGCAACTGGCAAAACCCAGGCAGTGGCCAACTTGACAGGACAAACAACCCAGTTTTCTCAACAAGTAAGTGAAAGAAAGCCATGAAGTGGCACTGACTGTTTGGATCCTGATTAAAAAAAACTGCCAACAAAACATACCATTAGGAGACCATTGAAATTCCGAATAATGAGACAACTGGGCATTGGTGATGAAAGAAACTGATTTTCATTTTTGGTGTGATATGTTAAAAAGTGTCAAAGTATGTTTAATTTCTTATCCTCTTTGAGGGATTCAGGCAAAAATATATATGATGCAATTCCTGTTATTTCTTCAAAATAAAATGACAATACAAGTAGATAGCCCTATGGATAGAGCAAGGGGTTGATCATCGTTGAAGCTGCATGGTGGATATGTGGGGATTCGTTTTGCTATGATTTCCGTTTCTGAATATATTTGAAGTTCTCCATAATAAAATGCTTAAAAGGAGGAGTTTTTTCATGTGTGCAAGTATGTATGTATGTGTGTGTGTGTGTATATATATATATATATACATATACATATATGTGTATACATATCACATATAGATCACCATTAATGAAAGTCAAATCGTTGGGGACCCAGTTGCCCAGAAGCCAAAAGGCAACCACAAGGCATCCTTATATGGTTGGGCAGGGGTAGCAGGTCACTTACATGGCTCAGCTGTTGGGCGTTGATTTTGGCCTGAACCATCTGAGGAGTGCTGCTCACAGAGCTGTACTTCAACTTGTCAATGCTTTGCCTGTAGTTGACCTGGGCAAACAGACACCAAAAGATATGACTTACTCCTTTCGCTAAGGTTTGCTTAGCTCCCTCGACGCAATAGAATGGTGATTCTCAAACTTACTAGGAAAGAAATCAAAGATTCAGATTGGATTCCACCCAATGTGCCAAGCCCACAGACAGAAAAACTGAACATCAAGGAGCCGAGTGATGGGAACAGACAGCTCATACTAAGGGTCAGTGAAATGACCAATAAACATATGCAAAGATACTTGTCCACATCCTCATTCAGAGAAATGGACATAAAGACCACCATGATAAGTTCTTCCACACTCACCTGGTGAGCTACAATCACAAAAATATTGACAATACCAAAGTGTTAGTTAGGGGCTTTCAGGCTACAGAAACTCCCCGGACATTACCAGTAAAACGTGCAAATTGGTACAGCCGCTTTGGAAAACCGCTTAGCATCTGGTACACAGGCATATGGTGTGTTCCAACAATCCCCTGCCAAATGAAATATACGCACAAGGAAAACTGGGAGAGTGGAGTAGAAAACTCATTATGATGTTCTTGACAACGTTTCCAAATTGAAGATCACCCAGATGCCGATCGACAGCACAATAGAAAAAGAAATCATGGTATACAGTGGGATACGACATAGAAATAAAAATGGGAGACTAACTACATGACAGAAAAAGGTGAATTTTAGGAACATAATGCTAAAAGAAAGAAGTGAGATGTGTGAGTATACATATTAAATGGTTACATTTATATAAAGACCAAAGATTCAGCAAAACAAAACCACGTGGTTCAGGGAGGCATTGTTAGGTGGAAAACAGACAAAAGAACAGAGGTGGCTTCCCTAACACTCCGAAGAGTGGTAATCTTTGTGTACAGCAATGAGGTTGCATGTGGATTAGGTAGAGAAACCCCGTTGGTGGGTGGCTTGAACAGACATCTACTTTGCCTCTGTTGAGGAGGCTGGAAGTGGGATTCAGGGTCCAGGTTCTAGAGGAAGACTTCATCTCACAGGGTCAGCGCTAGAGCAAGGTTCTTTTCTCTGAGCTTCTGCTTCCTGGGTTCTTGGAGATTTTTGTGTCTTGGCCTATCACTGACTCCATCTCTCTTGCTAGCTTCCATTTTTCTCTTTTATATCTCAGAAGAGATTGCGATATAATCTCAATCCTCTGCTATTCCAGAACAAACCCACTGCTGCCAAGCCCACTGGGACTCACGTGGCTCTACCAGACAGCAGAACTGCTGCACGGGGTTCCCAAGGCCACCACACGTTCCTCCCTCGGAGCTGCCAGTGCACCTTCGAAGTCCGAGCGGGAATTCAAATCCCAGCAGCCTGCCTCTCAAGACTGCTTTTCATCTCTACATTCTAAGCTTAATTCCACTGAAGCTAGTACTTGTTCTACCCAAACTGCCACTTGTTATTCCATCAATTGACGAAGGGGTTCCCAACAGCCAGAGCCAGCATTGTATATACAGGAGAAGACATCCTGGGTGCAAACAAATGATTTACCAATTAACTTCTAGAAGAGGAAAAAGAGAGTGCTCCTGACACCAGGGTTCAGGGCTCTTCATTATACGTGGGGATAAAGAACAGTATCATTTTGGCTTGAGAGAAGCTTTTGCATATTCTGAGTTTTGAACATGGTCTATCAGGAAAAGTAGGAACTTAAAGTCATTTCAATGTCAACTATTAATGAGATTAGAATGTAGTGGCTTCTTAATGCATGTATTCAGAGGGAAATCATTGTCTCACAAAAAAAGAGTATCTCAGTTTTCAGAAATACGCTAAATTTAATGTGAGGGAAAGCGTATTTTTAAAAGGCATATTCCTGCCCGATAATTACACGTTAAGTCTGCTGTGCGGCGCAATTACATCTCTCTGCAGGACATCAGTGCAACATCACAAATGCTTGGCCATTGCTTCAACCTACATCCTGAAGGGCCTCTTTACTGAGAAGAGAGACTTATTTTAATGCTATTAGTATTTCTACCACCCATCTGAAGGGACTGCTTCCTAATTAGGGACCCACACTTGCATAGTCATTTGCGCACCAGAAAGAAAGAGAAGCTACACATGTTCCTGTAAATAGATTCTGAGAACTTCATGAGTACCAGCGTCTTAGGACTATATGCTCAGCCTGGGTCTGGCCCAAGCACTGCCAGCCTCGAGCCTACTTCTGATTCCTGTTAATATTTACTTTTACCATTTGGTCTAGTTTAATTCTTACCTCTGACTTCCCCAGGGGATGGGTATATATTTCAGGGAACTGGTTTGATTTAAAGTCTCATGTAAACAAGTCATGTTATTATGGAAATCCAGACATGTAGGAGTCCATTCCAACTTGTTTGTGCTGCTGGGCATAGATCACGGAATTCTACCACAAATGCACACACTCACATTCAAGGGAGGTGCTCTGGATGCCCACGATTCCCAGGGAATGGAGACCAGGAGAGAGTCAGTAGGTTGGGCAGTGGTCAAGCCTGATCTTGAGTCACTTGAAGTGGGGTGAATTGATTACCTCACTTAATGTTGCTGGGAAATGGGAAACCATTTTAGGCCTATTTTCTACCCTCCTGCTAAGCTGCCTGCTTGCCACCCTTCCCGCGCTCACTCTGGCTCTTCATTATCTAGCATACTGGCACGGACGCTGGCAAAGCCCAGCTGAATCCCAAGTTGTTCCTGCTTTCAGGGGCCTTACCACTTGGCCAAAGGGAGAAACTGGAGACCCATCTGTCGACAGCAAAAGCCCAAGTCAATTGCAAACAAAATCATCATCAACAGATACATTTTTGTGAATTAGGTCCTAAATGATATAAGCGATAATCCTCACTGAGGAACAAGTGTGATATCATGCAGTGCTAAATTACCCAAAGTATGCTTTAAAATAGAGGATGATTTTTGTCCCCTTTCCTCATACTTTCTGTATTTTCTCAATTTTTTCACAATTTACTTGTAGCCAGATTTTTGTGACCCAAAAATGATCCACTTAATTGAATCAGTTTTGTTTGGGACACCCAAACTATAATTAAATATAGTCACTTCTGTGATCATTAAAGACACATACACTTAGTGGGGGCGGGGCGGGGGGGAGAAGGGAGAATTAAGTTGGCATTACCACTTGCTCTCAATTGAACGCCATTTTACTCTACTCCCTTAAATCCGCACATTGCAACATTGGGCTTAAAGATCACCACTGTGGGCACAGCTCCAGTTAGGGCAAGGCTCCATTCTGAGTGGAAAAGCAGCCAACAATATCAGCAGTAAGTCCTTACATATGCCACAAGAGTGTCAGAGGACCCAATGAACAAGGTGGGTGCTGGCTGCCTTATTAATGGTGAACAATTTCACATTTTCCGAGCACATCAACAATTCTGCTTCTAAGTTTGGCTTAGAGAAACTTCTAAGTCTCTCTCCAAAATTCACAGCACAAAGCCTCAGTCCAAGTTTGCAGCTCCTGACAGGGCTGGTGTAACTCAGTAAGCAAGGTAAGCACAGGCTTACTTGTGCTTACTAGTCTGCAGTGAGCGATTTGACAAGGGTGTCACAGTAGGAAGCAAGGCAACCACAATTTGACCTGTGCTCACTTGGTAGTCTGTGGTGAACGATTTGATAAAACCCATGTGAAATTATTCACTACAGATTAGTAAGTAAGCACAAGTAAGACTGTGCTTGACCATAGCTCAAAGCTAAAAGAAAAATATAAAAAAAGAACAACTAATCATTGCTATGTAACAATTCCTTTCAACATGTCCAGCAGATGGGGCCCACCACACTCTGAAGAGTGAAATTATTTTGAAAATGAAAATCAGAGTTGTCCTGAAAATCTAAGCGTGTGGACTCCCAAGTGAAAAAGAGTTTTCTCGGGGGGGAAGGAAGATGAGCGGATTCCGGGAACCCAGGAGGCAAGAGAATTTTGGGAATGATGAGGGCAACAAATGTATAGATGTGCTTTACACAATTGATCTATGTATTGTGATAAATTGTATGAGCCCCAATAAATTGATCAATTAAAAAAAAAAAAAAGTAGAAAGAAAATGTTTTGAGAATGATGATGGCAACAAATGTACACATGGGCTTGACCCAATGGATGGATGGCTTGTGATAAGAGCTGTATGAGCCCCCAATAAAATGATTTTTTTAAAAAGAAAAAGAAAAAAGAAAAAGAGTTTTCTCAATCCTTTCCATCACCTACAAGTTGCTGCATCTTCTTCCCGTTTTTGTTGATGAAGGATGACTTAGGAGGGCAGTGAAAGGTAATCAAGCAGAAAGAGCTACTGAAAGCTGCTTACATCCTTCAAGGGAGCCAGTTTCACGGTGGTTTGATAAGAAGGCGTAAGAGTGGCTGGGTAGTTGTAGTCAACGATGTCGTGTTTGTAATCTGCCTTATAGGCGATCTGAAACACAAGAAAAAACAAATGGCACTTGCCCTGTACACACAAGTCACACACTTTTTTTTTCTCACTTTGCTTGAAGGTGGTCAGGAAGACCTTAAAAATAACCACGAACAAAGTTCATTCTGTTTCATCACCTCCAAAGAAATTAACTTGTGTTCACACTTTCATCTTTACTTAATTTCAGCTCTTCCCCTTCACTCGCCCCAACTGACTTAACTTTCATCGGGAGCACGTTTACTTTATCTTTCTCACTGTGGACTCCTTATAGGCTTTCTCAAAAGGGAGCACTTGCACACAGGTCCACCGTGGAAGACTGCATTGACTCATCACAAGAAAATAAATGCCATGAATCTCAAAGCATTTCGCCCCAACCTCCTACCCACTTCCACCACCACGGAAAGGTTAAACTTCAGATTCTCCAACAGAGGAAAATTGGCGTTTCTACGTGTTAATAATAAAATCTGTTTTGTTGAAGTGTTTTCTCACTTTGAAATCCTACAAATCAGATTGGCCAAACCAAAGCGAGGTGACACAGGTAGACAAGGCCTCGATCTGTTTTGACCATCACCTTGAGCACTGCCTGGCCACAATAGGTCTTCAGGGAATACCATGATGGAATAAATGGATGGATGGACCACACCAACCAACTCCAAATAAATCACAAGTGCATTGAAAGCTTAAGGAACTTCAAACAAGAATCATATTTACCCATTTCCCCATAACTCTCAGAATGGAAATGGATAGTTTACTTTTTTGAAAGAGTCTATCTACCCTTGCTTCTATCATCAGGCATTGGAAACTCACATGAATCAGTCTTCACAAAGTAGAACATTGATTTTGAAAAGGTATGTGGGCGGTGGGAGGGGGTGGTATTGAAAAATTACCGGCTAAATTGTTCCTACCCCACCCTCCTGCATCCCAACTGTCCTCAGGACTTGGTACAAAAGAACTCACGTTGCTAGCCAGACTTCCAACCTTCATAGCGTGGAGAGTCCGTCTGTCCATACCAACTCCTTCATAGTGGCCTCTCATGTGGTTCTGGTAGTTTTCTTTATATTTATTCTACAAGGAAACACAAAACTTTCAACCAAAGCATTCACTTCCCAACTAGTTGGCGATAAATTGTCCTCCTTAATGTCCAAAATCCATATATGAATGGTCAAATAGAATCTCTTAAAGGAGTTAGGGTATCACTATATTAAACATAGAAGGTGAGTCTACTTTCTGAATTTCTTTTTCTAAGAAAAACCATTTACATTTTAAGGGAGCCTAAGAAGTTAGAGGGAGATGAGAAGGCAAGCATGCGAGACAAAGAAGGCATCTCATGAGCACAAACGGAGCAGAACAGACTAGATAGTCCTTCCACGTGAGGGTCGTCTACAAGCCAAGGAACCAAGGGGCAGCCAGGCTACCTACAAAGAAGGAACTGACATGGCTGAGACTCGAGCTAGGGCTTTTAACCTCCTACCAACTTAGAGGACGTAAACAGTTGTTCATTTAAGCCCCCCAAGTGTAGTCTTTGTGTCCCGGCTGCACTGGGAAGCTAAGACATGATCTAAGGGAAGACTTTTTCAACAAAACAGTGAAATCACCGGTCCTAAAGACCATCGGGTTTGGGGCGAAAGAGCATTTAAACAATAAACTACTATTCCTATACGTCGAACACTCTCCTACTTGTCTCGGCTAATCTTCATAAGCCCTCTACAAGGAAAGGGGAGCTGTTATCATCCTATTTTACATATGAGGCAATATGGCTTAGACAGCTTAAACAACTTGCCCAAAGCCAGCCAGTTAGCTAATGGTAGAACCAAGTCTGTCAGTTCCAAAACGGATGCACTAAACCACCATGCTTGTATAAAATAAATTGCTCGCTGAGCCTTATAGGGAGCTTTACATTCTACTATGAGGCGCTGCTCAGCAGATGTAAAATCATACAATTAGGTACAGGATACATCCTCAGACCCTCTCTGTAAAGCCCCAAATTTTCCAATTTTACTCAAGCATATATACTGTCCATATGGGTACATGGGTGCAGGGATGCAGACATACAAGATGCAACAAGACCGCCCCACCCTGTGAACTCCTGGTCAGGCATGGAGGGGAGAAGTTGGGGAAAGAGATCAAAGGTAGCACCCCTGGGCCAGTCTCACACCAGGCCCATGACACATCATGCGCCCGAGATGCACAAGTACATTCCCATAGACGGTCTCTTAGGAGACCTAGTATCTGTGCTCACAAAAAATGCCCCAACCCAGGCTCAGGGGGAACCACTCACATCACTGGTGAATTTTGAGATCTTGCTCACACTCCTAAATTGAGGCGTCTCGCAGTAGTTTATACTGTGTCCTCTACTACTTTCCAGATCCTTCTTATACTCCACCTTGGGAACCAAAACACCAGAAGCACAATAGGTCCACACCCAAGCCACTCCAGGACTCGAGAAGGACGTTTTAAGAAAACTTAAACCCCGAGATTTTAAAACAGCAGGCAGAGGAGACTGCAAGGAAGCATGCGAGTTTTCATGTGTAAAAACTCAGTCATCAGGTTTGTGGTGGATATTAGAAATATGCCTTCCCTCTCTGGAATACATGCTGCCGGATTTCATACATCTCAAAGAAGTTGGGGACGTTTGCTTTAGGCATCAGAATGGTGGTTGCTCTTGGGGGGCGGGGGGCGGCAATGACGGAGGAAGGGATGGGGTGGTGTCTGCTGTTCTGATCACATCCTGCTCTTAATTCACTTGTGAAGATTCGTCTATCAGTACGTGTCGGATGCGAACACTTCCCCGTATATGTTTTATGTTTCAAAGCACAAGCACGTACTTTATAAAAACCCAAAACAGTAGCTCCCATTGCGTCCTTCACACTCCCTCGTGGTCACTCCCGGGGGCCACAGAGAAGGGTGCTCAATGGCTGGTTTTTCTAAAATAGATTGCCAGTCCTTTCTGCCAAGGCACCTCTGAGTGAACGCAGACCTCGGACCCTTCTATCAGCAGCAGAGCACAGTAACCATCTGCACTGAACCAAGCCAAGCACACTGCCACACAGTAGATTCTGACTCATGGCAGCACCGGGTAGAGTTTCCAAAACTGTAAGTCTTTGCTGGGGGGCAAGCACCTCTTCTCTCTCCACCTGAGCAGCACCTTTCTCCCTCAGGGTTTCAAGTGCCAACCTTCTGGTTAGCACCAAGGCCTAACCTGCAATGCCACCTGGGATCCTTATTTGCATCATGTACAAAAACAAAACTACAATTCACTGCCAGAGAGTTCATTCTGACTCATAGCCACCCTTTCTGAGACTGTAACTCTTTACAGGAGTAGAAAGTCCTGTCTTTCTCCTGCTGTTGGCACCATAAGTCATCCTAATTTGATGACCTTTTGTGACCTCTTTTGCTAGCTGACATTACCCTCGGACCACAGAGTGTAAACGAGGATAAGACATGAGGTCGTTCACACATGCAAAGAGTGTGTTCTAATTTAGAACGCATTGGCTCCCTGAGCTCCCCTGGGTGGCTGGATGAAGATGTGAGGCTCCCATTATTAAACAGCTTCCAAGTCATTGAAGGTAATTGGAGAAGGCAACGGAAGGCCAATTACCATTAATAGAAGGATAACTCATTTGTCTTACTCAATACACAGAGGGGCAACGGTAAAGTGAAGAGTCCCCTTTGGCCACTTACCAATGGAAATACAACTTGATTTGTTATCCTCACTCATCAAATACATGTGGGAATATGCCTTTTGAAGTCTGCACAATGTATTGCATGTGCATGATACGGTGTACAAAGGAAAGCCCCACATGAAACTGTATAGGCCCTTGAATTCTAATTCTGTAATACGGTTTTAGATTCAAACATTCATTGATATCATAGTCACATAAGAAAAAGATGAAAAGTTAACATTGGTTAACTGTGAACATTTCAGGGGCAGGTTGCTATGGATCCATGTCTGGTCCCAGTGCAAGGCTCTACTATCCGGGGCAAAGCATTTCACTTGCCCACACATGTGACAAAGAGAGGGCTCGAAGGTCACCACTGGCCTGTAAGTCTAAAGCAAGGGTCGACCACCTTTGTCTCGGACTGTCCCGACAGTAAATCTTTTTGACTTTGTGAACTCACAGGGAGGCCTCGGCTTAACTCTTTCTCGGTGGAAGCAGCCACCCAAGCCCAACTCACTGCCATCGAGTTGATGGTGGCCCACAGCCACCCTAGAGGACAGGGTAGAACTGGCCCTGTGACCCTCCAAGACTGTAACTCTTCATGGGAACAGAAAGCCTAGTCTTTCTCCCAAAAACTGGCTGGTGGTTTCAAATGCTGACCTTGTGGTTAGCAGCCCAACACTTAAGCACTACACCACGGAAAACAGCCATAGATGGTATGATCACAAATGGATGGGGCTGAGTTCCCATCAAACTTCGTTTGCAGACAGGCGGTGGGCCTGAGCAGGCCTTTGGGTCAGACTTTGCCAACCCCTGCTCTAGAGCATCAAGATCATCTGGAGTTTAAAATGCAGATGCCAAGGCCACGGCACCCACCTATGACTTCACACTACTTGAGGCTCCTGCTGAGACTCGGGAAGATGTCACTCCTGGCGAGTCCAAATTAGAGGGCATGAGTAACATAAACGTTTAGGGCAAAAGATTGACTTTTAGAGGTTAGCAGAGGAAAAGGTGTTTTAGCATACAGGCATATTCATTTCTGAGCTGTAAGCAATGTAGGCGAGTCCTTTTAATACTCTTGATTCTTCCCATGGCAAGCAGTGGCCAACTCAGAGATCTGCCTAGTCCTGATAGCTAATCCAAATGATCTTTATTAAATCTGAGCCGGGACTCTGCACAATGACTCGGTCGTTGTGTGCTATTTCACTGATTCCCACTTACAGAAACCTTATATGACGGCATAGAACTGTCCAAACACACCCTCTGGCAGCCAGTGCAGGAGCCCTGGTGGCATAGTGGGTACACACTGGGCTGCTAACCTCAAGGCCAGTAGTTCAAAACCACCAGGTACTCGGGGGAGAAAGATGAGGCTTTCTACTCCCATAAGGAACCACAGTTTGGGAAACCCCGAGGGGCAGTTCTACCCTCTGCTATAAGATGACGCTGGGTTGGAAGAGACTCCATAGCAGTGAGTTTGGCTTTGGTTTTGAGAGTCAGTTGGGCCTCTAAGGTAGGAGGAACTTAGACGGTTGGTAGCCAGAGTCTTTCAGCAGGCTGACTATGATCATCTGAGAAGGACTGTAATCTTACTCTTGAAACACTCTTGACTTTGATTTGTCACCTTTCAACAACTGCATTGTCATTGTACTTCGATCCACAATCAAACCCACAGAAGCAGCAGTCAAGAAATCTAACGGCATATTGCATCAGGCAACTCTGCTGCAAAAGGCCTCTCTGATGTGCTGAAAAGCAAAGAGGTTACTCGGAGGACTGCGATATGCCCGACCCAGGCCACGCTTTGTGCGAGCACTTCGTATGCATGAGAAAGCCAGACCACACACATGAAATCCAGTGAAGAAGGGATCCCGCTGAATTGTGGTGTTGAAAAATAATATGGCACATACCGTGGACCACCAGGAGGAAAACAAATCTGCCTTGATGTCCAGCTAGAATGGTCCTTGGATGAGAGAGCGAGACTTGGTCTCAGGTACTGCGGATGTGACGTCAGCTTGGTAAAGTCACGGAAAAGCGGCAGGGTCACTCAACAAGATGGACTGACACAAACTGTAGCCAGGGGCTCCGACACAGAGGTATGACAATGGGAAAGTGTTTTGTTCTGCTGGACACAGGTTCACTGTGAGTTGGTACTGATTCAATAATACCTAAAGACAGCTATATAGTGCTATAAATAAAAGTTGAGCCATCCATGATTTCGGCAACTGTATTAGAGGATCCCTGGTGGTACTATGGTGAAGCATTGGGTTGCAATACATAAGGTCAGCGGTTCAAAACCACCAGTGGCTCCGAGAGAGAGAGGACTTTCTACTCCTGTAAAGAGTTACAGTCTCAGAAACTCATGGGGCAACTCTGCCCTATCCTATTGGGTCACTAGAAGTCGGCATTGACTCCTTGGCAGTGAGAGATGGCTACTGCCTGACGCGTGTGTCTATCTACAGCCCCAAAAAGATTTTGGAAGGAACTTTTGGACTATCACAGAAAGAGTGAATTTTATGTAATTCTATCTCTATTATTGAATGCAGTCGATGGGGTATCATTCTTTGGAAACCAGCAGCCCATGTACACAGAGCATGTGCAGTGTTGCACTGTTAACCAGAGTATGTTTCTGTTTGGGCCACCCCAGTCCCTATCTACAGGAGGGAACAAGTGCCACGCACCACCACGCACCTCGCTCACAAGCTTGTTCACACTCTGCGCGCGCTGCAGAGCCAAGTTGTCCTGGGCTGGGAGGGAGTGGAAGTGTGCAGCTCCTTTCATCTTGTTGAAGTCCTGCCTGTACTTGATCTGGAAGACACACACAGAGGGCCTGCGTTGCTGTCTTCTGGCCCTGTGAGGAAAGGGGACTCCCAAGCCACCCCACTTCCAACGTCAGCCTTGGCTTCATGGACCGTTCGGGTGGAAACTCTTGCGTATGAAAGGCGGACAGATCCTTTCTCCACTTTACACTCTTCTGCATGAAAAGCCACAACAGGAGGGAAGCCCAAGGGAAATCTGCAGCCCTGGGTTCCTACCACGCCCCCCTCCAGCCTGCCGATGAGCACAGAGGGTCATTGGGCGGTCCATGCCACTCTGCGGCGAGGTGGGGCTGAGCTGGCCTGCAGCTCATCACTGGGGGGAAGCAGAAGGCAAAGACCTGACTCAGATACCTGGTACCCACAGGCGTATGTGTGCGGACTCACTAATCTCGAGTGAACACTCTCACCTGTGTCTCATCACATCAAAGGTCTGTTTCTAGGTGTGCTGCCATTGCTCTCTCCCTCGCTGCCACCGCTCAGAGAAGCAAAGCCTTTCCAGACGTATCATCTCCGACAGGGACGGAGAACCCAGTCAACAAGGCCAGCAGGGGCCGTGCTGACTTCTTAATCCGCAGTGAACGGTGTCACGGGTTTTCTCCACATTGTAAGCACACGTGAACCCCTGCTTCCCTTGCTTATTGGTTAAGCCGCCCCCAAGCACAGCCTTCACTCCCTCTCTGCTCCGCTGACCCGGGGACCCTGGTGCTGTACTTACGTCGCTCACGAGCTCGTGGGCTTTCTTGGCGTTCCGATAGGCTGGCGTTATCATGGCCGGGAAGCTGCCCTTTCCCCGGGGTTCTCCCCACTCTTCTGAGTAGCCCTGCAGGGTCCAGCAACAACGCCGGTCAGTCATGCCCACTCACCCTTGCCATCCCCGCTGAGTGGGGTACCAGCCATGATTTCTCACCATGGCCCTGTTCATGCTGGACATTTCAGTGGTTACTATAAGGCAGTGAAGAAGGCAGACCCCAGAGTCACGGCCACTCAACAGTCAGCACCGGGTTACGTGTTGGGCTGTTAACCACAAGGCCAGTTGTTCAAAACTACCAGCTACTCTTCTGAAGAACAATGACATTTTCTACTCCCGTAAACAGTGACAGTCTTGGAAACCCACCAGGCCAGTTCTGCCCTGTCCTGTCGGGTTGGGAAGAGTCAGCATAAACTCCATAGCAGGGAGTTTCTTTTTCGTGCTGTTACTATAAACGTGGTTATTTCTACAAGATAAATTAAGGCACTCAGCCAGTTTTCCAGGGTCCCCAGGTAGAAGAGTTAATGTACTTGGTTTTGAGCTGAACAGTTGGGGGTTCAAAACCACCCCTAGGTGCCTCAGAAGGAATGCCTGGAGGTCTACTTCTGAAACACCCGCCCCCAAAAGCCCCGTGGCTTTCTGCTCTGACACCTGTGGGGTCCCCATGTGTCCGAGTGAGCCTGATAGCAGAGTTTCCAGGAGACCTGGTGGCCCTGAGGTCAAGCCCTGGGCTAGTCACTGAAAGGTGAGTCATTTGAACCCACCGGCCGCTCTGCAGGTGTTCACAGGTGGCTTATGCCAAGACGTCTCCGCCTTGGAGACCATGCAGCAGCAATTCTGCTCAGTCCTATGCAGTCGGCACGAGTCAAAATTGACTCAGCAGGCATGGGGCATGTGTGTGCACTGTACCTAATCCTACTGAGGAATTGATAGGCTATAAATAATAAATAGATTACATGATTAATGCATTAACTTAAGTCCAAGTTTTTAAGTTTAAAAAAAGGGCAGGGTGCTCAGTAGGAGGGAGAATGAATTCTTTGACATTTAAGGCACTGGAGATATTTATAGCTCGCCTGTCTGCCTTTCCTTCCAACTCCTGCCTTGGTGAGTCCCGCCAAGTCCGATAATAAGATACCATACCAGACTAAGTCCTCTCCACAGCTGGCGGCCTGTACTTACAATGGCCAGGACTGGAAACTTCAATTGAATGTTCTAATGCTCAGGAAGCAATTCTGAATCTCTGAGGGTGTATCTCATCTGTGCACATCTACAGGTGGAGGGTTATGTATGAACTCGCGTGTGTGATAATGAGTGGCTGTTCAACGGAACCAGTTAAACCCACTGCCTGTTGAGTTGAGCAATCCGATACAGGGTTTGGAAGACTGTCCATCTTTACAAGAGCAGACAGGCTCTTCTTGCTCCCTCAGAGTGGCTGGTAGGTTTGAATCCTAGATCTTGCGATTAGCAGGGTCCAAATAAAAGATGCGGGTCTCAAAAAGGTGAACGCCATGAAAGCTAGTGATCACAAATCCATGTATTTTTAAAATTGTCTTTAGCCTATACTGTATTTGTAATGTGAAATGAGTAAAACCTAGCTTTATTGAGTTGAAAGCACTGAGAGACCATTTAATTAACTTGTAATTTAGTAAAATGGACTTTTGATTCAACACCATTATTTTTCCTCACATAGAATTTGCATATGGGTCACAATAAACCTTCACATCCATTGTAAGACGTCTATGAGTGAAGGGCCAACGTAGGTCATGAATTTTTCTGAAGAAGAGAAGTCAGTGTCGTAATGGGTTACGTGTTGGGCTGCTAACCAAAGGTCAGTGGTTCAAAACCACCCGCCACTCCTTGCAGCTAGCAATCCAACTTGTAACCACCTGCCATGGGGACTCTCCCATAGGGCTACAGAACCTTCATGTTCAAGCAGATTCTTAGAATCTGTTTTCTTACGAAGGTCTAGTTGAACACTGTACAACAGGCAGGGAAATCTGACTTTCATGGAAGGGCAAAGATAAGTCACAGCCTAGTTTCTGATTAAACAGCACAATCGTTACAACTTTCGAAATGACTCCCTAGAAATCACCTACCTGACTGTTCCTGCCTATGTTTTCCTTTGTCCACATGCCCTCTGCCTCAATGGCAGGGCCAGCCACGCCCTTCATTTCTCTGTGATATTGCTGGTGGTACCGCACCTGTTTGAAGGGACAGGACAAGCCAGTGAATTTCACCTGAATTTCACCTTCTGAGCACAAGGGTTGGGAGAGTAAAAATGAATGGAAGATGGCATGTGTTTCTGCCAGGAGCGCGCCTTAGACACCAAAGTGCCAGATCATTATCAGACTAAGTTGGTGGAAACCTAAGAAGATAAGTTGCTTCCTGGCTCTGGGAGGCATGCAAAAATAGTCAGGAAATTGGAGTCCCCAGGCCCAGGTAACCTCCTCCTTCCTCCTCTAACATGTCTACGTCACCACAGACACTTACATCACTGGCCAGCTCATTGGCTCTTTTGGCAATTTGATAGGCAGGTGTGATCAGAGCAGGAAAACTGCCTTTCCCCCTCTGTTCAGACTCTTCTGCATATCTCACCTGGAAATGGGAGGAAAAGAGTTCATCATATGTCCCAACCTCACTGTCGAGCAGGCAGTCCGACTGAGATGCCCCTGGAAGGGCCCTGACAACACCTGCACATCCCCGCACACCCTTCTAAGGTTCAACATTGGCTGCTCTTTTATCTGGCTTCCCAGTAAACCCTGAGATTCTCAGGATGGGACTGTGTGTACTTTCTTTATCCTTTTATCCCCAGGACTGTGTCTAGCACATGAAGGCATCTCATGGGAGATACAGCAGCACACCTAAGTTGGGTCAAACGGAGCCCCGATGGAGCTGTTGAACCGCGAGCCACAAAGACGGCTAATTCCAGTCCGCCAGCCACTCCAAGGGAGAAAGACGAGACTCTCTGTCCACAGAGACTTACAGCTTCAAAAACCCTATAGAAGGGCGCGATGAGTTTGGTTTGGAATTCGGGCCAGAGAGTTGGGCAGAGTCATGAGGTTCCTGCCCTCAGAAAGCTGCCCATCAGGTTTGAGAAGGGGCGTGGGGGATAGTTTGCTGAGTGTAATGTATGCCAGAAAACAAGCTAATGCAAAGTTGATCTTAAGCAACCCCTGACGTAAACACATGCTCCCCAAAGGGCTGTGCATCGCGTCCAGGAGAAGGCCACGGAAGAGTCTGCACCTGCACAGACACGGACACCCCTTTCTCGAGGAGAAGGGCCCCTCTCTGCGTGGACAGCTGGCCTAGACAAAGCATCGGCATGACGCACTAGACACGGTGTAGTACTCGATCCTGACACCAAGGAAAATGAAGATCGAAGGAACACTCTGGAGTTTGGCCTCTCATCCCTCCTCAAAAGAAACAAGAGCAGAGTTTATCTTTGTCAAAATGGGGAGCTGCTGAACTGTACTGGAAGATGGGTGCTCCCCATCGTTGCCATCCTTACCCCCAGCGAGAGCTCAGATGGTCCTTCCTGGGGGGAGGACAAGGTAATAAACTTCACTCTGTGCTTCTTCCTCGTCTCTCAGAAGCACCTGTCTCTCTATTAAAATCATTGATGTCCACAAGAAGAAAGAATTCTAAATCCAAAAGTGAAAGAAGCAATTAAGGCATTCGCAGGCAAATAAAAGATAAGGGAGTTCGTTACTAGTAGCCCTGCCCTGCCGGGCCACCACCCCTGACACACACACCCCTACACACACACACACACACACACACAAAGATAAACTAAAAAAGTCTTCCAGGCTAACATGAAAGGGCACTAGACAGTACTTCAAAACTCTACAATGAAATAAAGATCACATATAATTACAACTAAATAGAAAAGCTGCCCTTGGTTTCGGTGTGTGAATGCGCTTTTTGCTTCCTCTACAATGTAAAAGGCACACGCATAAAATGATCCATCATGAATATGCACTGATAATGGATGCGCACTGTACAAAGGCATAACTATGACAGAAGCAACACACGGGAAGAGTGAGGATTCAATAAAATAAGCTTAATGTAGCTTCTGCAGCTAGACCAGTATCAATTTCCAACGAGATTTTTAGAAGCTAAGATCTAATCTCCAGGGTAACTACTAGGAGAAGAACTGTGAAATACATTCAAGAGAGGAAAAAAGAAGGAAGGCAGTGTCGCCCTAGAAAACTATGAATCAGATGTAAAAGAAGATAGCTGTGAAGCACAAAAGGGCCCAGGATAGTTATGGGAGATGGAAAACAAAGGACTACATGGAAGAAGTGAGTCATCGCTTCAAAGGTAAGCAGATGAAACTCACCAATGACAACAGAGATCGTCATGATGGGTTAAAACTCCGATGATCAGACGTCTCTGCTGTCGGCCAGAGCCTCGTTTTAGTCCGAAGACACAACAAGCTTGAAAGCAACATGATGGGGAAAAGATATTCTGTGCGAGTGTTCCCCAAGAGAAAGCTGGGGCGGCCGAGGGCAAAGTCAAAGAGTGTCACAACAGACGGATTCACCGTGAAGAACAATATACATTGATAGAAGCGCCATTCATCAAAAGGAAAACCATGATATACATATGCAATTAGGTAAGAAATTAAAAGCATCCAAGTCAGAAAAGAAAAGGAGTGGGAACGGGCAGCGATTACTTGGTGGGCTCAGGTGTTTTTACGTGGTGGTGAAACAGTTTGACTAGGTATTTTCACAGCCATAGAATGCCTTCTACATTCTCCCTGTTCTCCACCTCCAGGTCAGGGCAGATGCAGAGCCAAGCCTTGGCTTCCATCATTTCTTACGTCACTCTGAAGCTGTGCCCCTGCCTTGGCCCGCAGCAGCTCAGGGGTATCTGCCACCGGGGTGAACCTGGAGACGCGCTCATCATGCCCTCTCTTGTATGCCACCTGAGGAGGAGACAGCACAGGGTTAAGGCTGCACCCACCTCACAGCCTCTGTGAGGCCCTCGCCTTTCACCGCTCTTGAAAGGAGGACCCACCATCAGGTTACGCACAGCAACACCTGTGATAAATCTTCCATGGCTTGTTTTATGGGCTCCCCTCAGAAAGTATCAATGCTAATGTGCCCAAGTCCAAGAAACCACCATAACAGAGAGGGGAAGTCATTTGGGTAGGGTCACATCTAGTAGGTGGTGGAGGCAAGATTTAAAATACAGCTGTCTGGCTCCAGAGTCTGCCATTTTAACCAGCAGGCTACGATATTCATAGCAGCTTGACCATCCAGTTAATGAAAACCAGTGTTTTAATGCTAAAACAATCTCAAGGAATCATTGATATAGCCTCTCGGGAGCCATGAGGCTCTCTCTATACTTCATAGATGTGGCCCAAGCCAGGCACAGTTTCCCCCATGATATCACACAAACAGTACCTACTTTCCCCAAAGCAACTCTCTCCTCTCGCTTTCCTGTTTGTTCATGGCGTCAACGCAGGTTCGGTGGATAGTGAATAATGACCGAGGCACTCACCTGGCTGGCCAGCTGGCTAGCTTGCTTGGCCCCTTGATAAGCAGGTGTGATCATGGCTGGAAAGCTCCCCTTCCCCCCTTGTTGTCCATAGTCTTCGGCATACTCCTGCTGGTCGGAACACACATCGGAATGAGAATCGATTGATTCCTTCGTTTCATTTCATTGGTTGATTGATTAAACGGCAGTAACAAGCATCACCTGAATCTATGAAACTGGATTTCATGGCTCTTGGAAAGTATCTCAATCACTTGGGATACATTTTAAAGTGTTATTCAACAAGTAATTTGAGTCACACCCCCAATCCTACAGAAAACATGTAACCAGGTCAAAGTTCCCCTCCCATGCTAACATTATGTGCTGCCTACTCACTGGTTGAGTATCTCCTATGATTTGTTCTCCAATAAGACAGGTCCTGTATTAGTCTGGGTACTTTGGAGAAACAAATGCACAGCAACTCATGTATAAGAGAGAGTTTTATGTAAAGAAAGTGTGCATCACGAAAACCTCCCAACCCAATGCTGCCCAAGCCCACAAGTCCAACATTAACCCATTAACACAACACCAGTCCACAAAGTCCTCCACCTCACAAAACAGAGGCAA